TATGTCCCGACAATCTGTCGTAAAACAGGGGTTCTAGAAAACCCATTTCCCGATGCTCCTGAAACCTGAAATTTTTTTTGCAGTCGATTTGGTCAACGTCTAGACGCCCTGAAAAATTTCACATCTCTAACTCAATTTTAACATGGTTTTTAAGGCACCTGAATATGGCGATTTTGGGTTTTTTACCGAATTTCGTATAACAGTGCTGGCGAGTATTTTATGCAAATTTCTTAAAAATCTCAACATAACTATTTTTTATTCCTGTCATCTTTGACATCAAATTAGAATGTTTTGAACTAAAAACACTACCAAAGGGGGTATAATAGTAAAGGGGGTATAATAGTAAAGGGGGTATAATAGTAAAGGGGGTATAATAGTAAATGGGGAACATAGTATACCCACAATAAATGCAACGGTCGTGCTTAATTTTAATTGAAGTACAACGGCTGCACCCCTGACTTTTTAACTTAATAAGAGACGTATATAATAATAATATTAGGACATTTGTAATTTGATAAAATTTAAAGTTTTGGTGTGTGAATTAAAGGTCTTTAAAACAAAACATATTACATGTCAGGATTCATCAGAAGTTCAGAAGCCTAGCAATTATAAAATTCAGATAACATCACTGATTACTCTTTTATGCCGTGGGAGTAAATTAGAAGGACAAAGTTTGCCCCTTGCAGTCCAAATTTACATTACCTCATTGCTAGAATTCATTCCTTAAAACAAACTTTCCAAGAATTGTTCCAGTTTCTCCCTCCTTGCATGTTGTACCCTTTTTGAGAGTGAGACCTATTACTGTAAGAATATTTTTCAAAATTTGAAGGACTTTTCCTTTGACCCTTAATTAAATTGGCACAACAAAATCTTTCTGGATTTATCATTTCACATTGCTAGATTTCAATTCTGGAAGCAAATTTCCTGAAATTCTTTTCGAGAGAATGAAATATGCATCCCTTTTTCGAACTACACTTATTTCGCAAGAGCTGCTTTCAGGCCCTAATATGCATTTAAAATCGTATTATTTTAATCGTTCTTGAAACTGTGTTTGAAAATGATCTCTATTGCCAAATTGCTCAGCTAGGCCTTTTACACGTTTTGCTGTTTTTGAAATTCAGGCTGTGGCCAAGCCCAAAGCGCGTGCTAAATTAGAAAAACTCTAAGATTTTGGCCCCCTCATAAAGAAAATCATTCCTACACCCCTTCTTTGGGGCCATCTACTTATGACGTCCGCCAAAATCGTAGATTTTCAGACCACCCCCCTCCCCCTGTCCGGGTTTGTCCGAATTTTCAAAACCACCCCCTCCCCCGGACGTCCGGATTTCCAACTACTTTTTTAAGAGTACAAATAAAACCAACTCAAATTCATTGTCAAAGAGTTGAAATAAATGAGACTTTTTCGTTAATTCTGCCAAAATTTCCGGACGTCCGGATTTTCAGAAACCCCCCCCCCCCTCCCCCTGTCCGGATTTGTCCGAAATTCCAAAACCAACCCCCTATTTGCTGGACGTCCTAAGTAGATGGCCCCTTTCTCGTTCCAGTTTCAACATTTCATGCATTGATATTAAGTTATTGCTGACATCAAGACAGCAAATACAATCTGGATTTTCAATGCTCGAAAGTTTTTGATAAGGTTGCTGTGTTTCTATGTTTAGACCTGTTAGTTAGAACTATGTATCACGTACATACGTGGGAGCTCCTTGCAGCCAGTACATTTGCACACTACAGAAAGCTGAACATATATTTATAGCTGGCTTATATGCCATCTTGCAAAGTTGCAACACCTCTAATACCTCTAACATGTTAACAATCCTAGCAAGTAGCCCACCATTCAAATTCGTTATTTTTACATTATTACACAAATCTAGCAAATTTCCACCCTATATTTTAAGCAGATTAGTGCATGGTCGTGCTCCTTCTCTTCAGCCTGCTGCTGGCTGGGGCCCTGCCCCAAGACATAGTCAGTGCCCGCCCGACGATCACAATCTCCCCAAGTGACGTTACAGTGCACGCAGGAGCTCTGATACACTTACCTTGTGAAGCACAGGGCGATCCGAAACCTACTATCGCGTGGTTTATTGGTATGTTAACCGTTATACGACTTTATATTATTCAACACAGCTATACTGTGTATCTACCTCTATACGTTATATTAGTTACTCGTTTTTTGTGGGAACATTTTATTTTTAAAGTCTTGATATTGGATACGAGGTGTGAGTGAACTCATACGATGTTGTTTGCACAGAAATATAAACTTTGTGACCAAACAGTAAATTGCACTTACAACAGTTAAAATATTTTGACGACTATCTCCAGGGAGAGGTCAGCTCATGAATGTAGAAGTGATTTCTGACGATTTAACCTAAGAGGAAATACGGAACTACGCCGGCGGCAACTTCCTGGTCACGGAGAAGGGCCATCTTTACGCCCGAGATGTGAGTATTTCCACTTCATGCTAACACCCAACTTAATGGAAGTTACAAATTTATTTGATATTTTCTGAAAACCGGGAAAGAATGTTAACATTTTTACATAATTCCCGTCAGGTTACAGCTGGTTACAGTGGTCAGTACATCTGCGTGGCTACAAATGACGGAGGACTTTCCTGGGCCACCTCTAGAGTTCTCGTCCTAAGTTAGCCACAACTCTGAAGTTCTGCCAACTAAAACACATTCGCACTCCACTTTTTTTTCATTCACGGCTTACAAATTGTAATAAAGCTTATCGAATGGGAAAAGCGAGCGACCGATTTCATTCTCGGTATCAATTTGCATTTGCGGACGGTTATTCAAATTAATATCATTTCCTTTTGTTTGGAAAAGAGAGACACTGGCAGCGGTCCACTCTACCCATGATTATGGGTTTTAGTCAAATATCATCTCTTTTTGATTATAATGTCAGGATAATTTACAAAGTCGAAATGTAAACTCGTAACTTCATTAATATTAATATTAATAAGGAGGTAATTTCAACGATTTCGAAATTTTACCTTTGAAAACATTTCCTTGTGTTTAGGTAGGCATATCTGTCGATAACTGACTGAATATGGCACTTTTTACTCATTCAAGTTGGCATTAAATTCATATATAATGCCATTTAAATATCGTGGGAAAGCAGAATTTATTCGAAATCACGAATGAACAAAATTCTCACATTTCGCACGTGCAAACTTTGAGCGGACGTTGCGTGCGCATAAAATATTGAATCACCGACAATTTTTGCATAGTGGTATTTTATGTATAGTTTGATAAGCATGCAAAGTTTCAGAGGATTTCAAAAAGAACTTGGATCACAACGGGACTCCAAAGTTGATAAAAATCGTGAAAATAACAATTTTCAGTGATTTTAGCAATTTTAAATCAATTTGGGCGTGTCCCCACGTGTGCAACTTTTCGATTTTCAACTTTAAAACTAGCCTATAACACAATTTAGACCTTTAGGAAGCAAAATTGAGCTCCACAACTCAAGGGATGGCCCAACACTAAAGAATACTAATTCACAATTTTTGTGTTTTTATAAAATTATTCTTAAAAAAAGCACTTACTTTTTTTAGAATGCTTGAACAATTATCTAACCTAAAAATGTCGTCAGATTTTGATTAAAATTGCCCCTTAATGGTATAAAATCGATTTGAAAAGTTTTTATTTTGTAAAAAATCAAGTTTTAAAAACACTCAATTTGATCAAGTGGTGATGATGACGTTAAATTATTTTTTGATATAATGATTAAACAGGATTAAACAGGATTAAACATAAATTTGTCAATGAGAGCCCTAACACTCACGTCTTGACTATACATCAATAGAGAAAAATAAGGCTACAATTTGGTCAAAGTTTCAGATCTCTAAGTCTAACTCAATTTTAACACGGTTTTTAAAGCACCTGAATATGGTGATTTCGGGTTTTTTACCGAATTTCGTATAACATTAACATGCTGACGCGTATTTTGCGCAAATTTCTTAAAAACCTCCACATAACTATTTTTTATTCCTGTCATCTTTAACATTGAATTAGAATGTTTTGAACTTAAATATACCTGCTAAACTACTTTCGATGAGTCTTAATGCCTGAAAAATAATAAAGGGGGTATAATAGTATAGGGGGTAAATAATATTGTGAATATAAGAGCAACGGTCATGCTTGCTAGCATTGTGATAGGTTTGAGAAAAATCGAATAATTACAGGATCTGAGGTATCAAAATATAATGATTAATGGTATTGGTCAGTTAATTGCTTCCGATATTTTTTATATATAATTGTATTTAAAGACTTTTTGAGTTTTATTTAAAAACTGCAGTTATTTCATCACTTTTAAGGCGATCAGCGATATTTTGTTAATGGTTTTGTTTGGTCTTTATTTTGTATTTATTTCATCAACTGTAGGGCATATATTAAAAATGACCGACTTAACTCATTTATTGTTATTTTGCAATCAAAAATATCTTTACATTTTGTTAATTTTATTATAACAGCTCATTGTCATAAAATTGTGTTTTAATTCTTCAAACATGCTGGTATGGTACAAGAACCGGTCTGAACCGGACCAGATAACATTTTTGTGACATAATTAATATAATTAATTGACATAAAATATGTGACTGTTATTAACCACGGTACCAATTTAGTCAGATGTTAGTTGAAAGTACCGGGTAATAATCACCTCTCCCATGTCCATGATATGTAGTACTTTATTTCCTCCAAGAAATTATTTATTTAGAGCTCCTTTTGACTTGGCTAGAACTATACATGGGAGGCCCCGGTTATATCAAGAGAGTCCGTCTCGGAAGGTTCTGAACCCACGATTGAGCGTCTTAAAACTTTTTTTTAATGGAAATTATAGTTTTGCTAGAATTCAGAGTTTCATGTTACTTCTTATTTAATTTAGTGCGGTTAGTGATTATAATTCAGACTTTCAATTTTGGTGGATTGACACAAATTGAAACGACAATATAGAACAAAATTTAGAACGACTAATGGTAATATAATTAATGAGCGAAAACCTTCCTAAATTGAAAGATGTTTATATAACAATGGAAGTAACCTTTTTGTGCTATACTAATTAATTGACACGGTAGAACCTCTTCTCATAACCTATTTAAAGGAACTATCTTGGTCTCTAAGTCTATGTGGGTGCAATCACCTTTTGATAAGTCTCTCTCTAAGAAATAGTGTAGGAGGGCTGGAATATCACGCGTCTTTGACTGAGTCTCACCGTCAACAGTTTGACTGTCACGAATGGTCTGAAAGCAATATCTTTTAACTATGGCAATAGAAACAATTTATTACGTAACCAACAGGAAATCTACTTTTAAACCTGCACACGTCTTACTCGATAAACAATAATATAATACTTAATAAATTTACTATTTAAGACAACTACTTATTTTATGCGGACGTTATAACTGAACTAATTACCTCGGTTGACGACGGAGAATCAATTAATCTAGCAGGTATCGGCAAAGGCAGCACGTTCTGAGTAGGAAGATTCGGGTCTATTGACCTGGGAACGGAAACGGAAGTTTGTACAATGTATATAATTTTGAGAGCACGAAACTACAATTACCAACTATATTCTTAAACCTACTTAATAATAATATGTAAAAACTAATGGAAAAGGATTTTACCTCAAGAACAACTTCAATCCATATATAATGGTCCTTCAAGTGAGAGGGAGATCGGGAATCTTATCGTCGCGTTAGCTTACTTCTACCCGGAAACTTAGTCACGGTTCTTTAGATTATGGAATGGAAGACTTGCCCGGTAAACTACACGATGTGTCGGTTCAGAGCAACCTGAATAGAATTAATCTTCAGTGTGTCGTATAGAATTTAAATGGATATTGGAAACGGGAATAGACACTATAAACAATATAGATATAAAAATCACGTCAAACTCTTTTATACGAAACAAAATACTAATATGAAAGGCTCACATTAAATCAAGGCAAGGAACTTACTGGAATACTTATGACTGGAAAGATTAAAGCATCCGGATGGAACCGGCATTCTGGACTCTGTTATAAGCACTGCTCTGAAACAAACTTATAAGACTGCACTGACCCGAGAAAGACATCGGTCCTTCGATCGTTCTCCGTTATATCTCCCTGAATTTCCCAGAGTCTGCCGTTCCAGCCTTTTTTAAGGAACGCCAGTATTGTTCATCAAGATCGAGATTGCTCATCATGATCGGTATTGCTCCTCATTGTTTAAACTCCGCTGCTAATCATTCCTCGTCACGCGAGGATTAACCCCTCCATTAGTCCGTGGTAACTCATCAGCCGTGTCGAATGATTTGATAGTTTTATCACAGAAAGTATCCTTTTGTTAATTAAACGTCACAGTATATTCCATTTCTGGTATACTTCTATTGTTAACAAATTTACTATCTATCTTCTATGGAAATGGTTATTAACTATAAGCCTAAGTCATTTAACTCTTTTAAAGGAAGATTGAAATTAATATAGAATTTCGAGGTTCCTTACAGTGACACTCGAGTAGTCGAGTATATAAATCAAGAGGCTTGCATATTATGAACATATTGACACGGGTGCAGAGTTGAGTCTGTACGGAACCTAGTAGTTTCAGATCCTTGTTTAACTTGCCGTACAGCAAGGTCATCCACTACTTTAGCCCGGCGAGGCACATAACTCCCTCTACAACTCCATGCCATATCAAATGTTTCATATATACTAGCCAAGTTCACAAAATATATCCTTGTGTTTGAGAAGATTGGGAAGATTTATATAACTATAAATAATATGCAACCTGGTGCCGAAAATTCAATTAGCTAATTAACATGCGTTGCGTAAAACATATCATTGCCCATTTCGGTCACAAATCAAAGCTTAAATTGAGTTTATTGCACGCGCGCGGTAGACAAATTGTGTTTAAACAACTGTGTTGTGACAATTAAACATGCGCGTTATGAAGGTGACCAATGAAATTACGGCATTAAAGTCATGTCACGTATAATAGCGCGCTGGCGAGTGCGAATTAATAAAATCTCTTTTCAAGCTTCACGCATTGTATTGAGAGAATTAAATAGAATTAAATAGAATTAAATAGAATTAAATAGATTAGCAAGCTAATTCATAATTAACTTTTTTTTAAAATATGGCCGGCCGGAGGCCAAATGCTGAAACGAAAAATAGCGCGCGCGCCGGGTTTTATCGGACTTTGCTCATTAGTAGAGGCTCTTACGGGCAAAAAGACGTGTTTTCTGCTACAAGTTTAGAGACCTAACCGCTAATTGGACACAATAGTATGATGCTTAAGGATCAATAATGTGTTAAGAAGTATAAATTTGGCCTTATTAGTCACGTGCTATACCAATGCGCGTTTTAAACTTTGACAGTCTATTACTCTAAGGCAAATAAAGTAATTATATTCATATTTTGTCAGGAATAAGATCACATTATTTTCTATTTGGTGTGAAAATATGAGCTAGAACGGACATAATCTCGCTGAGTTAAAGCTGTTTGAAATTTATGATGAACGCGCAGGTGCCAATTGATAACAACTAAATGCTTTTGCGCGTAGTGCGCGTCGAAAATTTGGCAAAACGCTTGCGGAGTGACAATATTCAAACTTCGATAAAGTATATGAAGTGGGTACTTCTCGGAAAGGAAAAATTTAGGCAAACACGATGTGACTATTTTTGGGTTGATTTAATACAACTGCAAAAAATTATTTAAACTTCAAGCAAAAAAGTCAAAATTTTCACCACTTTTTTGGATTTTTACCCCCAAAAAAAAGAGGGATTTTTCAAATTTTTATATCATCTTGTGCGGCTGTGTTTTAGCTATCTCCATGCAAGTTTTGCCGACATGCCAACAAAATTGACTTGTTCAAAATATCAAAAAACATGGTTTTTTGGCCTATTTTTTGCCCAAAGATCGGTTTTTTGCAATTTTACCCCCAAAAAGTCAGTCCAATCATCTTTAAACTACTTTTAATCGATTCTACGGTCAAAAATACGTCTAGTAAGGTGTATCTGGGGTCCCTAGCGTATCGAGCAGACAATGCCCGTAAGAGCCTCTATACTACTACATTGCCGCTTCAAATTAAATGCACCGATTAGATGTGCCGCGCGATCGAAATATCAATAATAATTCTACCTTTGTAGTTTGCAAAACATTGTTCTGCCTTTTCAAAGGATCAAAATCGTCAATCAAGCCGGGTCAGCCCATTAGTAATACACATTGTATACTTCTTTGCTCTTCATTTGACTTTTTCGTGCGTGAAGCACCCAGAAAACCTTACCGGCTGGCAGGCTTATTACTTTATTATTTATTATAGCTCGCTATAAAGGCTTTTTAACAGCCTGTTTGAGCTCGCGCGCGACATTATATTAAGTACACTGGTTGTACGCGCCTGACGCATTCCATTGGCCGGATGTCCAAGTTAATTGACAATGTGAATTATTCGCATCTCGCCGATCTAACGAAGGTTGCGAGAAGCATTATTTGTTATTGGATGCGCGGCGCGGCCCAGTAACGCATCGCGCTACAATTGTCCAAGCTGCATGTGACACAATTCAGCCGATCAAAGGACAGGAATTCGTTTGAAACAGTTGGTATCAGTAATGCATCTCAACATCAGCAGAAGATCGAAAGTTCATTGCAACCGGTGCATGGCTTGAGAAAAGTATATCATCAACTTTCCACTTTTTATTCTTTGCGGTATCTTGAGCATGAAATGGTCATCCTGTCTCTTCGACCTGGTCACGGTGTTTTAAAGTTCTGTATCCACTACATCCACATCCAGTAATGCTTTGAGGTAACCAGGTGCAGTACCGTGAACTGATTTGTGTAGTAAAATCACTGTTGTTCTTAGGATTTCGAAACGAAGGCGCTTCCTTATGTATCCTAAGAACAGCAGTGATTTCTCTACGGGGGGACAGAGGTGCGAGAAAGAACTTTATTGATATAAATAGTTTAGATTTGAATTTGGAGCCACAAGGCCAAGGTTAATATTCAAATGTTTCTCCCAATACCTTAATTCCCAAAAATTTGGGCGACAAAAAATTTGAGCGGGCCTCTCGCCCAAATTTTTTGCAGACCAAATTAATTGCATAAATCTTTTCCGTCCGCTAAATTTTTGCTAACCAAACTTTTGGCATTTGGCCTGTGGCCCTGAAATCTATAGAAAGATGGCTTTTTCTTCATATCCAAGTGAAATAATATTTGAAATTTTAGTTTTCTAATTCTGCTTAAAATTGAAAGCAAAATGACTGGAACAATAAGGAATAATAATGAACTAAGGCAAATATCTAACTGAAATTTTAGTGGAAAATCGTTAATTTTTCGAAGAATTTGTGCCCAAATTTTCGGTCGCCCAAATGAGTTCAAATTTTCTGCCCAAATTTTTCGGGCTCAAATAAATTGTGCTCAATATAATGGCACACAAATTTTTGGGAACTAAGGTATTTGAGATAGGGAATATATTGATTTTTTGAAGGGTTGTTTTTATATAGGGTCATTGTGACAATTATAATTATGTGTATATTGTTTGAATAATTTTATATTTTACACTTTTACTACTACTACTGATTTGTGTAGTATGTAAGCCTTCTCATAGAAGGGAACCAAGTCCGTGGTTCTGTCTTTTATGTTATAGATGAAACAAACTGTCCCATTAAGGATGGATCTAAGTTCGTTTAATCTGGTCTTGGGTAGATTCATGTACAGAGAATTACAGTAATCTAACTTAAATATAACCAGTTGTTTCACCGACATCACTTTAATGCCTTCGTCCAGGTAACGACCAATAGTTCTTGGTCACCCACATATGACAAAAAAGATATGGAACAGATCTATAAAGCTCATGAAATGAGGAAAATGAAAAAGTACAACAACAGAATCATCCAGGTGGAAAAAGGCACCTTTACTCCACTTATATACTCAACAAATGGCGGATGGGGTCCACAAGCCACAAGATACCACAAGAGACTCGCTGAAAAACTATCCCAGAAGAGAGGAGAAGACTATGCGGCTATTATGTGTTACATGCGCACCAGGATTAGATTCTCAATCCTCAGGAGCACCCTGATAGCGGTCAGGGGTGAGAGAGGGAGACGGCAATCGTATACATTGCCAGTCAGTGTAACTTCGTTTAACTTGATACCTGCCACCATGGACTATGAATGTTTCTAGACACTATCCTTTTGATATTGAGATATTGGTATCTCAGATCACGTGTGCATCGTTCCTTTTTTTACGACACAGTAATTTATTGACACTCACAGCTATAATTTTAATCATTGAATCAGTATTTTTATCTGTGCTCTGCGAATGCATCACATGAATCAGTTTTTTAATCTATTAACTTATTACACATTTGTGCTCTGCTTTAGCATCACTTGACTATTTAAAAAAAATTGTTTGTTCAGGCCATGACCTTATAGTCAGCCAATTGGCCATTGCTATATTATGTGTATATTGTTTGAATATTCTTTTCCATAATAAAAAAAAAAAAAATAGTTCTTAGGTTCATCATTGTCCAGCTACATTTCCTTTTCACATTATTGATCTGTATTTCCATATTTAAAGTTTCATCAAATTTAACACTTAGACTCTTCCAGCTGTCTCCTTTGCACTCCGTAGGTAGAATTTCGGTGCTTTCAAATTGCAGTCTGACACTGAGTTCACACTTCCTTCTAACATGGCTCTTTCCTAACACCATTAGTTCTGTCTTTGTTTCGTTCAGTTTCATGAAATTGTTCACTATCCATGCTTTTATCTCTGCAAGACATTTGTTGGTTCTGTCTCGGACATCAGTGAACTGTACCACATGGTTTTGTTGAAATGAGATGTACAGTTGGGATTTATCTGCATAGAGCTGTATATCAAGACCATATTTAGCCGCAATTTTCTGGAGAGCTTTGATATAGAGGATGAAAAGAATAGGCCCTAAGGCCCTGGGGAACTCCAAACAAAAGCTCCAAGAAAGAAGAAAGATTATCATCAATCTTCACACAAAAGTGTCTTTTCTCAAGGTAGGACTTTATCCATTGCCTTACCTTAGTGCACTTCCAGTAATTCCATAGTCTTTCATTAGCTTTTCCAGTAAGACTGCATGGTCAATGGGTTTAATAACTATTAAAAACCGTAATCCCAACCCCTAACTGAAGCTTATTAGGCGGTGCTCAGCCTGTTATTAGCTTCAATTATAAACACTATTGGCCTGGGATCACAAAGTAAACTGATCAAACATATGCTATTATACTTGTAGCGCAATGCACCACTGGGCCACGCCGAGCTGCAAAGGACTGACATCGTCGGTCAACATATGCTTAAAACCCTAATTCTAACGAGAAATTATACCAACTTCCTTATATTATGGTCATATCACGTGATCGAGACAATTATTCGCCGATATCTTTCCAGGGGAGTATTTTAATCCTATGTAATGTGGGGTGATTCGGAATCAGTGATAAGCATTCAATAATACATCGATTCAAGTTGGTTTTATTTTAGAAAAATTGCTGAAATTATCTGTATATTATTCTTACAATAAATACATTGGGAGTGTTTGTTGGGAAATGTATTCCTTGTTTGGCGCATTTAATGAGTATTTTTGAGAGTCCTGACGAAAATGGCTAAATTCTCATTCTCAAAAATTATTTTTGAATATTTTTGAGAAAAATTTCCAGGAGAGGCGAAAAAATCATTCTCAAAAATTGATTCTTAACTCAATTGGATCACATTGCCTTGATATGAAGAATGATTTGGTTTATCACTATTTTTGAGTGGACAATTTTTGAGAAAATGAAAAATCCGTGCTGAATTTCTATTTTTGAGAATTTTTGAATCTGAGAAGTCTCAAAAATACTCATGATTCCCCTGTTAATTAGCATTTCCACACTATCAATATGAAACTTCAAATAATTGAATCCATAGTAAACATCTAACTTAAATGTTTGGGTGTGTGACTAAAAATCCCTTGTTCTCAGATTTATGCTTTGATATCATATCAGGTATGCTGGATCATTAACTTTCAGAGTTCATGATGTAATTCATGATGTAAATTGTGTATTAAAGGTGTGGTGGCTCCCTGGGACAAGAAAATATTTGATTAAATACCTTTATCTTTGGTTTCGAATAATTCGAGCTCTAGCTGTTGATTAATTAATCATTGTTTTTTAGGGATGTTAAAGAACAAGCCTGCAGCGACAATAAAAGGTCACCAAGGTCCAGTAAATCAGGTTAACTACAATTCAAATGGTGAATATTGCTCGTCTGCTGGAGATGACAAGACTATCATTTTATGGAATCCCCTAGATGGGGTCAAGTTGAAGGTGTACAATGGCCATGGACAAAGTGTTCGTGATGTCGTTTCTTCCCATGATAACTGTAATCTTGGTTCAGCCAGCGCAGATAGGTGCGCTTTCTATTGGGATGTGGCCAGTGGTACTATACTAAGAAGGTTCCGAGGGCATGACTCAGTTGTGAATTGTGTCAAGTTTAACAAATCATCAAACATGCTGTTATCTGGTGGAAATGATTCCACAGTTAGGATCATGGACCTTAAATCAAGATCTTATGAAGCTGTTCAAATATTAGATGATGCAAAAGATTCTATCACAAGTATTGATATCACAGATGACGAAATAACAGTTGGCTCAGTTGATGGCCGTATAAGAATATATGATATTCGAATGGGAAAACTTCATGAGGATTTTGTAGGTGAATCAATAACAAATGTTTGTTTTTCCAATGATAACCAATCAGTCATAGTAAATTCAACTGACAATACTGTCAGATTAATTGATAAAACAAGTGGTCAACTGTTGAATGATTACACTGGACATGTTCACACCAAACTGCAACTCCAAGCTGTTTCATGGTATGATGACAGTGCTATACTCAGTGTCTGTGAAAAATCTAAAGTTTTTATCTGGGACTTAATCGGAGGAGAAGTGAAACAGACATTAGAGCTTCCTGCACTATCTCAAACTCTGTCAGTGCATCCTTCTAGGTACCAACTTCTTACTGGTGATATATCTGGACAAATTAATTTGTGGATAACTAAGGGGGAGAAAAACCCAGAGAAACATGAGGGAGAAAAAAGTATGTCAATGTGGGCATTGCCTCCTCGGTGAATATTATTTTGATCTGCTGTCAGGCTGAATGACAGTGCAGTGTTCTTTTAAATGAATACTACTTGAATTTTTAATTTTTGGTTGAACAATACAATTTATGATATTTGATTTGAAGTTATCATGATATAACTATTAAAATATTTAATATTCTATTTTCACATTTGGATTGCAAATCCACATGGTCAATCGTTTTTTGAGCAAATTAGCACTTTAAAAAATGATTTTATTATAAGCCTTGAAAAATAGGCACTAATTTTTATAATATGTTGGTTTTAGGAAGGCAACGATCCAGATATTTATAATACAAGCTTTCCTATTTTTAGAGTATTGAATTGTTACTAATCTATTGCAATGCAGGAGAATAGTGTCAATGTCAGGAAGTGGTAGAGTTTCTGTTTCTGTCCCTGAGGTAATTTCTAATTATTAATAATCTGCAATTGGTCGTGCTTTGTGGGACTGTGGCAGGTTTTTTGAATATGACCTAATTTGAATGCTGTTCTATTATTTCGTCTATTTCAGGGTTATGTTCTCACCAAAAAGACTGATTTACAAAGCCTTCAAAATTTAGTGAAAACTATATCAAGTTTCAACAATAACCGAGATCGGGAGAATGCAATCAATGATATCATCAGCAGCAGTTCACGGGGTTACGCTATAAGAGAAAAAGAAGATCTGATTGCTAAATTTGACAGTGCTTGTAAAAATTCCCGTTTAAAATCGAAAATAGAGGATGTCAAGAGCGACTGTACTAAGACGTTAAAGAAAAATATGAAAGGTAACGGTTGATGAAAGTTTTTTTAACAAATTGTTACAACGTATATTACGTAACATGATTTAGATATTTAATCTAACATTATCAAATTGGAGTACTTCTAGTACTATTGTTTTAAATATTTTGTAGTGTAATTTCAAGCAATTGAAAGCTTTTCCAAACCCTTTCCCCTGAGGCACTTACGTAATATGTGGACAATCCGGAATCCTTAATAATATAATTTTTTATTATCAGATATTCAGAAGAGACAGAATGATTCAAAGAAAGCTCTAAAGAAGAATTTTGAGGCGGGTGCGTCTGTGTTGAAAGAGTGTTACGAGAGTGAACTTCTGAAAAGTTTCCAGAACAAGGTTGGATTCCTTACTCTACCCATTATATTCTACTTTCCATTATAACAACATTACCTCTTATCGCTGTTCATAATTCTGACTATGATGAATATTACCCGCTTTAAAAGTTACTATTCAGACATCTCTGAACAATTCCCTGCCGGTGGAGCAATACGCGTGTGAAGAGCTAGTAAAGACTTACAGAGAGTGTCTCAAGAGACAGCTCCTCCCGGAAATGGAGAAGATGTACAAAACACACTGTCACAAGATGGAGGGTGCTATGAAGGAGTGGGTCAGTCAGTACAACACAGGTAAATACTGGGTCAGTCAGTACAACACAGGTAAATACTGGGTCAGTCAGTACAACACAGGTAAATACTGGGTCAGTCAGTACAACACAGGTAAATACTGGGTCAGTCAGTACAACACAGGTAAATACTGGGTCAGTCAGTACAACACAGGTAAATACTGGGTCAGTCAGTACAACACAGGTAAATACTGGGTCAGTCAGTACAACACAGGTAAATACTGGGTCAGTCAGTACAACACAGGTAAATACTGGGTCAGTCAGTACAACACAGGTAAATACTGGGTCAGTCAGTACAACACAGGTAAATACTGGGTCAGTCAGTACAACACAGGTAAATACTGGGTCAGTCAGTACAACACAGGTAAATACTGGGTCAGTCAGTACAACACAGGTAAATACTGGGTCAGTCAGTACAACACAGGTAAATACTGGGTCAGTCAGTACAACACAGGTAAATACTGGGTCAGTCAGTACAACACAGGTAAATACTGGGTCAGTCAGTACAACACAGGTAAATACTGGGTCAGTCAGTACAACACAGGTAAATACTGGGTCAGTCAGTACAACACAGGTAAATACTGGGTCAGTCAGTACAACTCAGGTAAATACTGGGTCAGTCAGTACAACACAGGTAAATACTGGGTCAGTCAGTACAACACAGGTAAATACTGGGTCAGTCAGTACAACACAGGTAAATACTGGGTCAGTCAGTACAACACAGGTAAATACTGGGTCAGTCAGTACAACACAGGTAAATACTAAATACTGGGTCAGTCAGTGCAACACAGGTAAATACTGGGTCAGTCAGTACAACACAGGTAAATACTGGGTCAGTCAGTACAACACAGGTAAATACTGGGTCAGTCAGTACAACACAGGTAAATACTGGGTCAGTCAGTACAACTCAGGTAAATACTGGGTCAGTCAGTACAACACAGGTAAATACTGGGTCAGTCAGTACAACACAGGTAAATACTAAATACTGGGTCAGTCAGTGCAACACAGGTAAATACTGGGTCAGTCAGTACAACACAGGTAAATACTGGGTCAGTCAGTACAACACAGGTAAATACTGGGTCAGTCAGTACAACACAGGTAAATACTGGGTCAGTCAGTACAACACAGGTAAATACTGGGTCAGTCAGTACAACACAGGTAAATACTGGGTCAGTCAGTACAACACAGGTAAATACTGGGTCAGTCAGTACAACACAGGTAAATACTGGGTCAGTCAGTACAACACAGGTAAATACTGGGTCAGTCAGTACAACACAGGTAAATACTAAATACTGGGTCAGTCAGTGCAACACAGGTAAATACTGGGTCAGTCAGTACAACACAGGTAAATACTGGGTCAGTCAGTACAACACAGGTAAATACTGGGTCAGTCAGTACAATACAGGTAAATACTGGGTTAGTCAGTACAACACAGGTAAATACTGGGTCAGTCAGTACAACACAGGTAAATACTGGGTCAGTCAGTACAACACAGGTAAATACTGGGTCAGTCAGTACAACACAGGTAAATACTAAATACTGGGTCAGTCAGTGCAACACAGGTAAATACTGGGTCAGTCAGTACAACACAGGTAAATACTGGGTCAGTCAGTACAATACAGGTAAATACTGGGTCAGTCAGTACAACACAGGTAAATACTGAGTCAGTCAGTACAACACAGGTAAATACTGGGTCAGTCAGTACAACACAGGTAAATACTGGGTCAGTCAGTACAACACAGGTAAATACTGGGTCAGTCAGTACAACACAGGTAAATACTAGGTCAGTCAGTACAACACAGGTAAATACTGGGTCAGTCAGTACAACACAGGTAAATACTGGGTCAGTCAGTACAACACAGGTAAATACTGGGTCAGTCAGTACAACACAGGTAAATACTGGGTCAGTCAGTACAACACAGGTAAATACTGGGTCAGTCAGTACAACACAGGTAAATACTGGGTCAGTCAGTACAACACAGGTAAATACTGGGTCAGTCAGTACAACACAGGTGAATACTGGGTCAGTCAGTACAACACAGGTAAATACTGGGTCAGTCAGTACAACACAGGTAAATACACCAGATTAGTTGGACAATGTATTACACATGGCTGGTATTGAAATTGGAACTAGAATTATAGAGATCATTATATTTGTGAATGCAATAAGTTTAACATGACTGCAAGGGACCTCTGAGATAACGAATCTTGAATGTTAATTATGATCTCCATCATCCATGACGGAGAAGTAACTCTAACCTTGATAACTTGATTGTGTGCAATATCCACAAAATCAAAATTAAATTTAAGAATTAATTCGGAACCGTAAAATGATTAACAATTATTTCCGTAGTGGCGCTGAAAGACACACACAAGGTGTCCCCCGCAATAAGTGAGAGAATGAACAATATTCAGCGAAGATTGGATCAGCTGACGCAGAACGCTCAGAACGGTTCTACAGTGGAAAGGAAGATTGATCAAACTCTCCAGAGGTCTGTCTGCTTGTATTGTTCACAACTTTTTACCTTATTTTACCACCTAAGTTTACCACCTTATTCGAAACTAAGTAGATATCTGATCAAGTAGGATTTTATTTGAAACTTTCTGTCAGAAGTTGATACAGTACAATTTTAATAACAATTGAGACTCAAGTTTTTGGTAAACTGATTAATTTCGAATTAGTTGGCTGAGAGGTCAGCTTATATTCCCAGGCCAGGGTATCTCAGTAACTGTGAGGTACAATTAATATTTCACACTCCTATTTTAGTTGTAGCTACACTTGTACACATGTTAAAGTAATGTGTATTGGTCAGGATAACACAGGATATAGGACAACTGACAGTAGAAGTTAGAGAAGTGGCTCCTTCACACGAACAGATAGTCGCGGAATGTCTGGGCAGACAAGACTTTCAACAAGCCCTCAACAATGTGAGTACAGCTAGTGTTAAGTAGTCTGCTTGTACAGTTCTATACATAGAACAATGTCATGTCTATAAATAGAACAATATCATATAAAGAACAATCTCATATTCATCAATGGCAGATTTTACATGATCAGTAATGGTATTGATGTAGCCTGACATAACTCTCTATTCCAGGCGCTTGTAGCATTGGATCTGGAGTTGTTAATGTCTACCATTTCAGGCACTAGTAGCAATGGATCTGGAGTTGTTAATGTCTACCATTTCAGGCACTAGTAGCAATGGATCTGGAGTTGTTAATGTCTACCATTTCAGGCGCTAGTAGCTATGGATCTGGAGTTGTTAATGTCTACCTGTAATAAGATGTCAGTAGATGATGTGTTCGGTGACGTACTCCCAGAACAACCCATCTTACTAGCATTACTTAACCAGCTCCCTTACAACCTCCAACAAGACCTGGAGATTAAGAGTAGTTATCTGGTGGAGACTGTCCTGGCGCTGGACCTGGCCGACCAAGTTGTGAGTAGAGGAGGGCTAGGGGGGCCGGGCCAGGGGGGGGGGGGCCGGGGGCCGGGGGGCTACCACTCACACTACCGCTTATCTCAACAATCTATCGATGAAACTCAATTATACAATTGAATACTCGTATTACTCACAATTACTTAGGTATTCTAACAAAGCTCTAATTCTACAGATTGCCAGTAACAGTGAGACAGTGTTTAGAGAACTTACCAAACTTATAGAACACATAGATTCAACTAGAAGTCAGATCACACCGCGTCAGTACAACCAGCACCTCAAACAACTCCGCTGGTCCACAGAGCAAATCATCAGACAACTAGACCAGTACTGAGAACTGGACCAATACTGGACCAATACTGAGAACTGGAACAAGCAATTTGTAATACTCACTCATTTTGTGGACATTTCCGTATATTAATCGGTTGAAAATATGTTTAATTTAATAAGCAAGAAGAGAATGCTGAGTTTTATACATTATTAATCAAGTTATTTGTTAAAATAAATGTATAATTCTTATCATAATTTTTATTATTTTTACCCTATCAATTGATAGTGTATTTTAAAATGAAATCATTAAAATATGTTTTCTATGTAATAACATATATAATTAACCTTCTTATTTGTTTCATTCAATATCAGCTGAAATTATTGATCCCTGCAATGTAGCACAGTCATGAATACCTTACCTCCGTCGGACTGCAAAATGAACGGAACATTGAATTGTTCTAACAGTTATGAGAAGGGTGAGTGGTGTTGCTCTTTTGCTACTCAGTGCTGTGTTAATGGCACATGGTGATGAGTTAGTGTGTTATCACGTGTTGTGCACGTGTTGTGCACGTGCAACTTTGGTGTGATCTTGTGTTTCTTATCTCTTCTTGATCCACATCATTGCCCATTTTAGATTTTCTGGAGTGAAGCCTTTGTCACAATACCTAGGATTGACATAACTTGCAACCTAAACAGTGAATTTAGTGATTGATAAAGCCCTAAGGTGGTGGACCGTGGATGGCTGCAACGACGACTAGTGTAAAATGCAATTAAGAGGGATTAATTATGAAATGTAAGAGATCTGCAGCTGGATGTGTCAACCTAGAGATTATTGTAATTAGATATTATCACAACAATGAAAATAATTAGTTCAAGGGGGCTATATTTATGAGTCGCATTTGAACTTGATTTCTCTTGGAGAATTTCTCTTTAGACTCTTAACTTGCGAACAAATTGAAGCAGCAAACTTTAGGCTAGAAACTTTATTGAATTGAAATAATCATTCCACGTAACAACGTCTTCTTCAGTTCTCAAATTATTTGTTATATAGTAGTGTTGTTTTAATACTTTCAACACTACTATATAACAAATAATTTGAGAACTGAAGAAGACGTTGTTACGTGGAATGATTATTTCAATTCAATAAAGTTTCTAGCCTAAAGTTTGCTGCTTCAATTTGTTCGCAAGTTAAGAGTCTAAAGAGAAATTCTCCAAGAGAAATCAATGAAAATAATCCCATCATTATTTCTGATTACTTTTAATCCTAGGCATAGTGATGTAATAAAACCTTATCTCTTTCTTCATTTACAACAAGAAACTGTGAGAATGGGTTGGACAGACATCAACATTCGGTTAACTGGCGGCGGGGAAACATTCGACACTACTTACGGTTTACAATAAATAACTGTAATTAATCTTACGGTTTACAGTCAATTACTGTAATTAATCTTACGGTTTACAATCAATTACTGTCAACTTTTAGTCTGCATTGCCTCATGATATTGCTGAACTTTCTTTGCGTTTGATACAATTTATTTATCAATTTCTATATTGTGCTAAAGTGAAGCAGCGTTATTCTAGTATATATACTGCTTGATAATGACTATATATATAGTCATTATCAAGCAGTAAATAATCAACCTGAGGCATCTGAATTCAGATGACTTCAAATGAAAATACTTTTTGAATATGAAAGTGAAAGTGAAACTATATCCCGCAGATATGTGGAGAGAGATATTTGTGTGGTGTTTGGTGTCGAGTCTAGTAATTCACTTCGTGTCGGGACTACTTGCTTGGTACAGTTTGGGAGGTCATCCCATCGCTGTGTACGCTCTTCCTTCTTTCATCATAGCTGGATTCTTTACCCCTCTCTTTGCGGGAACTATTACAAGTTAGGCTTACTTTGTTTTTTATCCTGTTTTTTAATGTTTTTACGCCCTTCTATCTTTAGCCAATGAAAAATTTGCTTTACAATTTAAAGATTTCCTGCTACCACCAATTATAACCCCACTTCATTTCAGGTGCAGTTATAGTATTTGTTTATAAATCAGCGCAATTTACAATGTCATCTTTAGACGCTTTTCTGTGGGGTGTGGGACAGACAATCGTGTATACACTAGTTGCTGTTTCTAGAATTTATGTCACTCTTTGAAGTTCAGTTTTTGTTCATATCATGACGAAGTTTGTTAATCAGCTTGCATGGTTCTGATGTACTCAATTTTGAATCTTGAGAAGTATTAGATCTTTTCTTAATTAATTGATATATTTCGTTAAATATTTTTGTCGAGAAAGTTGTTTATAGTCCGTCTTGCTTGACAGTATGTTGAAATTGGGAACCAAAACTTGCCTTAGTTAGTGAATGACAGATAATTTGTTTGATTTTTTATTTGTGTAAATGATTTTCTTTATATTATCTTATTGTATGTTACTGCTATCAGCTATAATTTGACTCCTTTTGGCGTTGTGGACCTGCCATCGTTACTTGCAGGGTTCAGGGATAGTAGCAAATTCCCGGCAACTTGATAAAAGGGGCGTGTTTTAAATAGAGCTGCACCTAGTCCGTGTGTCCTGGACTTGCCAGTTAAGCCTCAATACACGACTTGAAAGACGACGCTACATTCGATTATCGGTTACGGCGGGCGCTGTTGCCGAACACCAATATGCTTAGTAGTATGTAGCAACTCACACTTCTAATGCGCGTCTTAACCGCGCGCACACCGCGCTATCATCTGACTCGTGTCTGCAGTTGATCTACTATACTCATTTGATTTTACATTTATTATATAACTTGTTTGAATGAAACAAAATAAATCTTAAAAGTTATTATAATAATACCTCAGCAGGATGCAACCAAAGAAGAAAAAACAGAAGGTTGACGAGAATGTTCTTCTCGGCTACACCACAGACAATTTCATCAGAAGTCAACTTGAAGAACTGTATTCTGGATTGAAGCAGTCCACAAACCCAGTCTCTGACCAGATAAAAGAGTTGTTGTTGAACTTAAGACCAACCAAGAAGAAGACAATCGAAGAAGCCGTCATCGCCTTGAAAAATAAGAAATCTGTCTGGCCCCTACCGTCTGATCTCACAATTCCAAATGGTACATTTAAATTCTTCCCACCAAAAGAAGTAGTTGATGTTGGTGGTGTTAGGACATCGACTCATTTGAAAGCATCAAAATCATCCGACTTACTGCTTCTGCTCTCAGAAAAATTTTGCGAACCAAAAGATTATTTGAACGGAAGATATATCGTCAAAAGAACTTTGTTCCTGATGCACTTGATCCCAAAACTCCGGAGTTGCGATTTTGTGTCAAATATAAGGTTCAAATATTTTGAAAGGGACGTGCTCAAACCAGTCCTTCACGTTCAATGTAAAACAGGTGGTTCTTTCAATCTCATACCTTCTGGCTGCACCTTCAAACTATCTTTACTTAATTTTGACAGAAATGCCGTCAGACCTGATAAAGTGTACGATGGTGAAGAGGAATGTTCAGAGATCAGCACTCCGTATTACAACAACTCCATTCTCACTGACATTCATTCCCCTCAATACGTAAGTTTTATGTCAGTCATTGAAGATTCAGAAAACTTCAAACAGGCATTGACCATTCTCAAGTTCTGGCGTGCAAGAAAAGGTGTACAAATTTCCGGACATATATTGACAACATTGTTCCTACATCTATACGAGTCAGGATCTATTGCTACAGAAATGGACGTCCTAACAATCTGCAGACAAGTTTGGTCCTTTTTATCAACCAGCCTCGTTCCCGCATTCTCTACAGGGATCATTGTTGGAGACACCACAAAGACCATGGGTTACCCAGGCTTATATATAGATACTCTTGCTAACGTGTGCTACAACACTGACCTAGTAGCCTTGAAGGAGTTATCTCGACACAGCGGGGTTATGTTGGAAATGTTGGAGTCGAGGGAGTACAATACTCTCGTATCTGTCATGACTGAGAGAGTTTCCTCTCTTTATGATATCTACGATGTTGTTTACAAAGTCGAGATCCCAGAAGCACCTCTACGAGAGAGTTCTTTACAATATTGTGGGGTGCAATTCCGAGGTTTTATAGACCATGTCAGGTCCATCCTCCTGAAATCTTATGGAGACAGGGTGATGGAAATCAAGATGGAGTACATTTTAAGTGAACCCTGGTCAAGGAAATCTCCTCCAGGTCTCCCTAGCTCCGTAATGATTGCTCTCACCATCGACAAAGATAACTGGACAAGACTTGTCGACAGAGGCCCCTCAGCAGATACCGTCCAATCTAAAACGTTCAAAGAGTTTTGGGGGGAAAAGAGTGCTATAAGGAGGTTCCAGGATGGTTCCATTGTTCAAGCAGTAGTGTGGGACGGTAAAACTGCGCAGGCACGTCGCAGTATTCTCACCCAAATCACAGAGCATGTGTTGGGACGTCACGCCGGGATCGCACCGGACAAGGTACAAGAGCTCAAGTTGGAGAGCCAGGAAATAGTGGGCAGAACCTACTACGAGGGAGATGGTGAGGAGCAGGCACAGAAAATCATCAAAACTTTCTCCGAGCTGAGTAAGATCTTGAGAAAGTGCTCCAAGATACCACTTACTATAAACTCAGTGTTAGCCGTATCTCCAGTGCTCAGAAACACTGATCTGTTCCCACAAGCCGAGTATCAAGTAAGCCGCTCAAAGAAGCAAGCTGCTCTCAATACAAGTGAAGCAGTTCCCCCTTTCGTACAAGCTCACGAGATGGTGTGTCACTTTGAGTTGAGTGGCAAGTGGCCAGAGGATGTCCAGGGAATCCTCCGATTGAAGGCTGCCTTTTACCTGGCCCTCAAAGAGGAGCTAGAAAGCATGCATATAACTGCTAAAGTAAACATTAAATTCCTCGACATTGCCCGGAACGGGTTTGTGTTCAGGTTGAGATTTCATGTCCCGAAAGAAGAGAAACTAAGAGCGGGCAACATTTCCTTCTGGGTGCCTTGTTCTGGTGCAGAGCTGAAAGTGCAAACAGTCATCCTACCTTATGTGTCATCTCACCTCAGTAGTTTGAGTCTCCAGCACTCTGCCTACCCTCTAACAGTTAGATTCCTAAAACACTGGGTCTCAATTCACTGCCTCTCAAACTACATTCCTGACATATTCTGTGAACTGGTAGTGGCCCACATATTCCTCAGTGCTACAGCTCACTCCACCCCCCAAACCGCTACAGCTGGGTTCCTTAGAGTTCTCTCCTTCCTCTCTTCATTCGACTGGAACCTGTACCCGCTTCTCATCAACTTCAACCATGAGCTCATATCTGAAACTTTAGAGTTGTACACGAACTTCATGAACACACGAAGTTCTTACCCTGACGCCTGTATAGCGTGCCCTCAAAACGAACTGTCTGATCTGACCCGAGATTCTCCAACAAAATCCTCTCTCAACATCCTTAAACGGCTGGCAGAGAAATCCCTCTCCAATACCAACTCCCTAGATTCTGTCTTCAAACCGAACACCACATCCTACAACGTGATCATCCACTTGAAACGCAGCCAAACAGGGAGGTTCCCAACAGACAACCCTTCACAACACCACGCGAAGAGCTCTCACTTCCCAGTGGTGGAGTACGAACCAGCGCGGCTGTACGTGGAGGAGCTGAGCCGCGCATACGGCCAGCTGTGTCTCTTCCTGTACAACAGATACGCCCCCAGTGTGGTGGGTGTTGTGATGAAGCGAGCTGGGAACGGTGAGGTGAAGTTCACTGTTAATGGCTCTATGGCAAAAGTAAGAACTGAGGGAGGTATGGTGAAGAATAATCTGGATGCTATGTTGTCAGACTTTGATCTGATGGGGAAGGGTTTGGTTCAGAACATTGAAGTACTTGATCTTGAAATTTGAGAATGAGTAGATATGTTTTGCGGGATATTTAATTACACCCTAAAAGAGCAGAGTGTTTGTTATCGTGACAGTGCTGTAATTTCTTTTAACTTCTAACTTATTATTTTATCAGTTTTATATACGTCGTCTAACTCGCTTCTATTTACAAATTAGTAGTACATGTGAAATGACAAACTCTACTTTTAAGAGTTACAAGAGTTACTTGATCACGTGACACATTGCCTGATCACGTGACTCCCCTAAACACTGCTTGTAACACCTAACACTACCTGTAACACCCTCCATGATATAACAGGTGCAATGAAAAGGAAGCAACTAGAGAGTTACCTGCAGGATGTATCCCAGTTCTCCCACCCCAAGTTGGAGCTGGAACAGTACCCCACAGACCCACATCTAGCTGCAAGTGTCCTGTACACTGCTCAGAGCAGCTTCGGGGATATCGAGGACAAGGCTGTGCTGGATATGGGGGCTGGGTGCGGTATTCTCAGTATTGGTAGGTGAGTTATTTAGTGTTCCTGAATTCCTTGCCTGAAAACAGCTTGTTTTCATCTTCACGTTATCATTATAAATCTGTGACGGATCACTAATATGGCTGATCACTAATATGACTGTGGCTGATCAGTAGTGTTCCGACCCGGGAACTACACGGAATATGATACCCTCTCTTTCCAGGAAGTGTAATGTTGGGAGCAGGAAGTGTGACGTCATTAGAGCTGGACTCCGATGCTATCCAGGATTTACAGGATAATATCACTGAGTTTGAGATAGATAACATTGATATTATCCAGTGTTATGTTACCACCGACCTTGTCAGGTTTGTCTTTTTTGTTGGTAATCATTTGACTAGGACAAACGCTATGTCTCTTCTCATTTAAGGGGGTGGGGGGGGGGGGGCCAATGGGTATTTTTTTGTGAAACTTGATTTCGAGATAGCAGTTGACCAACAAACTAGGACCAGTGACCGAACTTTTGAGGGGGTCCCGGACCCCAACCGCCAAACGGTGTGCGCAGGGCAGCCACGCCCATATTTGGTCCAAATTAGGCCCAATTTAGCCAAATACCCTGAACATGCCCAAAACCCAGGTTAATGATGCTCTACTTGTAGCTAGTGGTCTCCTGAACTTATGAATGGAATTTCATCAAGATTGGACAAAAAATGACTGAGTTATGAGCCAAAAACCATATGCCCATATTTAGTCATATGCACCAAATTTGTTATATTTTGTCCCATAAATTGGTCAAATATCAATATTTTTGAATGGGGGGGGGGGGGGGGGGGGGGGTCAACCTCATTTTACCTCATGAGGCCAGCCAAAAAAGGCAAAATTGGGATGAGGTAAAATGAGGTAAAATGAGGTAAATAAATCTAGTTTTCTAAGCCTTTTTTTAGAGACAAAAAAGGTTTATTCGAAGTCATTATACTATAATTCGAGGCTGTGCATGGTCTCCCATGATATTTAATGGTTTATTAGGAGTGATGTGGTCCCTGGGAAGGGGCATTCCCAGTTTAACCTACTTACTCTCCAAACTTGGGGTAAATAAAACTTCGCATTATAATTATTATTTATGAAAAGAAAATTGAACATTTCAATTTCCATGATCCATTAGGAAATTGTTAATAGCACTTGCTAAGTTTTGTAAAGGAATTAGCAATAACTTTAGTGTCACCTTGGCAGTTGCCAATTTATGGGGATATTTCCGCATTGCATGACATGGACCATTTAAATAATATCTTAGTTTGATATTGCGATTATCGAGTCACTCTGAAACAAATTGTGTCTAACTAGACCAAATGTAAACAACAGTTGTGCATGGTACTGGATTGGATATCTACATGAATTTAGTCGAAATTGCATAGTGAAAGGTCATTTCATAATAAATTACTCATATAAACTCATACTTCATACAATTCTAAGTTCTTATGTACATGTTCAATGTTCATGATTCGCTGTAGAATAAAGGGCGGTTCACAAAACCACTTTTCGTTCAAATAATTAGATATCACCTCTAATTAGTTGCTCTATAGGATCAGGAACAACCAAACAATTTTTTGTGTCTACGGTTTCGTATAATCCAATGAAACAAGAAATTTCCAATGAAACAAGAAATTTAATTTTAGCACATTTTACAGAATAAAAAGATGTAAAACAATTCATAAAATATAATGCCCATTTGGTGTATGACTTTTTGTCCTTGAATGCGAGTTTGGTTTTGGAAGGACAGGTAACTAACGGGGCAAGGAATGCGCGTGCCTGATCAAAGCTTTGCACTCACCGAAACGCTAGTTCAGTTAGGTTTTTAGAGACAAGGCTCATATTAGGACTAGAGGACATTTTTTAGTAGACATTAGGGGTTCTGTTTATAGTTGTTACTATAGGTTGCAGCCTTGTTGTGACAAAAAGTCTACACTAAAACATGCTTTAGTTTATATTGTGTAGTTCAAGGATATAAAATGTAGCTTCAAGGACCAAGGTGGATATTAAAGAGCTGGCGAAAGATTATGGCCTTTGTATCAATGGTTATAATAAGCTAAAAATATCTTAAACTATACAGTGCTAATTAAAACTTTCTTTATACTTCATTCTCAGATTAGATTTAGAAAATTCAAAAAATATACATTTATTTTATTAATACTTTCTCACACATTCTTTACTCACAGGACAAGACTTGGAAAACAGTAGCCTAGGGGAATTTAATTGAGATGTGTGTGACCAGCCAGTTATAATGTTTGGAAAATAATATTTGTACAGTCAAAATCTTTTACGGTCCAATCAAGCAGGGCGTGGTTATGCTGATTGGCTAATAGAGCACGTTTAAGTTTTCCTCGCAAGCACATTACACTAGTAGTAAAGTCAGTCATTCTGAACTTTGGGGTTAAAATGTTAAAAATTTTGGTTGATCTAGTGTTGTGGTTGTCAGGTGGGTGATCTACCTGACAGATTAGAAGGCAGGGTTTCCTCGACGAACATGTGTAACCCTCATATAGTGATATTGGAGCACAGAATTTCATATATTTCATATATAATACTGACTTGGGCCACGCCCATATTTTTCACCAATTTTTAACAGGTAAAATTATCTAAATCGTCAATTTAGTCACGAAGGAGTTCTAAATGCAATGTGTGCTCCTCTAATATAAACAGTAGGAAATGGTTAACTTTAGTCGAGGTTTCAGGTCTCTACAATGTCGGAAAGTTCCTGCAGGAATTTGCGCATTGCCATGCGCTGAAGCGCAAGATTCACTGCGCCAAAAGCGAAGGTCGTAGAGACATGAGACCTTGACTAAAGTTAACCGTTTCATACCATTGCTATCAGAGTATGCCACTTTCAGAGTCCTGAACACACTCCTACAGCTCTTAATCGTCAATTATATGAATTTTACCTGTTAAAATATATCATCTTTAACTGATATCAATTTAGTTTAAAACACTGTTAGTTTTAAAAAAGAACATTCATCACACCAAACTAACGCACAATATGATAATATAAAAAAGGAAGGTTTTCCTTGGATTCCGAATTCAACTTTGATTATATCCTGGCACTGATTATCATTTCTCGATTGTTCTCCATTTTCCAATGCAGTCAGCAAGTTCCAATTTAGGTAGACTAGGTTTTCGAATCTTCATATTATGTTCAGAAGCAGGCCAGAAGGGGTTGTTACCAGAGGAATATCTTCTTGGAACAAGGAATTAATGAGGTCTTCATTTATTTCTTCATAACTCGTCACTGACAGTCCGGACAGGATGAGCATTGACGAGATCCACTGATTACTTCATAGCTCGTCATTGATAGGATCAGTATTAATTATTAAATGAGGTCGAATGATTACTTCATAGCTCGTCACTAACTGGATCAGCATAACATGACTAACAACTAACGAGGTCCAGTGATCTCTTGCTGATACGTCAAAACAAGATCAGTAAATAGCTATAAATATCGAAAAAAATTAGCTTAGAAATTACAGAGTACAAATGCCTTCTTCACAACTAACTCTTTGGCCTCATCTTTTTAAATCACTCATTCCCTCTGAAACAAGATAATGCTTAGGACTAGGAGGAACTTAGTTAACTTCTTGTATAATTCGGTAAGAGGAAAATTCCTTAGTAAGCTAACATTCTTTTGTAGGATGTTATCACTTATCATATTATATTGTATATTATATATATCTGTTATCCAGCATAATCCCACAACTAGACCCTCTTATTCTGGAGTCTTGACAATGACAGCAGCACTGTACACTATTTTGATGGTCCAGGTCTCCAAGAAAACCTTCCTCTTTATATTATCATATTGTGTGTTAGTTTGGTGTGAAGTATTATTTTCTTTTTTAAAACTAACAGTGTTAAACTAAATTGATATCAGTAAAAGATGATATATTTTAACAGGTAAAATTCATATAATTGACGATTAAGAGATATGGGAGTGTGTTCAGGACTCTGAAAGTGGCATACTCTTACAGCAATGATATGAAATGGTTAACTTTAGTCAAGGTCTCATGTATCTACGACCTTCGCTTTTGGCGCAGTGAATCTTGCGCTTCAAGCGCAATGCGCAAATTCCTGCAGGAACTTCCCGACATTGTAGAGACCTGAGACCTCGACTTAAGTTAACCATTTCCTACTGTTTATATTAGAGGAGCACACATTTAGAATTCCTTCCATACTCCTTCGTGACTAAATTGACGATTTAGAGAAGTTTACCTGTTAAAAATTTTTGCCGAAATTTACCTCATTTTACCTCATGAGGCCAGCCAAAAAAGGCAAAATTGGGATGAGGTAAAATGAGGTAAAATGAGGTTGACCCCCCCCCCCCCCTGAATGAGACTTACTTTTGATGAAAGGTAAGCCTAAACTACATATTCTCTGTAAGTTATAGCTTTATATCTGTTTAAATGTGGATACTAAGGCGAAAAAAAAACCACAACATTTTTTTTTTTTTTTGGAAAACAAATAGAATAATATATAACAATATAATTTACAACAATGTATATCGACCAGATTTGAACCAACAATTAATTGAGTCCATAGGACTCATAATTAGCTAAGCTTTGATACAAAGCATGCGAACTCAAAGTCGCTTTCACAACTTTTGTCAACTGAATTGACAGAAGATCTGGTTCCTCTTATACACAGGAGAACCAGCTTCCTGATAATAAATGATAATTTGCATCTTAAAAAATTGACAACATCTGAATAATTTTGTTGAGTCTTATAAGATATTTTCTCATACAATGATCTAAAAAATGTTCTCGCTTCTGGCCCGCTGCCACCCGTGACAGAGTACACCAGTGGACAGAAACTCCCATGTTCGACGTTCAATATTCTCTCGTTGTATAACCTCCGCTTCTGAGTCTCAGCTCTCTCGTATATTTTTTCTGTTGATGATGAGAGATAAGACTCAGAATTGGGATTGAGAACTTTATGTCGAAATAGGAGTTCTGTCCCGGACGATAGAATCCCCTGGCACGGACGTCAGGGTGGGTACTGTCTCCTGTTAGTGTGGTACTTGTTGAGAAAGTCTCCCCGTCTAAAGTCTGTAGGTGGGGCTCACATTGTACGTCTTTGCAAACAGTTGATAGTTGTTTGGCTATGAAATCCCTAACTGAGTTGTGGCGGATGATGATGTAGCCCCCTCTTGGACAGTTTAGAGCATGGTTGATGTCCATTTTGGCCCCACAAACACAGGATTGAGGTAATCGTGGAAGGTCTTTGTTATATCGAAGAAGTAGACTATCCCTGAATTCCCCTTTGTTCAATGTGAACCCATAAGACTTAAGAGGTAGGACAGTCAACCAACTTGAGCTTCCTTTTTCTCTTGCCTGATTAATTGCACGTGTAGATCTATCACTGCTTTCATTGCAGATTAACGTGTATTCTAATTCATGCTTTTCTGCCCTCACTTTTAGAATCTCTTTCAGCGACTCGGAATCATGATCTATATCCGTTTCAATTCCGGCCATGGCCTTTACTAAGGACTTAGTCACTTCCATGGATGTTTTATACTCCTCTGATGCCAACTTTGATAAAACTGGTATGCCTAGTCCCCCACATCGTATGGGTACCGCAACCGTTCTTCTCTCTAATGGTGTAATAGGGCATCCAAATAAAGCCGGTAAAGCCTTCTCATGAAGTATGTCATTTTGTGCCTAACCCCATGAGTGAATGCTGCATATGCTGCTTGTGGCTGGGATTGACCAAAATCTGATAATTTGTTGATCATTTTGGTCCATTCTTCAACTAAATTATTGATGTAAAGTCGTTTAGATTCCTGTGACTTAATAACCGCTCCAAGATGTCTCTGTCCAGTTATTTTTATCTCGATCCCGCTTTCTCCAAATATTTCCATAGCCCTCTCCATGCTCGAATTTTGTGAGAAAATTTTGGAATTTGACCGCCAAATTTTTTTGGAGGCCTAAATCAAAAATCCGTTCTCAAAATAAGGTCGAAATGCGATTTCGAGTCGATTCTGAAAATTTGATGCAAAAATTCTGAAAACTGATTGAGCTGTTACAATTTTAATGAGATCAATTCCGCGAATATCGCGAACCAAGATATAGGCAATTTAGTTCATTTTTTGTGGTTTTTTTCGCCTTAGTATCCACATTTAAACAGATATAAAGCTATAACTTACAGAGAATATGTAGTTTAGGCTTACCTTTCATAAAAAGTAAGTCTCATTCAAAAATATTGAGATTTGACCAATTAATGGGACGAAATCTACCAAATTTGGTGCGTATGCCCAAATATGGGCATATTGTTTTTGGCTCATAACTCAGTCATTTTTGTCCAATCTTGATGAAATTGTATATACAAGTTCAGGAGACCACTAGCTACAAGTAGAGCACCATAAACTTGGGTTTTGGGCATGTTCAGGGTATTTGGCTAAATTGGGCCTAATTTGGACCAAATATAGGCGTGGCTGGGACCCCCTCAAAAGTTCGGTCACTAGTCCTAGTTTGTTGGTCAACTGCTATCTCGAAATCAAGTTTCACAAAAAAATACCCATTGGCTTGACATTTTGTGGAACGACTTTTGCTCAAATATATAATTAAATTTTAAATTTTAAACAGCACTGTCTCAATTTATAATTTACTTCTATTAAATATGGTTTGATTATTTTGCAGATGCCCACATGCACAGTATGTTCCTCTATATTTACATAAATATCAAAACTGTCAGTATCAAACTAAAAACTAAATCGAAAGGGAGCCTGCTAACCAAAATGTCGGGTGTAGCACGCCTTGGGAAAAGTTTAGTGTGCAGACAGCTACAGCATACAATTTTGTGCAGATAGAATTCATATCAGTTTGTTCACAAAAATTGTAGACATGCAGTTAGAATTTCTCTTGTAGTTGAGCAATACACCAATATTGATACATAAGAGCAACGACCAGTCATTTTACCATAACTTAGTTCTTTTGTTCTCTAATCTCTCAGCTTACAATTGTTCCCTATTGTGCGTTTTGTTTCAAAATGAATTGTTTTAACTGTAACGTGAGACCCCCCTGTAAAGATGCCACTGATGAATATAATAAAACCTGCGCAGGGCAGGGACAAAAGGATTTCGCGATTATTTTGGCCAAATTTCGCGGTACCGCGAAATTTAACAGGTTATACATTAAACTACACATAAAATTTGTCGCGGAGAATGGGAAATTCCGCGATTTCGTACATGCCGCGAAATCCTTTTGTCCCTGGCGCAGGGGAAGACAAAGTAGCCTCACTACCTGCAAATTTAACAATGAACAAATCTAACTAATGTAATTGAGTAATGATCAAAGTGATAAAACCTACATCTTATTTCCTGTGTCTCAGGTAGTGATTGTTTTGTTCGGCAGGCCACACCTTTACTATGGCCACACCTTTTCTATGGCATATTCATATGAATTATGAACTGTAAGAAAGATGTAGTCAGTTTCTTACCGTATCTTACTGTATCTATTAGATATCTTTTATGATCTAAGTGTAGTGTACCACTGTACCCCCCCCCCCCCCCCCCCCCGATATCTTTTCTCTATCCACTAAATCTGTGACCCATTCTCTCCACTCCCACTCTCCCAGGCCAGACTTCAAGTTCGACACAGTAGTGATGAACCCTCCCTTTGGCACAAAGAACAACTCTGGTATTGACATGACTTTCCTAGAAGTAGCACTGTCAGCCATCACTCCTTCGGAGCTGTGTACTCTTTTCATAAGACCTCCACCAGAGACTATATCCTCAACAAATTTGAGAGTAAAGGGCTCAATATAGAGGTGCTAGCTGAGATGAAGTTTAAAATACCTCACATGTATAAGCAACATCGGAAGAAGGAGGTACTGGTTGATGTTGATTTTATTAGGATATGCGGCAAGTCAGCAGCTAAAGGAAGCTGAGAAAGTAACCAATGTTACTACCGTATTTTAATTAAGTCAATCTTTCGTTTACCTGACGGTATAATTGTTATTTAATTTGTACTGCAGTTAGTGCAGTAGTGTATCGCAATTTAGATGTCTTTGAACACAAATACAAAATATAGAAATTCAGACAACACTCAACAGTTGCGACTTTGAAATGAGAAGATTATTCTCTTTTGTTCTTTATCTTTCTCGAGTTTCTTCTCAATTTTTCGGGAGGAGGTGGTCGTGACTGACCGTTGGTGATTTAAGTACTGTCTTATTGATAATTTACTGATATTATAAAATCTAGTTTCAAGTAAATTAAGGCTACCACTTAGATACCAAATAAATCTTCCTGAAATCCATAACATTGTAAAAAATTTGTTAAATAATTCAAAATAATACCTAGATAACTTAACCCAGAATATTACAGGATATGTACCACTGAGATGATGTGTGACGTTAACCATGTTAACCATGTTAACCATGTTAACCATGTTAACAATCAGTTCGGTCTACAGTTTCCAGGATTCACTCAGGTCAGCTCCAATTTAGAAAACATGCTACCTGGCGTCAATCCCAATCCTGCCGCTCAACCTTTCAACAACACTCAAACTATCAACAATAACTCGCCCAACAATCCGCTGGGATTGTTGTATGGGATGTCTGATGCGGTGCCTTGTCAGTACTTCTCATAACAATGTTCCGCATTCCATGAGCAATGTTCCTGTTTCGCATTCCATTAGCAATGTTTCGCAATCCGTTAGCAATGTTCCTGTTTCGGGTTTGTACCCTCCTCAAACAATTTACTCCTCAGTATCCCCAAGTCCATCTCAGCAGTCCCATCACAGTCTTGTCACGTTACCAAGTTCCCACTCAACCTTACCTAACAACCTACATCGTTACCAAGTAACCACTCTACCCTACCTAACAACCAAAAGTATCCCAGTTTACCAGTCAACTCCCCAGATATCAGCACCCTTGGTGAAACTGGACCTCTTTACACTAGTTATCACTCAGTCAAGAGACACCACGAAACAGAGAAAGGGAGGGAGCTTGCTAAACACGCCACTCAACTGGAAGCAATGGTCTTCACCATGAGAGAGCAATATGAGCATGACATAAACCACTACAAAACACAACTATGTCAACAAATGGAGAGCTACTCCAGGTTGAAATCTAAAGCAAAGCAGCTGAAAGAGGATTATAAAGAAAGGCATAGTATGTTGTCTGAGCAGAGCAAGCTAAAAGAGGAGTACAACATGCTGGTGGTTCAGATGGAGGAAGAGAGAAAACAGAGAATCAATGACAGGACAACAAAATCAATAGAGTCTAAGAAACTGATCATGGCGATAAGGGCGGAGCTGGAACAACAGAAACAAGCGAATATAGATTCAAAGAGTCTGATAATCGCACGAACACGGGAAAAGGAAGAGATAACCGAGAAACTTGCTAAAGTTGAACATGATCTGTCCAAGAGAGATGATAGTGTGGTCAACCTCAAAAAGGATGTCATTGATGTGACACAGAAATACAAACTCGCCCAACAGGATCTCGTTCAGAAGAGATTCGACTCTGCCAACTTGAAGTTAAAAATAGCGGCTGCAAACTGCGAGGCTCAGATAAGAGAACGGTCTAAGTTACCTAATCCTGAACGTTACAGCCTGGTGGCATGGAAGGAATGCCAGGAAGATGTGAGGAAGAAGTTGGAAGATAACAAAAAGAAGCACGATCAGTACACTGCCTCGCTCCACGAGGATCCAGACCTGGTGTGGTTTGCAGAGGAGCCACGTGGACCTCCTATTGACATATCCGTACCTCCTCTTCCTCTACAGAGGTTTGATGATATTTTATTGGGGAGGGTTGCTCCTGATCTCCCTCTATCATCTCCACCCCCTCTTCCTACTGTTAACAACGAGCTGAATACTGCCAGGATCAACTCTGAGCTAGAGAAGATTGCTAATATGCTGGATGGACCCATTACATTGGTCGATGACAATGTAGTGGTACCTCCCAATGACGTGGTACCTCCCGCTCTTGCAGCGATGGTTGAGTCTGCTCTCCCCACTGTCACTAACATAAATTCTCCTGCTTTGAATGTTGTACCTCCGGTTCTTATGGTTACGTCCCCTCGTGCAAGAGGAAGAGGAATTATACCGTCTATCAGTGCTCCAGACACTCTCTCTGTGGGTAGAGGGAGAGGTAAAGGCCGCAGTAGAACTCTACCTTCTAGAGGTGGGAGTCTAGATACTTCCCCTATTGCACCCTATAACCCTCCCAGAGCACTCAATCCTGCGACTGCTAGCTCAGATATTCCAATAAGAATGTCGAGGATGCCCAGTGATGAAGTTACTACAGGGGTATCCAGGGTACCCAGAATTGTTCAAAGTCATGTTATTGACAATACCATCCCGACATGGCCCATAGGTGATCAAAGTAATAAAACTGACAACCCCACCTGGTCTAGTTCCATCCCGACCTGGTCGGATTCTGATGTTCCACACTTGCAGCTGCACAGCCAGGGACTAGAACATGAACTCTCAGGACTAAATCTAAGATCCTATCAGGAAGAGTATAACTCTGGTTCTGATCAAGAGTCCAACAATTGCTCACCAGCAGAGGCTGAGAAACTGATACGCCAATTGCAAGAAATTTACCCAATTTTGTCGGATAATGACGTAAGGAATTATTTGACGAAACTTCAGAAGCAAAAGCCATATCGGCTGAAAACAAAGCATCAGCCACTATTTGAGAGGTTGGTTGACTTTGTAGCTGCTGATTTAGTGTCCAGTAATCATGGTAACCATGGTAACACGCTACAACCAGACCGGCGACCCTCCCTTTCCCCAGATAACACGTGCGTTATCTGTCTAGAAACCCTCCTAATTGGAAAAGTGCACGTGTCAGACTGCGCACACAGATTCCACAAGGCATGTGTCGAGCTCTGGTTTGCAACCCGCAACTTTACCTGTCCAACATGCCGTACGTTACAACATGCCGAAAACATGCCGCCAACATGCCACGCATTCCAGCCCAACATCTCCTCCTCCAGCGCTTCCACTCTCTCGGAGGAGGATCACGGAGGAAATGAATTCTCAGAATTCCCGAGAGAGTTATATGCTCAAAGGGATAGGCACGGTTATTATGATAGACAAATTTAACAGATAACTGATTAAACTGTGTGTTTGAAAATGTTGTCTTTTCTTGCTGTCAAATTTATTATTATTAACAGACTTTGATTGATCATACTTTTAATTATCTTAATATATAATATAATAACAATAATAATATATTATAATAATATATTTAATAAGCTTTTTGCGTTCACTCAGTTAATCTTCGATAGTTCATGATATACTTTACCATATTGTTTACAACTGTAATGCTTCAAAATGAAGCAGTGACAATTTGATTATTAGTGGTTAACTTTAGCCTCGAGAGATGCCAAATATTAATATAAAAGTTTTCGATAACTTTATGGATTATTAATTTATTAACATGATATGACTGTCTTATTTACATTTTTTCATCTCACAAATTTGACAGTTTGCGAGATACTACAGGGTGGGCCAAAAGTCAGTGTGCAAACGTTGGGTCTTATACCTCCGCCGTGTTTTATATTTAAGAGCTGTTGCTTTGCAGATGGCATACTGTACTTACTGGTTCGAGGATTCCGTCGTCAAAATTTGAAAATTCGAATATTTTAGACCACGCCCATTCAATATTAAAACACCTATATTGTTTTCTCTGAAGATGCTGAACGCCTAATTTTTTCAGAGACGGTAGATTATCAAATTTTGCATATGATCTGAAAACATGAGGCAAAACGGATTAGAAATGACGAAGTTATTAAGCATTTTGTGTATCTCGTTAACAAAATTGACTGGGTGATTATGTGACACCGTGACACGACACCTTAATTGGGCACCCTTAACAATTCCCATAATGTTTAACGGGGTAGTTAACGGGGTCACCTTATCACGTGATTAGGTAAACCAATCACCTGATCACACGTAATGAATAAACTCGTTATGCTTCATATCTCGGTCATCTGAGAAGCTACAGTTCTAATTCTTTCAGGACTAACGTAATTCGAATTGCCAAACACAATTCAATAAGATTTAGCTTGATCCGACTAGCCAAACTATCAAATAAATGTGAAAATGAACCTCCATTTGAAAAAATGAACGCGAATATTTTTCGAGTTGACAAATTCCTCGAACCAGTGGTGGTACTAAGTCATACCAGAAGGAAGTATTTCAATTGGGCACTCAGTGACTGAGCTATTAAGGCCAACGTTTGCACACTGACTTTTGGCCCACCCTGTATTATTGCTATAACTTCACTTTTTAATATTGTTCAGTGTGTCTAAAAATAGCGTTACTTGATGTAACACTTAATATAATAGTTCAATCAGTTGGAACGTGTGCATAAATTATATTTATGATAACATAAAATTTAATTGTTTCAAACTACATTTAATTTATTTTATCGTTAAATAACAAATCATATTCTTAAATTCTTCTGCATTGGTCATTTCTTTCCAGTCAATCGCTATTTCACCTTAAAATGTAGCGGCAAATTTACTGGTCTTGATAAAATATATGAAAATATTCCATTCCAATAAATACTTTATATTTGCAAAGATAACTAAATACCTAAATGAACTTGTCTAGTTTTGCCTAGTACAATTAAGAAAATAAATTGTAACCTAAATAACAGCTCGATGGAAGGAGTAAGAAGATGTGGGTTCTAGAACTGGTGGGAGATTAGGAAAAGAGGAGAAAAGAGGAGATTCACTAAATGAGCAACTTGTCTCACCTCAGTGGGAAGAGAGCTAGAGGAAGGGGTCGTGGTGCAGTCACTCAACAAGTAAGAGCCTAGCTGGGGGGGGGGGGGGGTCGTGGTGCAGTTACTCAACAAGTAAGAGCCTAGCTGGGGGGGGGGGGGGGTCGTGGTGCAGTCACTCAACAAGTAAGAGCCTAGCTGGGGGGGGGGGGTCGTGGTGCAGTCACTCAACAAGTAAGAGCCTAGCTGGGGGGGGGGGGGGGGGGGGGGTCGTGGTGCAGTCACTCAACAAGTAAGAGCCTAGCTTGGGGGGGGGGGGGGGTCGTGGTGCAGTCACTCAACGAGTAAGAGCCTAGCTGGGGGGGAAGGGGTCGTGGTGCAGTCACTCAACAAGTAAGAGCCTAGCTGGGGGGGGGGGGTCGTGGTACAGTCACTCAACAAGTAAGAACTAAGAGCCTAGCTGGGGGGGGGGGGGGTCGTGGTGCAGTCAATCAACAAGTCAGAGCCTAGCTGAGGGGGGGGGGGTCGTGGTGCAGTCACTTAACAAGTAAGAGCCTAGCTGGGGGGAGGGGTCGTGGTGCAGTCACTCAACAAGTAAGAGCCTAGCCGGGGGGGGGGGGGGGGTCGTGGTACAGTCACTCAATAAGTAAGAGCCTAGCTGGGGGGGGGGGGGGGTCGTGGTGCAGTCACTCAACAAGTAAGAGCCTAGCTGGGGGGGGGGGGTCGTGGTACAGACACCCAACAATTAAGAGCCTCTGCATTTCTGGGGGTTATGTTATAATTGTGGCTATTAAGGGGTGTTATACTACCCTATACTACAATCTACAGGGAGGGTTAATGTAGGACCTTGAAATCCCCGGTTTATTGTTCGGGTTTGTTTGACATTTAAACTCCCCAGCCTCGGTCCCAGTTATTGTCAGTACCAGGGAGAGGCGTGGCTCCAACACCCAGAGTTGCCGTTCCTGTCACTCCTACATGGGGCCCTACTAAACACAACGGGCATGGTTCGTATACAATTAGTTTTAAATTAGTATTTTACAGAACAATAGTAGTTGAAATTTACGAAATGTACGTTTGCAAATATAGGTGGGTTGAAGATGATACTGAATAATCGGATTCCACGTTTAATGAATATATGTTGTTCAGCGAAAGAAGAGAAGAAATTGCCACAATATGTGATACCGGAGAACTTCCTTAGTTCTGATGAGGAAGAAGAAGTTGACCAGCAAGTGAGAATCTAGTGAAATTTAAAAAAGGATATGAAAATTAAAGTGAAAGTGAAAATGGCGCAAAGTTTGTTTTCCCGTGCTGCAAGATTGAGAATCTCTGTCACTGTTCGTAAATCTGCAATTTTGTTTTTATCGTAGAAATACCTCAAAGTGAGACTAAATGTGACCAATAGTGACCAATAGTGACCAATAGTGACTAATAGTGACCAATAGTGACCAATAGTGACCAATAGTGACCAATAGTGACTAATAGTGACCAATAGTGACCAATAGTGACCAATAGTGACCAATAGTGTAACATGTTGTTATGAAGACCTTCTCTCCAGGTGTTGGTTAAAGTGCTAGGATCGTACGGAGAGGACAGAGAGGGACTCCAGAGCAAACTGGCCGATCTCTACAACACTTCCTCTAGCAGCTGTCTAGTCTGCATATCAACCGTTAGTTAGTGTTTTACTCTTCTATCGGTTTATGTCACAAATTAAACAATTTATCACAATAGCAGCTGCCTTCACAGTACATTTAGTTTAGTCTAGAAAATAACTTGGTACAGGTGCGGCACGCTGAGCCAGTGTGGTCCTGTCCCCAGTGTAGCGACTCCTTCCACCTGGTGTGTATCCAGAAGTGGGCTAGGGACGGTATCAAGGCTCCCTCTGTCCTCTCAGCTGAGCTGTTCCCTAACAAAGACGTTCCCTGGTTCTGTCCTAAATGCAGGGAGGAGTTCTCCAGGAAACAGATACCAACCAGGTTTATATTCTCTAGTTATTTGGGAATATATTGGGAATTGTTTTTCTGGTTTTATTTTAATTTGAAATTGAGGAAACGAATCAGGGAATCAGGGAATTCAAATGGGTTTATAGAAAATGACATCAGAGTTGGTACTAGAAATAGAGATTTATCTCTTGTTTCAAAGTTTCCAATTTGTTCTAATCAGTACGATTTCAACAGAGCTGTAGTGACTGACAAATATATGTTTTATTTGTCAACTTCGCCGCGGTTACACCACTCACGGTCAATGAAAAATCCATTTATAGCAATCCTTGCCCTAACTATTAGAGTAATTCATCTAGAGATTTGACAAACTGAAATGGAATTGCAGAAGAATATTTATAATGTTTAGTGTGCAGTTGCTGAGATGATGACGAGTAATACAAATAAATGTGATATTTTTGACTAAAACATCCCAAATATTCCAGATACTACTGTTACTGCACTAATAAAGTAGACCCAGTGTACGACCCCACCACTAACCCCACCCCTTGCACCAGATACTACTGTTACTGCACTAAGAAAGTAGACCCAGTGTACGACCCCACCACTAACCCCACCCCTTGCACCAGATACTACTGTCACTGCACTAAGAAAGTTGTCCCAGTGTACGACCCCACCACTAACCCCGCCCCTTGCACCAGATACTACTGTCACTGACTAAGAAAGTAGACCCAGTGTACGACCCCACCACTAACCCCACCCCTTGCACCAGATACTACTGTTACTGCACTAAGAAAGTAGACCCAGTGTACGACCCCACCACTAACCCCACCCCTTGCACCAGATACTACTGTCACTGACTAAGAAAGTTGTCCCAGTGTACGACCCCACCACTAACCCCACCCCTTGCACCAGATACTACTGTCACTGACTAAGAAAGTAGACCCAGTGTACGACCCCACCACTAACCCCACCCCTTGCCCCAGATACTACTGTTACTGCACTAAGAAAGTAGACCCAGTGTACGACCCCACCACTAACCCCACCCCTTGCACCAGATACTACTGTCACTGACTAAGAAAGTTGTCCCAGTGTACGACCCCACCACTAACCCCACCCCTTGCACCAGATACTACTGTTACTGCACTAAGAAAGTAGACCCAGTGTACGACCCCACCACTAACCCCACCCCTTGCCCCAGATACTACTGTTACTGCACTAAGAAAGTAGACCCAGTGTACGACCCCACCACTTACCCCACCCCTTGCCCCAGATACTACTGTTACTGCACTAAGAAAGTAGACCCAGTGTACGACCCCACTACTAACCCCACCCCTTGCCCCAGATACTACTGTTACTGCACTAAGAAAGTAGACCCAGTGTACGACCCCACCACTAACCCCACCCCTTGCCCCAGATACTACTGTTACTGCACTAAGAAAGTAGACCCAGTGTACGACCCCTGGATAGCACCACATTCCTGCGGAGAAGTGTGTGATAAGCCCCTAACTTCTAACTGTGGGCACTCCTGTCTTCTTCTCTGCCATCCCGGACGCTGTCCTCCTTGTCCTAAACAGGTTTTTTTATCTTTTACAGGGTGATATTTTATTATTTCTTAAAGTCCCAACATTCTTTTTAATCATCCTGTAATATCGTGTCCTGAATTTTAGCTATTTTAAACATTTATCTGAGAAATTCCCCAAACATGTCTGAAATACTGACTTGAAATGTTTCAGGTGTTAAGTTCATGTTATTGTGGTGGAAGACGGAACGAAACGAGGAGGTGTGGTCAGGCTCGGTGGTCTTGCGGAGGAGTGTGCAACAAACCCCTCCAGTGTGGGCAACATGCCTGTTATAAAACCTGTCATGAGGGTACAACTATTTCTTTTAACTTATTGTCAGTTTAGTAGTAGCAGTTAAATCGAATTCTTCGTTAAGAAAGTCTCAAAATTTCAATTAAAATACACAAAAGGAATAGGTTGTCATCCTCAAAGATTACACCTAAAACCATAACTTTGTGCAGCACACACTACAACTACTAACTAGTAGTTAGTAGTTGTAGAGTAACTAGTAGCCTCTCTAGGAGAGTGCGCGCCGTGTGAACGAGAGTCCCTGCAGTCGTGCAGGTGCAGTAAGGAGTCAGCACTGAGACAGTGCCTCAAATACGACTGGCAATGTGCCAGAGTGTGCAGCAAGCCTCTACCCTGTGGGAACCACAAGTGTATGGAGACGTGTCACTCAGGACGCTGTGAACCTTGTCCACCTTCTCTCAGAGCCACCTGTCCTTGTGGCAAAACACCCGTCAGTAACACTTCTTACTTGTACCCATGCATTTTTTATTGTCATTTTTTAATTTCAAAATTCAAATACATTTTACATCAATGTATTACTATCAAATTTACACAAATAAAGACCAAAAGATCTACAATGAGTCAAAGACATGATTCATGAAGGTTAGAGAACCTTTACAGTCTCCATTTAGTGTATCAGATTGTTTTAGTTTAAACCAGGTCACTAACATTCATACCCCGGCAGCTTTCAAAACACTACCCATGTGACGCGCCAGCGCCCACGTGTGAGTTATCATGTGACAAGTCTCTGCCATGTGGACAACATTCCTGTTTTAGAGTGTGTCACCTGGGACCTTGTGATACCTGCCTCCAAGTTAGAGACAAACCCTGTAGATGTGGCAAGACTCACAAGGTATCTGCAGTGGGTCCCTTGTTATAACCAATAAAACTGTTATCTTATCACATAATTAACATATTAAATATTACGTAATTAATTATTATTTATGCGATTAATCATCGTAACTAAATATGCTAATACACCAGGAAGTGACGTGTGGTCAGGAAGTATTACCTAATTAACCTGCTAATTATGCTAATACACCAGGAAGTGACGTGTGCTCAGGAACTAACATGCGAGATAAAGTGTAACAAAGAGAAGGAGTGCGGGAGACACACTTGTAAGCGGAAGTGTTGTCCGGGAAGAGAGTGTGGCGAGTGTGACAAGAGGTGTGACAAGACATTACCCTGTAGAAACCACAAGGTTAGCTTTATAATAACTGCCCACACACAACCCTTCAATGATCTCTTAATCAGCTATTTTTACTGCTTACGACCAACAACAACTGCAAACGTTAGTCAATAACTCAAAATCAAATTTCCAATGTTTATAACTAACCTGAAGAGTCACGTGTTCATTGAACTTCAAAAAAAAGTCTCCTATCTTACCAAGAAATGAGACATGTTGTTACTCAGAAGACCATTACTCGGTAATCATTGCTATCATATACTGGTACTCTAGTGGGATAGAGGATGTCGTACAATGCAATTGTAAACCGCACCCCACGGAGGGTGCAGCCTGCAGGCGAACCGGAGGATATATTGTAGTGTCTTCTAACCGTGGTTTGTTTCTGCATTAGGGGTCGTTCACATATTACGTTATCACTTTTTGGACAATCTTTAGAAGTTAGAGAGTAGCTAATTGGTCAAAAAATAAGTATTGTGACATGATACCATATATAATAATAAAGAATACTGTGTATCTAATGTCAAACTCAATATCTATAATCAATAACTTTTACTCAAACAATTGCAATGGTTGGGGTTGGAAATTGCAACCGAATATTGAATATCATTTGTTAAAACCACAACCAATAGCATATTAAATAAAGATTTTTTGAATGTTGAGCCAAGAATATAGTTTTTTACCTACAAGTACAAACACGGAACGACCAAGGCTTTGACAAAATTTAACATCGCTTTTGAAATTTAACATCTGGATACCCGAATTGGAACTTTTTGCAGTAGTTGAAACACAACATTTTTATAATTTTTCAAGTAAGATCTCGCTACATCTGCAATCTCTAAAAGGTTTTATTTCACTTCTCTTGGAGAATCTCATACTTAGTCTCCCTATCGTACACCATTGTCCCTACAAATCCAACGAAAGAAAAGAACAGAAAGATACCAACCACAGAATAGGGGCTTACATAGAACAATAAATAGACACACGCCGTCCCAAAAACGCCTCCTATTTTTCCACAACTGTTGATGATACCAGTTGCTGTAGATCGGATGCAAGTGGGGAAACTTTCTGGTATCATGATCCAAAGTGTGGTATTCACAAAGGTCCCGACAATTTTAGCGATTATCGTTGTTGCAAAAGTGAACGATTCATTAACACACACAAATAGTGTTGCTATCAATAGCGACATAATCAAACTTGCCACTCTTATTGGTATGAGCCGGCCTATGCACTGTGCTAAAATCACAGCCGCTATTGCACCCAAAATACTTCCTCCACTGGCGATCGTCAACTTCAACAGATCATCTTGTGTCAAGCTTTGGCATTTATGCTTTGGTGATTGAGCTGCTCCACACATATTAGCACTGTACATCAGGGGTAGCCACACTATCAGGCCATACCCAATGAAAATATTGCAGAAGTACATGACGGAGAGGGCAATGGTTGACTTTCTGTTGTCCTTGTTCAAGATCTTAGAGTATGACCCCAGTTCCTCGTCAACAAAACAGGCCATTTTTATTTTTTCTTGTAATTTTCTTCTGTTAAGCTTGGCCATGGTCCTGACAGCTTTCATTGCTTTGTCCTGTTGTCCACTGACACAAAGAAATCGAGGGGATTCAGGAAGTGCAAGAATCAAGATTAAAGCAGGGACAGCAGGAAGTGAGACAATGATGATTAACCAATGCCATCCAACATTTTTTAGGACTAGAAATGCCGCTCCGCTGACTGCTCCTATGCCACCAGATGCACCAAAAGAAAAAACTAGGACTCCAAAGACTCGATACTTGCTTTCAGCAAACTCAGCGGTGTAGCACACTATGCAGCTGAGATTAATACCAATGCATGCACCAGTCACCAACCTAGTTGCAAGAAAGACCCATTTATTTGGTGATAAGGCGCCACAAATTGCTGCCAATAACAACAAAAGTGTCGACCATTGAATCACAGTTTTCCTTCCGTATTTGTCTGCAACTTTTCCAAACATTATCGCAAACACTGCATAAGAGCCATACATTGATACTGTGATAGCTGCTTCAAAACCTGCAGTTAGTCCCCAATCACATCTCAAAGAAGGAAGAATAACTGCTATAACAGTCAATTCAGCAAAGTCAGAATACGCCACCAGAGCAACTAAGGTCCAGTAAAGATATTGTGCAGGACCAAGTCCTATCATTTCATAGATCTCGTTCAGTTCAAGCAGATTTTCATCCGTAGCTTGTGAGGTTGACCCATATTTGGTGATGGTGGTGTCTCCATCGGTTGTGATTTCCTTTATTTCATCTTCATCCATGTTTCTTGTGGTGGATCATAAAATAAAGGAATAGGGACAAAATATCAAGGAACAGACTCGGGGAGACTTAATATAAACGTACAATGAGCGTAAACGTAATTTACCAGTACCACATGATGAACCAGCATGTGTTTTCTATGAAAGAAAGCTAAGTTTCTCAATAGAGGTTACACTGTTTTACTTATAAATGAATTTACGCATAAAAACTTTACACTTTGTCGCACTATCGGTCGATATTCGTTCTATCAGATATGTGCACTTCAACTTGGTATCGCTGCGTACAACGAGATAAGAACGACATGCCCAATAACTATGGTTAGGGTCAAACGTATTAATTAAGTATACCATTATAACAAGGTTGCCCAGAAGTAACTGCCCACACGCAACCCTTTAATAATCTCTTAATCAGCCATTTTTACTGCTTACGACCAACAACAACTGCAAACGTTAGTCGATAACTCAAAATCAGATTGTCAATGTTTATAACTAACCTGAAGAGTCACCTGTTCATTGAATTTCAAAAAAGTCTTACCAAGAAATATATATTATATTGAGTTAATTTTTAATGCTATATATCCAAGCACCTGTTTTAACTTGTAGTCTCCGCAAATCCCTGCAAGTCACAATTATATTTGAGATTTAACCCTCCCCCGCAATACCCAAATAGTAGCCAGATAACCCTCCCCCGCAGTGTCACCTCCATCTTTTAGATGGGTGTTGGTGAGTCTGGTGGTAGAACTATTATATCTCCAGAAATTGTACCACTTAACCATGCATTCGGTATTTATAATTCTTTATTTTATATCATTACTGATAATACTATTTTAATACTATATGAGATAACCCCCCTCCCTGCAGTGCGTGAGTGACTGTCATCCGGGACGCTGCTACCCGTGTCCGGGGAAGGTGGATGTGAAGTGCGCGTGCGCGCACACCAAGGTGGTGGTAGCGTGCGGGAGGGAGCGCAGCACGCGCCCTCCCCGGTGTAACAAATCCTGTAATGCTGCCCCGGACTGTCACCACGAGACTAGGGAGCCACACAGGTGCCACTTTAAGGCCTGTCCAACGTGTAAACAGGTTGGGAGATCTTATCTTGTAGATAGTTGTTATTTATAGCCATGTTTTATAATGTCATTAATAATGTTATCATGGTATTTCTGTTACCTCTACTTTCTCCTGTAAAAGTAACCCAATGTCCCCCTGTAGATCTGCGGGATGAAGTTGTCTGGTTGCGCCCACGTGTGCGCGGCTCCTTGCCACGACCAAGTTGTGGTACCCAGCAAAGGACCTGGTGAACCTACAATAGTCAAGAAGAGCTGCCCTCCTTGTTCTGTCCTGGTGAGTCTTATTTAAATATATTATTGCATAACATTTCAGTTGAGCTTGGAATGAGTTTTTAATATCGCAAGTTATTCCCTGGCCACTTCCTCCCTGATTTTCTCACGAAATGAGTTTTGCAATCTTGATAATACCAGCTTCCACTTCCGAGATGATGTTAGTGGGCTCTTTAACAGCGGCAATATTGGGAGCTAAACATTTACCTCACAACTTTAGTTTAATGAGTCTAGACATACTTTACGCAGAATTTGATGCTCAGATGTGAAGGGTATCAGCTAGCATACTGTTATAATACCATCAGCAGTCAGCACGTCAAACTACGTTTTTCTGGAGTAATTAATTAATCAGCTCGGTGGTAGGTTGTCCTGACATTTGGTGCCAGTAATTAAAATACCCCGCTTATTATGTGTCTAGTATGTTACGTCATGTCTGGTGGGTAAGTGGGTTAAATTCGCGAGAATTAATATTATACCACCTGACAAACTAACCACTACCAGGTGACAATACTCCTTAATTTCAGGAGCAAGTGGAGTGTTTGTTGACATTACTCCTTAATTTCAGGAGCAAGTGGAGTGTTTTTTGACATTACTCCTTAATTTCAGGAGCAAGTGGAGTGTTTGGTGACATTACTCCTTAATTTCAGGAGCAATTGGATTGTTTGTAAACATAACTCCTTAATTTCAGGAGCAAGTGGAGTGTTTTTTTGACATAACTCCTTAATTTCAGGAGCAAGTGGAGTGTTTTTTTGACATAACTCCTTAATTTCAGGAGCAGCTGGAATGTAAGGGAGGTCACGAGATCAGCACGGTGAAGTGCAGTGAGGCTGCTCCTTACTCCTGTTTAAGACCGTGTGGTAGACTCTTACCGTGTGGTAATCATACTTGTGATAAAGAGTGCCACGATCCGGGCGACGGGTACGTTATTTTAACTATTACTAGTATGCACATTTTAACTGTAATTGTGTAGAGTACAGGTTATACTGAAACACGAACTGAAAAGTCCCAATTTAATAGCATAACTGAAAACATTCCTGAATCGTAGATTTTTTTGATATTTTGGGCAGCAACTTTAGCACTAGTGATGAGTGTGATTAGAAGAAAGAAACTTGTATAATTCGTAAACTATTCAAAGTATGAAATTCAAGGGGTGAAATTTAAAGAAAAAATTGATACAATTCACAATATTGTTAAAAGCTTTGCAAAAAAATTTAAATTAATCATCCTGACTTCCAGTCAAAAAACAAAAAAATAATATAATAAATTAAAGACGGATAAAAACTAAGTACAAACAGTAGCATTGCTACAGGTCAAAGAAGTTCCACTTTCTTCAGAAACGACAGGTAACTGTTTCAGACTGAAGTCCGCACTGTGGGACCTAGTTATCCTGGTCTGAAGAGATCTACTTTTTCTCGTCACCTTCCTCTTCATAACACAGTTGGTATCCACAACCTCCTGGCACAGGCCACTAAGCTGCATGCTGGAAGCTGCCAGGAACTGTAGAGTAAGTCTGTCTGGTCCATCTGCTTTAGCCAGTTCTCGTCTGCTGGATATGGTCTTCAAAGCTCTCTGGAGGTTCTCCCTGTGGACCTTCTTCAGCTGGGACCCCCTGACGGAGAGGATGATGGGTGTTACAGCCGCATCCAGGAAGCTCATCACACTGCCCAGGATATAAGCAGCCCAGGCGTACTCCAGCTTGCTGCTCAGGGTTGTCTTCATCTCTGCTTGGGTTGATGTAGCAGACATGTAGATCAGGAATGTGGGGAAGCCCATGTTGCAGAGCAGGAATATGAAGCCTATTAGACGGATTGTTGCTGTCATCTCCTGTCTTACTTTACTTTCTCTCTTCTGGTTTCTGTACCTGTTCTTCTTTATATTTAACTTCCAGGTGGCTATGATAATGGAGGCTAGTATAACTAGTCCAGCGATAAGGAATGGCATAACGTAGAATATGTAAAAGAAACTGATATTGTCCGGTGCCAGTATGAAAATGTTGGTAGCCAGGCTTTCTCTGGAGCCAGCGTCGAAGGTGCCCCCAAAGAGTTGGAGCACAACAATAATAACCCCGTAGATAGCGCAAGCAGCGTAGATCTTGCAGCTGGCTATCTTCCTGAAGGGCACCAGAATGGTAACTGTTCTCATGAAACTAAGAGTCATGCTGACGAAGACAGTGAGTCTCTGGAGGAGTATCAGGAACATGTGGTGGGTAAACATGAAATTGTCAGTAGTGTGATGTTTGCCGAAGACTGTTCCCAGTTTGCAGTAGTAGGTGAAGAAGCTCACGCAGTTGAAGAGAGCTGTTATACTGATGAGACCGTGCAGGAAACTGCGGATGATGAAGATTCTGGAGACAAACTTGAAACGGGTGGTCCAGTAAAACCTGAGGTAGTGATAGGTTAATATCTTCAAAATGAAAAAATAAAATAAAATAAAATAAAATATAACTTCAAAATTGAAAATAATTTTGCCATCCCAGCCAGTCAACCATAAAGCAAATCAAATAAGCGGAAAGGTTAAAAATTACGTTAGTTTAATTAGACAATTATTTAACAAAACAATTATTATCATTATTTACCTAATAACGAATGCGTTAGTGATGATTCCCAAGATTGCTAGTATCATCAGCACTGCAATTACCATGACTAGTTCAACAGGTTGTGCTGCTGCTCCCAATAACTTTGACATATTTGTTATTGTAGTTCTTGCTAGAAGGAATTAGTGGTTAATATAATAGTTCTCAATATAATTAGTTGTTAATATGATAAAATGCTGGGGAAAACAAATGAGTTAGTTGTGTAAACTATTGGTCTATAATCATCAAGCGTTGAACTAACTTCTGAAATCATAGTTTAGTGTTCGAGCTAGAAGATTCAGGAAACGAAATTAAGTTAACTAAATCGCATTAATACCCAGATATTGAGATATCGGATGATTGAATTTCGTAACGCAATAATATATTTATTAAGGTATACTGGCGATACGTATTTGTCCTTTAAACGAAAGCAAATTTACAATTTTGGGGTTGATTTGTTATTCTGTTAATGAAGCTTCCAATCAAATTAAATTATCAAATTGACCGAATACCGATGAGAAAAAAGGCGATGTAAAGAAAACTTAACAAACTGATGGAATATTCCGTAAAATAAAGTTCCGACTAACAACTGCAACAATAACAGAAACCATATTCGACAAACTGCAAGTAATTTACTACAGGCATTAACAGCAAGAACCGTTTTGCAACTTTAGTTAAATCATTTAGTGGTTTACTGGGGAGCCAATGAGAGGACTGCTCACCAGAACCTTCTCAAGAGAGTCTTTAAAAATTCGAGCAATTTGCACGAAGGTCTCGATACAAGCTGGTACAAGAAGTTTCTAGCCGTTCGCTCTTTAAAACTTATTCTTAACTGAGTAATTAAAATCAATTTGTCTGAAATTTTAAATGGTTTCTTTCAAGAAGGATCAAGCCGGAAACAATTTATGTTTTTATATCAACTACTTAAAAAATATTGCCATTTAACTCTAATTTGAATTATGTTTTTATACCAACTACTTAAAAAATATTGCCATTTAACTCTAATTTGAATAATGTTTTTGTACCAACTTCTTAAAAAATATTACCATTTAACTCTAAAATCTGAAGAGTGGACGGCGGTTATCAGCTTGATTTAAACCTCCAGGACAAAATTATGATTTTGCAAGCTCAAATATTTTTCAGATATATAATTATATATATTATAATAGTTTTAATACTCACTTATATAAATTACTAACAAGTCGAGAAATTAAAATGGATTCAAATGTTTTCCAACCAAGTTAACATTTAGATTTTGCGTTTTGTGTGCCCCAACTTAGCTTACTAAAAGTAAAAGTATGCGGTAAACGTGGGATGTCAAATATTCTCAAATTTTCAGTCTAAAGTTCAGTTAAAGCTACACTAGGATCGTCAATAAGCAGTACATTATATAATCGGGATTAAATGAGTAAAATGGTCAAACAAATGTATTTTTCACAACATTTATTGTGTCTGCTTAAAGCTGTGTTTGTAAACGGCCCTTGAAATCAGAGAAATACACTAAAATTGAATCTTTCACCAGAAAAAAAAGAAGGTTTGTCCAGTACAAACAGTAAATAAGCTCTAAATCTCTACCCCCCTTAATTAATGCTATGATTCCGAACATTTTCATGCCCAGGTTGAGCTCCATTTTCCAATCGGAGGCCGAAATGTAACAACTCGTAGGGGTGTGGACTAATAACTTCCTGGACAACCATATAAATTAATATGGTAAAGACTTCCTGAACAACCATATAAATTATCTGTCAATTTATGTAAATGATCGCCCACCTAGTAACTATAGAGCTGTTGCTTGGACAAGTGTTTCTTATTGGCCAAATTTTGATATAATGAAGGGAGATGCAAACCAAAAATAAGCCAAATTAAAATAATCAATAAAAGTTAATAAAAGATTCAATTAAGGTTTCTTATATATGATAGGTTATAGATAATAGGTCATTTAAAACTTTAAAACTATCCGGCTAGCCGCTCTCTTTAAAATATTCTTCCGACTAATTGGATTCAAATTAAATTGTTTGAAATTTTAAACATTTCAAGATCAAAACAATTTAAATGGATGCTTTACTGACCATCTCCTAAAGGCAAACTGTAGATATGAGACTGAAATAATAAGAAATTCCTTAAATACTGATTTCAGCGCGATATCTCATAATTTTAAGGGCATATCGATTAACTTAAAATTTAAAAATAGGAGAGTAATTGGTTAATATTCGTTCCAGTCTATATTCCGTTTGACATATATGGTTGCTATAAAAACAATATGCTCGGCAAATTTGATTGCTATGATCGTAAACTGTCAAAAAAAGCAAAGCTTTAATTAGTTCATCACTATTTGACTGATACTACCTCATATGTCGCTAAATAAGACCTGCGAAAGTCTCTACAAGTGATCCTGCTCAAAAATCAGAGGCTCTCTTATATATCTGAGATAATCAAAACGCTGTGGGTATGCCAAACGTTGTTAAAGTTAACTTTAACCAGTCATGGGTTAAATAACAGCAACATTATAAAGCTTTGCAAATTGTCATCATCAATACTATAATTCAGAGAATTCTTTATGTCTGTCTGTCTGTCTGTACGACCGCCCACGTGCAAATTAGATGAAAAATAAGAAGTTGCAAAGTAACCAATAACCATTACATAGTAACGAGGGTTGTAACACGCACGTGCACGTGCAAAGATTGAGTTGTGTGGAGAGTGTTTTACAAATTATCGGCTGTATCTTCGGTTGTGCATGTGATGGATATTTTTTGATGCGATAAAATCTGACTTCCAAAGAATAGTAGCTTCCTGTGACCACGGGCTTTCTAGTACATTATAAACTCGTTCTGATTCTTATTATACACAGGAGTCCAAAAAGGAAACCAATCGGTTTTTATTAATATTAACAATACACTTCATCTTTCACTTAACGACTTCACGCGTCGCAGGTCATAAGCAATGATGTTCCGAAATGTGCGATAACTTTGTTATCTTTTATCGGAACACCCTGTAATGTCGAGAGGAAGGAACACAATTATAAAGAAGAATATTAGCACTGACATAACTAAAGAATGCTAACTATGAGTAATGAGTATGACAAGCTGCACTAAACACACTATGTGATAAGCAGCTAGTTGCAGATTGGTGACATGACACTACAGACCCTGCTCGTTATTGAGACCTTGAGCTCGTTCATGACCCATCCTGTTCCTCGCTTACTCCTCAACAATCAGACCCTGATACAAGCTTAACGATCCTGTATCATTCATACCATGGCGTTAAATGTTTAAAAGGCTGTAGCCAGGATTTGTTCATAGGGGGATCAGGCTGCAGCCAGCTCTTGTAATACAGATTCAAAGAAGTTATTAAGACAAATATTATCGGATGATATTCCCCTTTAAGAATGAAATTTGTTGAAAAGAAATAAAAATAATCAATAATATGCACATTTAGGCGGCGAATCAGCGACTGGCGCTGGGTCCCACGTTACATGCCGTCTAACTCTAACTGGGTCTTATATTAATGTATAGACTCCAGGCACATGATGATGGCCATATATGGTCGAAATAGAGCCACTAAGCTGCTACCAAGCTGCTACCACTGTTACGTAGTGCTACATTAGCCCTTAACCAGCCAAGCTAATAGTGGCTTGTAGACTCCACCTGGATCACGTGCTGTGAGTTCTGGTGAAGTGTCCTGAAATAACGCAACAAATTTCCCGCTATTATATTATCAAGTAACACTGTAAAGAGTTCAGATAAACATCTTGTCGCGCCCCATTGTATTAGTGCGCCTAATTTCAAGTTATCAAATCTACACTGTAGATTTGATAACTTATAGTTCTGTCTGGCGCATCTGAGAGAGCGGCTGATCTAGAGCACCCAAACCGTCTCAATAGCTTGCCCCTTGAGTCAGAGAACTCTGATAAGGTAGACTTCCTTGACTACGGGCTCAAGCAGATTATGTTCAATAAACGAGTAGAAATACTAAGTCCGCGTGTGCCATCGATCAATTTATTCTATGTTGAAAAATGTGCTTAAAATGAGGATCTAGCAAACTTTCAGGCACCAAAGATACTGCACAAGACAAATATTTAGGATGCGCTGGAGGTATTGCCACCTGACTACTGCCGCCTATTTAATCTAATCAGTAATCAGGCATTAAGATCTGCATGGTACTTTAGAAAGAGCTCCGTTCCCAGCGATTAAATCTGTTATCACGTGATCTACTATCGTTGTCTCGCCAGTACAGAGTTAAACAGAGTACCAAGTAGTATCCAGACTGGGGTGTCGACTACTAGTTCCAGTTCTCAGGAAACAAGTTCACGTAATCAATATCAGAGCTGCTTTTATCATGGGAGAGACGAGATGTCACATATATGTGAACACACACACCCTGTATGTTCTCTTGTAGACTTAGCTTCTTTCCGGCTGTATAGCTCTGTCAATTGTAGGCAGTTTGTGGTGAGAGCTCCTATCAAGTGCTTTAACAATACTAAAGATCAATCTTTCTAATAGTAACCAAATAATTCGGAAAATGTACTGCCTCAACAATAAATAGAATTTCAATAAATGTGCAACAAATGCAGCAAAAATAAACATAAATTGAAATGTGACTTTTTTCTTATTGAAGAGACAACCGATCTGGCGAGCTAGTTATCCATTATTTATAGGCCAGTTTAACATTAAGATAGACTCATAACGTAACCGCAGATGCAGCACGTGCGAGGAGATGTGCGCGCGCACGTGGGACTGCCCGCACCAGTGTACACGTGCGTGTCACCCCGGTTCCTGTCCCCCGTGCAGACAGTACCTCAGATTACCTTGTCACTGTGGCATTCTACATCTCTCTGTTAAATGCACCCTCTTCTCTGGTCAGCTTTTTATCTTATTACCACTATATTATATTCTCTTAAGTCTTATATCACTGAATAATAAAACTCAGCCAATTCAAGTCCGGTCTCAGAATCCATAAACACTGTCTTTATAGTCTTACTCTTTTTCAGTATTTGGGAATTCTATATTTATTATTTCTGGTGCTTTAAATTGGAAAACTCAATACTCGATTGTCAGGAATAACTGGGCCTATGTTACAAACTGGGCTATCTTACACTAAACTTGTAATTCCGCAGAGAAGAAGGATTTAGAGACTCTGCTGGGTTGTGGAAGTCAGTGTAGTAAACTAATCTCCTGTCAGCACACCTGCAGGAAAACCTGTCATCTGGGCAGCTGCTCCAAACCAACGGAGTGCAAGAAAAAGGTGAAGCTACAGGGGTAACAGGGCACTACAGGGTTAAATATATGGATTTTTCGAAGGGGCGTTTATGTCCGAATTCAGATATGTTCAAACAAGTTCAAATTGAAATAATATGATTTCGCCAGTTATATTATTATTAGTCTTCGCCTTAAATCCACTTTCCCCCCGTTTTCCATTTAATAATCTCTAAGTTGGTTCCAACTTTCAACTATAGAAGTTTTGTTAAAATTAATCAATTATTATTATCTTATTTTCTTTTAGGTATCACTCTACTGTGCGTGCCGTAAAGTTAAGAAGGATTACAAATGTGGGGAGGCGTGTGGGAAAGAGGACGAACTGTCACCCAAGTGTGGAGAGGAGTGTAAGGTGAGGAGTAGTTTCTCTTTCACTTTCACTTTCTATAACACTTTTCTAACTTTTAAAAATTTGAAATTGTTATGACTGTGTGAAAGTAGAACAAGCATGCCGGACATCCCACGGTCAGGCACACCGATCTTTCATAAATTAATATAATTAACTTACATTTAACCGATGATTAATGTTAATTACATTGGTCATGATATTACGTTTTCTGCCCAGATTCCAAAGCAGCCGATAAAGCATAGCGATGTTGAGAAATATGTATCTAACAAAGAGGAACCCGAACAAGGTTTGTAGAGAGCTGAATTGACAGACAAATCTCAGACCCCTCCTTTTTATGTAGTGTTTGTTCGATCTCATATCAGATCCTATAATCATAATGGTTATTATATGTAGTCATACCTTACGAGACATATTTATGTTCGACATAATTCTGGTGACCTAAATGATTTGGGAACGAAAATATGGGAATCTTTTCCGAAAACCGCCACATTTCGTACCCCAAATTAAATCATGGTATAAATCAAGAGGCTTGCATATAATGAACATATTGACACGGGTGCAGAGTTGAGTCTGTACGGAACCTAGTAGTTTCAGATCCTTGTTTAACTTGCCGTACAGCAAGGTCATCCACTACTTTAGCCCGGCGAGGCACATAACTCCCTCTACAACTCCAATGTTGTATGTGGGGATTTTTCATCTCCTTATTTTACAAAAATGAAACCCAATATGTGAGAAAATTGAATACAAAGATCTTCTCTGATCAGCTGTTTCATCTTGTAAACAATTTCTCCGGAGCCTTTGAAAGTTGGCCTCAACTTAACTTATAATCCTCCAGAGGGTATAGGAGACCGACAGTGTTTGTTATCTTCCACTACTCCAGAAAATCATTTTTTAAAGCAATTCATGATCGAATAATAGTGTTCATTAATTGTTTGATGAATCATATTTAAAACTTACTATATTGATAAGTTGATAGTAAATCGATAAAGTCATAATTTAGGAAAATACGTGATATATATTATAATAATAAGAAATCGAAGTTTATTAACACCACTTTTAAGATAAAACTGATAAAACTGATAAAACTCAGCAGTGTTCAATCTAAACATCCCAGAAAAGTACTTGAATAAGATAAGGACTGGTAACGTATGCTTGAAAATATATCGCTAAGTCTAATGACAGAAAATGATACTTATATGTAAAAATCTAACACCAATATTGACCAAAATAAATTATCGATAAAGTTTTTCAAGTTCATGAAGGGCAGTTTAAACAGAAAAGTTTTTAGAAATGCTTTAAAGGATTCCAGTGATTGAGCCGATGAAATAGTACCAGGCAGACGATTGTAGATATTTAGAGAGAGCCACTACAGAGAAGCTACGCTCACCAAACTTAGAGTTAAAAGATGGTACAATTAGTTCCAATGTGTGACCATGATGTGAGTACCTAAACAATAAACATGTCTTACAGATAAGTTGGTGTCAATCCTAGCAATGCCTTGTGAGACAGCAGTAAGATTATGTTTATCATTTACTATATTTTATATGAACTTATTCTCGTGCACAATTTGTTAAAGGACCCATTTGAAGACATCATCTATCCGTATAGGGACAGTTTCATCACGTCAAATCAGAATTCTATGATTGAATTCTATGATTGAATCCCAATATGTCGAGCTATGGGCATTATTCTTGACAAGATCAAAACCAATATATCCCGCAATCAGTCAACGAATGAGTATTATACTTCAAATAAAATCTTTATAAAAGTGGTAGAACTCTAATTCTTGAAACAATTTGACGAGTATTATCGAATTTCGGCCCTGTCAATTAGTATTAAATCTATTGGCAACAAGGCCACACGCGAAGAATACAAGACAATCTGAGTAAGGGATCGTTCACATATTACGTAATCAGCTGAGAGGGGGGGGGTTTCTGAATGATAACGCTAGTGTAATTTTGACACAATAGCTACGTGTAAAACTGATTACGGAGGGGAGGGGGGGGGGGGTAAAATGTTCCAAAAAATGATTACGCAATAATATGTGAACGACCCCTAACTGATGAGACAGGAACTGTCAACTGAATAAGAACCCCCCGACCGGACACCTCTAATAGCTCTGTCGAGACACAAAGATACTGAGATTCCTGTCGAGACATATCGAAATACTTTCTAATACCTTGTAACATACCTGTCTAAAGTTAAATACTGCACCAATAAATCATCCGATAAACCTGTCGATATTTGTAATGAATTTTGATAGTATTGAATTAAACTAAATCCAAGTCAAGTCAAATCAGAATTCTATGATTGAATTCTATGATTGAATGATGAATCCCAATATGTCTAACTATGGTGAATCCCAATATGTCGAACTATGTTTGAATTAAACTTAACCCAATCCAAGCAAAGTTATTCTCCCCTCTTGTGTTCATTGTCTTATTAGTTCTTGCGACTGGGGACGTTAGATTCCAGTCGAAAGCCTAGGCCACTTAACAAGCTTTTGCTTCATTACAAGAGATTAAGGACTGAATTTGAACTACAAAAGAAATTACTTATTTATTATTAATGAAATATAAAAACATAACCCTGCTCACTAATCACCCACTAAACTAACTACCTTAGTTGGTAATATTATGAGGGGTCTAATTTGGTCCTTTTCGGGCCAAAGAACTATATTTATAACAGTCCATATTTTTACCCCCCATAATTTAACCCCCCGAGTCAAATTTTGGTGTTCCTTTTGGTATATCAGTCATAATATGATTAACGTTTCTTTCATTTACGTCCAGAAGTATGCTTACGTTATTGTTTGCTGAATTGAAGCTAGTTCTGGTTCAAAAAGTCCGATTTGTCTACTATTCCCACCATCCTTTCAATTTGAGGGGTTAACTAGGAACAATTTAAATTTAAATTTCAGATCAGCAACTTCAGATGAATAATACAAGTTCAGCAGCAGCTGTTTCGTTGCAGTGTACAATTCGATTTGAGATTTTTTCACGAAAGGAAAGTCGCAGTTAAAATTGTGGGGGGTCGAATTTGGTTCTTTTTGGGCCAAAGAACCATATTGGCATATTTATAACAGTCCATATTTTTAGCTCCCATAATCCCCCCCCCCCCCCCCCCCCAATAATATTACCGACTAAGGTAATCACTTTCAATGGTTATATCTATAAACCAGTTAAAGGGCTCGTGATCCTGCAGTTCTTACTCTGCTAAAGAAACGGCCAAATAGAATATGAGTTAACAGCCGTAAATTACGTCATGCCTTGCGAAACGTTCAATATTGATTACCTTACTCGGGATTATTATGACCGGGATAAAGTGGCGGGTTTAGGGTAATTTCGCCATATTTTTCCCGAACCACATTTTCACCGGTCGTTAATAAACCCGCCGACTCAGCTTTTAGGGTTCCCAAGGGGTATGGGTGCTCATATTTTAATGGTTGTCTTGTATTCACTAAAGAAGACTATTGGGACACTTGTTGTAGGTTTTTCGACTTCATTTGGCTAAAATTGCAAAAAATTCACCTTTTTGCCCAATTCTTGTCATATATCCTTATTGTCAAAGTTGATTTAAATAGGCCAATTTTTAATTTCTTAGGTAGTGAATATCTTTACATAATGAAATAGGACTCAAAGTAAAAGTAACAGTTAAATTAAAACTCGAATTAATTAAAACGGTCAATAACATGAATCAGTTTCATCAGTCATTTATTCATAATTCTAAACAATGTGAACGATGCATTCTTTCGAAGATTTTCTACAAATTGAGTCATAATGGTTATTTGATACACGTAAATTTGACCAAAACCCATAATCATGGGTAGAGTGGACCGCTGCCAGTGTCTCTCTTTCCCAAACAAAAGGAAATGATATTAATTTGATTGACCGTTCTCAAATGCAAAATGATACCGAGAATGAAATCGGTCGCTCGCTTTTCCCATTCATTCACGGCTTACGAATTGTAATAAGTTTCGATTGATTACATCAATCGGATGCTGTAAAAATCTCTTTGGGTTGCGTTCGGGTCGATACCTTGTATTTCGGGGTAAGGGTGGTAGTTATTACTTATTGAATTAGCTGAAGTTTATTGAATCTTTATTGCCAAGTACAGCTGCCTTTGGGTAGTTCTTCTTAATCTATTACAATTGTAAATGAATGGGAAAAGCGAGCGACCGATTTCATTCTCGGTATCATTTTGCATTTGAGAACGGTCAATCAAATTAATATCATTTCCTTTTGTTTGGGAAAGAGAGACACTGGCAGCGGTCCACTCTACCCATGATTATGGGTTTTGGTCAAATATCATCTCTTTTTGATTATAATGTCAGGGTACTTTATAAAGTCGAAATATAAAGTTCTGATATCTTCATTAATAAGGAGGAAGTTTCAACGATTTCGAAATTTTTCCTTTAAAAACATTTCCTTGTGTTTAGGTAAGCATATCGGTCGATCACTGACTGAATATGCCACTTAATACTCATTCAAGTTGGCATTAAATTCATATGTAATGACATTAAACTGTCGTGGCAAAGCAGAATTTGTTGGAAATCACGAATGAGCAAAATTCTCACCTTTCGCACGTGCAAACTTTGAGCGGACGTTTCGTGCGCATCTAATATTGAATCGCCGTAAATATTTGCATGTAATTGTTTTATATATAGTTTAATAAGCATGCAAAGTTTGAAAGTATTTCAAGAAGAACTGTAATCACAACGGCACTCTAAAGTTGACAGAAAATGACGAAAACAGCAATTTTCAGTGATTTTAGCAATTTTCTATCAATTTGGGCGTGTCCCCACGTGTGCAACTTTTTGACTTTCAACTTTAAAACTAGCCTAATGCACAATTAATACCTATAGAAAGCAGAACTGAGCTCCACAACCCAAGGCATGGCCCAACACCAGAGAATACTAAATCGCAAAATTGACGTTTTTATAAAATAATTCTTCAAAAAAGCACAAACTTCAATGACGAATATCTTTATGAAGGAGCAAGCTAGAAAAACTTTCTGGTAGATTTTCAGAATGCTTGAACAATTATCTGAGGTGAAAATTTCCTCAGATTTTGAATACAATTACTTTTTAATGATGTAAAATCATTTTTAAAAGTTATTACTTTTTCAAAATTCAAGTTTTAAAAACAGTTAACTTGATGACGTCATCAAGGGGTGTTCATGACGTCAAATAATTTGTTTATACAATGTAAACTAAAGTGTAAACAATTATCTTCAAGACCTGTGGTCGGAAATGGCTGTATCTTTTATACTTTTGAATCTATAGACAATTAAATACAGGCTACAATTGACTGGCAAAGCGTCTATCCCTGAATATATGTATGTATGTATGTATCACGACAATCTGTCGTAAAACAGGGGTTCCAGAAAACCCATTTCCCGATGCTCCTGAAACACGAAATTTTTTTTACAGTCGATTTGGTCAACGTCTAGACGCCCTGCAAAGTTTCAAATCTCTAACTCAATTTTAACATGGTTTTTAAGGCACCTGAATATGGCGATTTTGGGTTTTTTACCGAATTTCGTATAACAGTGCTGACGAGTATTTTATGCAAATTTCTTAAAAATCTCAACTTAACTATTTTATTTTTTATTCCTGTCATCTTTGACATCAAATTAGTATGTTTTGAACTAAAAATAAATCTGCTGAACGACTTCCGATGAGTCTTAATGCCTGAAAAACTTTTGCCGGAGGCGGCGGCCTTCGGCCGCCGCCTCCCACCGGAGTGCACGCTTCGCGTGCACGAAAGAGGCTAGTAACGTGTACCAAAGGGGGTATAATAGTAAAGGGGGTATATTAGTAAAGGGGGTATAATAGTAAAGGGGGTATAATAGTAAATGGGGTACATAGTATACCCACAATAAATGCAACGGTCGTGCTTGCCAGCACTGTGACATGTAATGCTAATTCAAAACAACGAATTTGCTAGAGTCTACTTTCAACAATTATTGATAATTCGACTTGTTTCACAAGTTTTAGCAATGCGAAAATTTCTGAACCTGCTTATCTCTAATAAGGAAATTTACATCTCAGACAAAATTTTTGAATCTAAAATTGAAAGGTTGGACACCGGTAAAATGGCGACCGGGAAAATGTGGTGGGTTTTGAGCAATTTCGCCATATTTTTCCCGAACCATATTTTAACCGGTCGTTAATAAACCCGTCGTAATAATCCCGAGTAAGGTAGTTGATTGGTTTTGTCACGTGACCAGCCAGACAGTTAAAGAGGTTCTCATAGTGCATTATATGTACATTATATGTGCATTATATGTGCATTATATTTGCATTATATGTGCATTATGTGTGCATTATATGTGCATTATATGTGCATATTACATAATACACACTATTATTATTATGTCGCAAAAATATAGCCATTAACAGTCTAGTAGGCTCCAACGCAGATAAATAAATAAAATTTCAAAATGCGATAACATCAATAAATAATAACGTTCGAAGTTATACTTAAAACATTTTGAGCTGTTTCCAGTCTGTTTATCCATAATTTCTTTCTTTCTTAATTACGTCTTCTTTGATGAGCCTTTCTCTGCTTTGGTCGCCTTCCTATTCTTCTTGTATCCCGTCCGTCCGTCCTTTTTACCAGTTCCCTTCTTCTGCTACTCACCTTCTCTCTGTTGCGGCTCTGCTCCTTGTTAATACCAGTATAATTAATCCAGCACGCCTTTTTGCACTCCTTTACGCACTCATTGGTGCAACATTCGGTGAACTGTAAACAGTTTTTCATACATTTTTTAACATTTCTTGATTTTTCAATCCTGTCACCCGTGATGCATCTAGCGTTACATTCAGTGACCTGCGTACAATTCTTCATACAGATTCTACTTTTGTCTGATATTTGAACCATCTCACCTACCCCCGTAGTACATCTAGCTGTACACCGCTCATCACACATCTCCCCTATACAGACCCCCTCTGACATGCACAACTCCAGGCAACTTCCTCCAGTTTCTCCAACTAAAGCAGTTGCACTGTGGTTCAGCTCCTCAGTTGAACTGGTGCAGGTGATACAGAAAGCTGCGAGAACTGCAGAGAGAGCAATCATTATTTCAACAACGAGCCGGATACATTCAAAGATGAAGAATGTGAATAAAATGAACATAAATCTGCAGACTGGCTCCTGTTAGAGTGCTTCTTAACAATAACAGACTTAAGAGTGTTGCTCCTTCAAATAACATGTTTCTTCCGCGGTCGTCATGACGCTCTGACGAGTGACGTCACGCTCTGACGTATCTTGTTGTATTATGTTGTTCAAGTACGAGGTATCCATTTAATATGTAGTTTATCATTTACTGTATTTTATATGAACTTATTCGCGTGCACAATTTGATACAGGACCTGAGGACCCATTATTGACATTGTGACGGTTTTTTTAATGAGAGGCTGAGCTTGGATAGCCCACGAGAGGATAGCATGAGGATGCTCTGCCCGCCTCTGGGGTATTATATATATGGCAACCCTGGGGAAGGTTACACCATGCATAAAAAAGGCAAAACTGTAGTGTAAAAAAGTGTAGTGTAAAATAGCCTAAAATAGCCTTAAAAATGCTAAAAAGTGACATTTTTTTCTAACCAAAGCAATGGTATGTTTTACCTTTGGAAATGCACTTAATGTAAAGACTGATTGGAAAATAATAGGAAAAAAAGAAGATTTTTAGAAGATAATTTTGTTAAGTGTAATTAAAAGTGTTAAAAAGTGTACCTTTTTTACTACACTCTTTACTCTTTACTCTTTAAAAAACCCACAAAAACCCAAAAAAAACCCAACTTTACGTGAAATTTCCATTTTGGGAAAGGTTTTTTGGGTTTTTTTGGGTTGGTCACCCCCCTACTTGAGCAATAGCCGGGCAAGAAAGTGTGAGAAAGTCTCCTCTCAGTTAAATGACACTCAGTTAAAACCCATCTTTAAAAATTCACATTCGGGATGCCATTCCAAGTCTAGTAGGCTCTAATTTTGATCTCCAGACTCCAACGCTGATAAATCGATTAAATTTAAAAATGCGATAACATCAATAAATAATAACGTTCGAAGTTATATCTAAAACATTTTGAGTTGTTTCAAGTCTGTTTAAATCCATAATTTCTTTCTTTTCTTATTAAGTCTTCTTGGGTGACCTGTTGGTTGTCGAATATGTCATTGATGGTGAGGTAATAGTCCTGGAAATATTGCCCTCTCATTTGGGCAATAGCCGGGCACTGTCCAAGAAGGTGGGAGACAGTCTCCTCTTCGTCGCCGGTATTGTGAAGGTTTCATCACGTCAAATCAGAATTCTATGATTGAAATAATAACGTTCGAAGTTATATCTTCAACATTTTGAGCTGTTTCAAGTCTGTTTAACTCCATAATTTCTTTCTTTTCCTATTAAGTCTTCTTGGGTGACCAGAATTCTATGATTGAATTATATGATTGAATCCCAATATTATGTCGAACTATGGGACAAGATCAAGAACCAATATTTCCCGCTATGAGTCAACGAATGAGTATTAAACTTCGAATAAAATCTTTATAAAATTGATAGAACTCTAATTCACAAAAGGATGAAAAGCACTCGGAAATCATCACTACTATATTATTTCCGAAAGAAATAAATGTGTATATATATATATATATACACATTTATTTATTTCGGGAACTTAAATTCTTGACAAGATGTTTAAACTTTAAACACTAACTTGTCTCCTCCCCCAGGACCCAAGAGGAGATGGAGAGGACGGAAGAAGACGGAGGAGCCCTCTCAACCCTCCTTCATTTCCAATCACGGTGCTAAGATATCAGCACTCTTAGCATTGTGTGTTGCGCTCGCTGGAATCTACTTCTGCACTCTGGAACCCTAGCGAACACTATCCCAATTCCCACATGACGCGGGCATCTTTTATCATAATCATAACCTAAATTTTACCATTTATAGTTTATAAGTTATGAGTTTTATGGGGATAATAATTAATATGCTGTTTAAAAGCAACCAGTAGGGAATTATTTAGTTAGTTTAAGTTTGATAAATCATGTATCAACTAGCAGCAGCCACCGATTTTCTGAAGTTTTAATTCTACAACAGGAAGTAATCCAAATATAGTCAAGATTTTCGGAAATTAAAGAATAATCAAATGATTGCAAACCATTGCCGCGTTAATAAAATGAAGCAGTTTAATGAGAAATCACAGTAGCTCTGATATCTTTACCGAATGCAGAAGCGAATTAAAGTTTGGCGTCACTTCCATATTCTAAACACATTAACTTTAAGGGTGTGTTTTCAAGTTAAGCTGCGTTTCAAAGTATGGGACCCTGATCTTATAATTAACCTTTAAGTTCGGGAATATTCTTCCGCGAAAGTTTTATAATTAACGTTTCATTATGTATGCACACATTGCATTACATCATCGATTATTGGTATTTATGGAAAACTTACCCTGAATATTGTCTAGCCGAGAGCCAAATTAAAAAAATTTGTCGCTGTATTCTGCCTCAAAAATTGTCAAGTTTGGGAAATCTCGATAAATATTTTTAAAATCTTTGGGTGTCTACGTGGCGTAATGGCATTCTCGTAGACATTTCCGGAATACTTCATACATGTCAAAACAAGCAGGAACATATTATGAACTCAGTTAACCTCTATGTATATATGAACGAAATAGCAACTGTGTGGTTTCCTACTAATACACGCTACATGACAAGCTGTCACAAAGAGTCCATTGTATAAATCTCAGCCCTGTCACTAAGAAGATTGGTCATTAGTGACCAGTCTGCTTAGTTTCATAGTTAAAGTTTAGTAATGATACTGTTAGAACCAGTTTTCAGATGTGTTTTATTATGAAGGGGGTTGTTGAATCTTTACACCAATATTCAGGGTGCTTCTATCATCTATAGAATGATTGGTTGTATACCATAGTATATTTAGTATATAAGTATTAGCACAAGTGTTGACAGTTTGAGCATGTGTGGTTGTTAACATATATATAGATTTATATATAAATATATTGATTGGGGATGAATGTTTGCGAGCTTTTCTTTGTGATGATCGTAGCTATAGTTTTCGTAAGATTGGTTTTTAAATACGTTTGATTATTTTCATTTCATGATATTGGCAACAAATTGAAATACTAGTACGTTTGATTAAATGGTTTTGAGACTGATCAGAAATTTTGTAATAATTAAGTTGAATATAAAAATTTCTGAATTTATAAGATGTTTCCGTTGTCACTACTGTAATTAATAGTAAGTATCGAGCCGTAAGGTTGAAATAATGAAAAACTCCTTATATTATTAGGCCCTGCTGTAGAAATGCTTGATAGATTTCAGCCGTGAACTTCCTCCCGTCCTCCAACTGAAACCAAACTCCCAGTACCTCAATTTGGTTTCATACGATCATCAATTAACTTACTAATTTTGTGAGCAAAGATTTCACCCAATCTGTCAAATTTGTGTTCAGAAATTTTGATATTTGAAAATGGGACAGAGTTTGAAATATACAAATTTTTGTTTTGTTAAGTTTTCTGCTGTGGGCTTCCTCCGACCGAAATCAAAGTTCCAGCACCTCAATCGTGTCATATGCCACCTATAGTTGACTGACTAATTGGTTGCGGGCGATAAATTCAGTCAAAACTGTAAAATTTCGATCCTGGAAATTTCATCTTCGAAAACTGAAAATGGGACAGAAAAAAGGACAATATGATTTTGCGATTTTCTTCGAAATTTTGAGTTCCGGTATCTCAATTTGGTTTCATACCATCATCAATTTACTAACTAATTGGTTTCTGAGCAAAAAGGTCACCCAATCTGTCAAATTTGTGTTCAGAAATTTTGATATTTGAAAATGGGACAGAGTTTGGAAAATACAAATTTTCGTTTCGTTAAGTTTTCTGCTGTGAGCTTTCTCCGACCGAAATCAAAGTTCCAGCACCTCAATCGTGTCATATGCTACCTATAGTAAACTGACTAATTGGTTGCGGGCGATAAATTCAGTCAAAGCTGTAAAATTTCGATCCTGGAAATTTCATCTTCGAAAACTGAAAATGGGACAGAAAATTCAAAATAGGTCAATATGATTTTGCATTTTTTTCGAAATTTTGAGTTCCAGTATCTCAATTTGGTTTCATACCATCATCAATTAACTCACTAATTGGTTTCTGAGGGGGGATCATGTTTTTTGTCCGTTTTTGTCCGTTTGGCAGCTATATTTTCAAAACGGACAAAAAATAAAGCGGACAAAAACGGACAAAAACGGACAAAAAATAACAAAAATGGAATAACATTTAGATACTTCCTCCTCCTCCTCCTCCTCTTCCTCCTCTTCCTCCTCCTCCTCCTCCTCCTCCTCCTCCTCCTCTTCCACCTCCTCATGAGTCCTCCTCCTGGGTCTTCCTCCTCCTGAGTCCTCCTCCTCCTCTTCATCCTCCTCTTCATCCTCCTCCTCAGTCCTTCTCCTGAGTCCTCCTCCTCATCCTTCTCCTCAGTCCTCTTCAATCCTCCTCCTCCTCAGTCCTCCCCAGTCCCCCTCCTCCTCCTATTCAGTCCTCCTCCTCAGTTCTCCTCAGTCCTCCTCCTTCTCACTTCTCAGTCCTCCTCAGTTCTCCTCCTCAGTCCTCCTCCTGAGTCCTCCTCCTCCTCCTCCCCCTCTCTCTCTCTGTCATCCTCCTCAGCCATCCTCCTCAGCCATCCTCCTCTGTCCTCCTCAGTCCTCCTCAGTCCTCCTCCTCCTCCTCAGTCCTCATCCTCCTCCTCAGTCCTCCTCCTCCTGGGTCCTCCTCCTCCTCTTCATCCTCCTCCTCTTGCTCCTCAGTCCTCCTCCTCAGTCCTCCTCTTCATCCTTCTCGTCAGTCCTCCTCCTCCTCAGTCCTCCCCAGTCCCCCTCCTTTTCCTATTCAGTCCTCCTCCTCCTCCTCAGTTCTCCTCCTTCTCATTTCTCCTTCTGAGTCCTCCTCCTCCTCTTTCTCCTGAGTCCTCCTCCTCCTCCTCCTCCTCCTCCTCCTCCTCCTCCTCCTCCTCCTCCTCCTCCTCCTCCTCCTCTTCCTCCTGAGTCCTCCTCCTCCTCCCTCTCAGTTATCCTCCTCAGTCATCCTCCTCAGCCATCCTCCTCAGCCATCCTCCTCAGCCATCCTCTTCAGCCATCCTCCTCAGCCATCCTCCTCAGTTTTCCTCAGTCCTCCTCAGTCCTCCTCAGTCCTCCTCCTCCTCAGTCCTCATCCTCTTCCTCAATCCTCCTCTTCCTGGGTTCTCCTCCTCCTCTTCATCCTCTTCATCCTCCTCCTCTTCCTCCTCAGTCCTCAGTCCTCCTCCTCAGTCCTCCTCCTCAGTCCTCCTCCTCATCCTTCTCGTCAGTCCTCCTCCTCTTCAGTCCTCCTCCTCCTCCTCCTCCTCCTCCTCCTCTTCCATCTCCTCCTCAGTCATCCTCCTCAGTCATCCTCCTCAGTCCTCCTCCTCCTCATGAGTCCTCCTCCTGGGTCCTCCTCCTCCTGAGTCCTCCTCCTCCTCCTCTTCATCCTCCTCCTCTTCATCCTCCTCCTCTTCCTCCTCAGTCTGCAGTTCTGCTCCTCAGTCCTCCTCCTTAGTCCTCCACCTCATCCTTCTCCTCAGCCCTCTTCAGTCCTCCTTCAGTTCTTCAGTCCTCTTCAGTCCCAACCCTATATTTTCAAAACGGACAAAAAAAACGAGCGGACAAAAACGGACAAAAACGGACAAAAAATAACAAAAATGGAAATAACATTTAGATGCTTCCTCCTCAGTCCTCATCCTCATCCTCCTCCTTAGTCCTCCTCCTATCCTTCTCCTTAGTCCTCCTCCTCCTCAGTCCTCCCCAGTGCTCCTCCTCCTATTCACTCCTCCTCCTCCTCATGTTTCCTCAGTCCTCCTCCTTATCAGTCCTCCTCCTCCTCCTCAGTCCTCCTCCTCCTCATCATCTTCATCCACTTCCTTCTCCTCCTCATCAGTCCTCCTCCTCCTGGGGCCTTTTCCTGGGTCCTCCTCCTCCTGGGTCCTCCTCCTCAATCCTCCTCCTCTTCTTTCTCCTCAGTCCTTCTCCTCCTCAGTCCTTCTCCTCTTCCTCCTCCTCAGTCCTCCTCCTCCTCCTCAATCCTCCCCCAGTCACCCTCCTCCTCATCCTCATCCTCATCCTCCTAGCCTCATCAGTCCTCCTTCTCCTTCTCAGTCCTCCTTCTCAGTCCTCCTTCTCAGTCCTCCTCCTCCTCCTCTTCTTCCTGGTTCCTCCTCCTGGGTCCTCTTTCTCCTCCTCAGTCCTCCTCCTCAGTCCTCCTCCTCTTCCTCATCCTCCTGGGTCCTCCTGATCCTCCTCAGTCCTCGTCCTCCTTCTACTCCTCAGTCCTCCTCCTCCTCAATCCTCCTCTTTATCCTAAGTCCTCCCCTCCCCAGTCCTCCTCCTACTCCTACTTCTCAGTCCTCCTCCTCATAAGTCCTCTTCATCAGTCCTCCTCCTCAGTCCTCCTTCTCCTCATCCTCCATCTCCTTTCTCCTCCTCATCCTCCTCAAACACCTCCTTCTCCTCATCAGTCCTCCTCCTCACTCCTCAGTCCTTCTCCTCCTCCTCCTCCTCCTTGTCCTTAGTCCTCTTTATCAGTCCTCATCAGTCCTCATCAGTCCTCCTCCTCCCCAGTCCTCCCCAGTCCTCCTCATGGGGAATTTTTCTGGGTCCTCCTCCTGGGTCCTCCTCCTCTTGGGTCCTCCTCCTCTTGGGTCCTCATCCTTCTCCTTAGTCCTCCTCCTCCTCAGTCCTCCTCCTGTTGAGTCCTTCTTCTCCTCCTCCTCCTCCTATTCATTCCTCCTTCTCAGTTCTCCTTCTCAGTCTCACTCCTCCTCAGTCCCCCTCCTCTTCCTCCTCAGTCCCCCTCCTCAGTCCCCCTCCTCCTCTTCCTCTATTTCATCTCTCAATAATTTGTTCAATTTATAATTATTGTTGGTGTTATTGTTTACATAATTTATTGTTATATACTAAAACGTTTTTAAACGCATTTGAGTCTGACTCAAAATGTGCTCAAGAATCTTTGTGTTTAACAAAGTTTTACTCTCCAGTAATAAAACTCCTCCTCAATCCTCCTCCTCTTCTTTCTCCTCAGTCCTTCTCCTCCTCAGTCCTTCTCCTCTTCCTCCTCCTCAGTCCTCCTCCTCCTCCTCAATCCTCCCCCCAGTCACCCTCCTCCTCATCCTCATCCTCCTAGCCTCATCAGTCCTCCTTCTTCTTATAATTATTGTTGGTGTTATTGTTTACATAATTTATTGTTATATACTAAAACGTTTTTAAACGCATTTGAGTCTGACTCAAAATGTGCTCAAGAATCTTTGTGTTTAACAAAGTTTTACTCTCCAGTAATAAAACTTTTCATCCCTTTAGCTTTTTATGTTATTAAAAAATGTTTAGACTATTCTTTGCCTAATTGAGGATTAAAAGAGAAAGGACCATGGTCGTTAACCGGGCTACCCATTTCTGCAGATAGCCTATTACAAATTGTGGACAAAAATTTAAATAAAAAGTTACAATTTTTGTCCGTTTTTGTCCGTTTTTGTCCGTTTTTGTCCGTTTGGCAGCTATATTTTCAAAACGGACAAAAATTAACGGACAAAAACGGACAAAAAATAACATAATCCCCCCCCCCCCCCCCCCCCCCCCCTTTCTGAGCAAAAAGTTCACCCAATCTGTCAAATTTGTGTTCAGAAATTTTGATATTTGAAAATGGGACAGAGTTTAGAAAATACAAATTTTCCTTTCGTTAAGTTTTCTGCTGTGGGCTTCCTCCGACCGAAATCAAAGTTCCAACACCTCAAACGTGTCATATGCCACCTATGGTTGACTGACTAATTGGTTGCGGGCGATAAACTCAGTCAAAGCTGTAAAATTTCGATTCTGGAAATTTCATCTTCGAAAACTGAAAATGGGACAGAAAAAAGGACAATATGATTTTGCAATTTTCTTCGAAATTTTGAGTTCCGGTATCTCAATTTGGTTTCATACCATCATCAATTAACTCACTAATTGGTTTCTGAGCAAAAAGGTCACCCAATCTGTCAAATTTGTTTTCAGAAATTTTTATATTTGAAAATGGGACAGAGTTTGGAAAATACAAATTTTCGTTTTGTTAAGTTTTCTGCTGTGGGCTTCCTCCGACCGAAATCGAAGTTCAAACACCTCAATCGTGTCATATGCCACCTATGGTTGACTGACTAATTGGTTGCGGGCGATAAATTCAGTCAAAGCTGTAAAATTTCGATCCTGGAAATTTCATCTTCGAAAACTGAAAATGGGACAGAAAATAGGACAATATGATTTTGCAATTTTCTTCGAAATTTTGAGTTCCGGTATCTCAATTTGGTTTCATACCATCATCAATTAACTCACTAATTGGTTTCTGAGCAAAACGTTCACCCAATCTGTCAAATTTGTGTTCAGAAATTTTGATATTTGAAAATGGGACAGAGTTTGGAAAATACAAATTTTCGTTTTGTTAAGTTTTCTGCTGTGGGCTTCTTCCGATCGAAATCAAAGTTCCAGCACCTTAATCGTGTCATATGCCACCTATGGTTGACTGACTAATTGGTTGCGGGCGATAAATTCAGTCAAAACTGTAAAATTTCGATCCTGGAAATTTCATCTTCGAAAACTGAAAATGGGACAGAAAAAAGGACAATATGATTTTGCGATTTTCTTCGAAATTTTGAGTTCCGGTATCTCAATTTGGTTTCATACCATCATCAATTAACTCACTAATTGGTTTCTGAGCAAAAAGTTCACCCAATCTGTCAAATTTGTTTTCAGAAATTTTGATATTTGCAAATGGGACAAAGTTTGGAAAATACAAATTTTCGTTTTGTTAAGTTTTCTGCTGTGGGCTTCCTCCGACCGAAATCAAAGTTCCAGCACCTCAATCGTGTCATATGCCACCTATAGTTGACTGACTAATTGGTTGCGGGCGATAAATTCAGTCAAAACTGTAAAATTTCGATCCTGGAAATTTCATCTTCGAAAACTAAAAATGGGACAGAAAAAAGGACAATATGATTTTGCAATTTCCTTCGCGATTTTGAGTTGCAGTACCTCAATTTGGTTTCATACCATCATCAATTAACTCACTAATTGGTTTCTGAGCAAAAAGTTCACCCAATCTGTCAAATTTGTGTTCAGAAATTTTGATATTTGAAAATGGGACAGAGTTTGGAAAATACAAATTTTCGTTTTGTTAAGTTTTCTGCTGTGGGCTTCCTCCGACCGAAATCAAAGTTCCAACACCTCAATCGTGTCATATGCCACCTATAGTTAACTGACTTATTGGTTGCGGGCGATAAATTCAGTCAAAGCTGTAAAATTTCGATCCTGGAAATTTCATCTTCGAAAACTGAAAATGGGACAGAAAATATAATAGGACAATATGATTTTGCAATTTTCTTCGAAATTTTGAGTTCCGGTATCTCAATTTGGTTTCATACCATCATCAATTAACTCATTAATTGGTTTCTGAGCAAAAAGTTCACCCAATCTGTCAAATTTGTGTTCAGAAATTTTGATATTTGAAAATGGGACAGAGTTTGGAAAATACAAATTTTCGTTTTGTTAAGTTTTCTGCTGTGGGCTTCCTCCGACCGAAATCAAAGTTCCAGCACCTCAATCGTGTCACATGCTACCTATAGTTAACTGACTTATTGGTTGCGGGCGATAAATTCAGTCAAAACTGTAAAATATTTGAAAATGGGACAGAGTTTGGAAAATACAAATTTTCGTTTTGTTAAGTTTTCTGCTGTGGGGTTCCTCCGACCGAAATCAAAGTTCCAGCACCTCAATCGTGTCATATGCTACCTATAGTTAACTGACTTATTGGTTGCGGGCGATAAATTCAGTCAAAACTGTAAAATTTCTGTCTTGGAAATTCATCTTTGAAAACTGAAAATGGGACAGAAAATAGGACAATATGATTTTGCAATTTCCTTCGGGATTTTGAGTTCCAGTATCTCAACTTGGTTTCATACCATCATCAATCAACTCACTAATTAGTTTCTGAGCAAAAAGTTCACCCAATCTGTCAAATTGTGTTCACCCCAATTGTGTTCACCCAATCTGTCAAAATGTGTTCAGAAATTTTGATATTTGAAAATGGGACAGAGTTTGGAAAATACAAATTTTCGTTTCGTTAAGTTTTCTGCTGTGAGCTTCCTCCGACCGAAATCAAAGTTCCAGCACCTCAATCGTGTCATATGCCACCTATGGTTGACTAACTAATTGGTAATGGTTGCGGGTGATAAATTCAGTCAAAGCTGTAAAATTTCGATCCTGGAAATTTCATCTTCGAAAACTGAAAATGGGACAGAAAATAGGACAATATGATTTTGCAATTTTCTTCGGGATTTGAGTTTCAGTACCTCAATTCGGTTCCATACCATCATCAATTAACTGACTAATTGGTTTTTGAGCAAGAATACATATTTTCGTTTTGTTGCTGCGGGCTTCCTCCGACCGAAAATGAAGATCCAGTACATTAATCGTGTCATATGCCACCTATAGTTGAAAGAAATATAAGTGATGATTTAAAAATGGTCTTATCGGAACAGAAGGATTCGGACCCTCGCGACGAATCTTTGAATAAGTATAACGAAAGAAGGGTTCTAATCCTTCAAAACGGAATGAATCATGAGCATATTGATCGATGCTGTGCTTTCACTAAATCTTAAGAATACATTTAACTTGATAATACGGTAACTGCTTAACTGGTAACCACTATTTTACTTTTAATTTATAGCACGTTTCACGTTTGCTTACAAATCAGTTGGTGAGACTAGGTGGTCGTTTGAAATCGTGTAATAAATATAAAGATCAATTACTCCCTGCTACTAGAGTATAAAGAATACCTAATTAAAGATCAACGCATTTTTCTGATTCTTCGAATATAACATGATATAAGGGAGAGGCGCTTTGCCTTTATGCAGCCATTATCCAGTAAAACTTCAAATATAAACTCCAACTTGATTTGGGTATATAGGGTGTATTATATAGCCATAGGATGAGGACTTCGAATGGGAAAATATATTAAGAGTTAACGTTACGGCCGTTTTTGTTTGGCTGACATATCCGTATCGTAAACTGTCCTTTGTTCACGTTATAATGCTCAATGTAGGCGGTATGGGATTTCTCATGATAATATTGAATTTACAGATCACCAAAAGTTAAACGATTGTGTTATATGTAACAGTACTGAGAACTGTTGATCAGATCTCAGCAGGTGTCATGTGGGAATGGTCCAACCGCCCACGTGTATATCCAGAGGAGCGCGTTAGCTGGGAATCATTCCTCTTCCCACATGACCAGAGACATGACTCAGACGTGACAATCGCACAGCTCAAAGCAACTACTATTGTATAATCGTACTATTGTAGATGACTTTATAATGAGGATTGAGTGGAACTATTTGGCTATGCATTGTCTGTTTCTGTATCCAGGTATCCGTCAATCAGTCAGACAATGACATTCCTTAAACCCCAACATTCTTGTCAGCTATTTGACCATCTCTTGGGATTTATCAGAAAGGGTGTAATCCGCGCCACATTCAACAACAGTCTATGCTTTTTGTTGTCGTTGTAATCTTCGCAAAATACTTATAATGTCATCCCGCCTCATCAAACTATTAGGTGAGATTTTATATTATCCTTGTTTAGTGTTTACAAGATGTTGTAACTTTTGGCACCACTACTTTCAATTATTGGGACCGTTTCATTAAATTCGGCACATCTTCTATAAGTTTAGTATACCTTAGTTCCCAAAAATTTGTGTGCCATTATATTGAGCACAATTTATTTGAGCCCGAAAAATTTGGGCAGAAAATTTGAACTCATTTGGGCGACCGAAAATTTGGGCACAAATTCTTCGAAAAATGAACGATTTTCCACTAAAATGTCAGTTAGATATTTGCCTTAGTTCATTATTATTCCTTATTATTCCAGTCATTTTGCTTTCAATATTAAGCATGTAGGTGGTAGTCTGAGTTGTTTCACATTATGAAATTTACGATCTGCCCAGTAACTACTAAAAATACAGTGATGATGGCACCAGGCACAGTACAAAATGATAGATATACAATAGTGATATTTAGTCTCTCAATCAGATAGTTTAGTCTACTTACACTCAGCATATCTTATCATACCCCTTTCACATACAATTATCATTATGACGCCTCAACAGATGGTCGAAAGGTTTGGAAGAAAATTAGAAGGTTTACATCATGATCTATCAAACTAAGCGGCACATACGCTTAGCTTTGGGGGAAACAAAGGTGTACATAATTGTGTGTAGCGAACTACTGTAAACCCGGACCAAAGGTCTTGAAGTCTAATTCCAGTTATTTCTAATCATTTAAAATATAAGCCTTTTTACTTGGTCAAGCCATGAATGACAGATTAGAAAACTAAAATTTCAAATATTATTTCACTTGGATATGAAGAAAAAGCCATCTTTCTATAGATTTCAGGGCCACAGGCCAAATGCCAAAAGTTTGGTTAGCAAAAAATTTAGCAGACGGAAAAGATTTATGCAATTAATTTGGTCTGCAAAAAATTTGGGCGAGAGGCCCGCTCAAATTTTTGGTCGCCCAAATTTTTGGGAACTAAGGTAGTCAATCGCTCAAATAATTTACAGCATGTTTGTGTCGCTCAAAGCAAGCAAAGCTGCTCGTAGTGTTCATAAACAGTTTGTTTTGCAGAGTTTGTGGTGATAATTTTATCGCTCGTACAAGCAAAAGGAAAAGCCAAAGGAAAAGCCAAAGGGAAACACCATCATGGAAAATTGTCGTCCAGAAATGTAGACAGCGAATTGTGTCCAACGAATTGTGTCTGGGATCAGGAGCTGGGAACTACGGTGAGAGAGGTAGCCCCAGGAAAGTTTGCGGAGGAGACGCGCATGGCGAAACATTGCGACGTAAGTAAATTTGAATATAATTATAACTGATAACTATATTATTTATTTATATTATATGTTGATTTGCGAGTTTTTTCTCCGTTCTTAATTAAAAATGTCATAGTTTATTTGTTATTGTGCAGTGATGATTATATTAATTGTAAAAGTGCAGGTTTTATTTATCAATATTTATTATATTTTGCATACCAAGATAGTGTTTTGTAACGCTTATTTCTTCAGACGAACTGTCACAGACCCGATAATTGCTTGCGGAGTCAGGATCCGGACAACACTAAACACACATCCTATATATGTGCTCCAATTAGTAAGTAACAACTATTTAAAATGCGTAGAAAGTTAGTCTGTATAGCAACGGGTAGTTTGAGGAACTATAGCAACTAAACTACAAATAGTTTGTGTAACTATAGCAACAAATTGCAGGTAGTTTGTGTAACCTCAACGAAAACAGCGGTTGTGAACGACATGTTATTCATGGCTACGAAGGAACTCTTCTGCCTTGGCCTTACGTAAGAGGTTTGACAATACAATTTGTTTTATTAAAATGTATTTGTAAAATAATCCAGTTGGTGAACCGAATCCCTATAGCTTACCCTAGTATATAGATTATAGGCTTAACCCTAGGCTTAACCCAGCCGTAACTGTCACCCCACCCCTATTCCTACTGGTAATAGGTATTGCTATTAAGTATTAAGGGGACATACACCAAAACCTTTTTTGCCGGGACCCGGGATTTGACTTCATATTATGAAAGTATAGATTATATTATAACTGTAAGATTTAAGGCATTGAACAAATTTTTTGAGAGTACGCACATGATTCGAAAAAAATTATTTTCTTTTCCGAAAGTTTTGGAAATTTTGAGAAGTCTGTCATTGTAATACCGATATTTCAGTCATTTTAAACGTTTTTTAGCTAAGTTTTTGTCCCGGCAAAAAAGGTTTTGGTGTATGTCCCCTTAAGCGGTAGGATTCGGTCAGCTAAAACATAAAACCAAATAATCATTTTATTTATTATATAACTTTATTCAAATCAAAAATAGAACATAAATGAACATCTTAAAGATCTGATAAGTAACCTAAACCATTATTTTGTTGCACTGACTTTTGAAATTTAAAATTGATTAACAACCTTAGTTTAGCAATTTTACCACCGTTTATTTAGGTGATATGAATTCAGTGGAAAAGAAGACGGAACCTCCCCTATCAGGTACATATAATTAGTGACCATGGCAATAATTAGTAATAATAAGTAATTATGAGTAACCATGGCAACCATCAAACAACAGATAAGGGCCTTAAGGGGTTTATTTAGATGAGAGTATACCAAGTAAGCAATAGTTGTCATTAACAAGGAATGCTTGGCGGACGAAGAAATACCAAATATAAACCGTTTAAGCAATCCATTATTAGTACATAACAACCTCCCTTACATGTGAACAATTTTCAGACGAACTCAATATGAAATTTAAATAATTTCGCTTATAAAATGCAAAATTCTAAAAACAGGGTACTAAGGGTTCCACATAATTCTCAGATTACAACAGAGAAAACTGTCCTGTTTGCATGAGGCCGGATCTGAGTAAGCTGACGTGTATAGATGACATATATAAAACAGAGAGGTGTGTGGAGGGTGACTCCTGCTGGTTGTTTGAACTGAGCGGCTCTGTTCATGTACACTTAACCAACACTCGTCCCCGCATTACCTTCGATAACATCATCAAATGTGAACAAAATGAACTTGTGGAAAGGCAAAGAGGTAAGCGAAACTACGTTCTGCTTCTAGACGTGAAGACCATTTATTCCCCGTCACTTGGCCTACAAGTCCACTGTCCACCTTTGCCACCTTTGCCACTTTTGACGTGACATAATTCGTGAACATTCACGTGAAACTTTCATTTTACTTTTAGTGCAGGTTTGGTTTGTTTTTTGGTTTGGTTCGCTTGCGTGGCTCCAAGTATACACTACACAATTAAAATACAAATAATGAGCCGCGCAAGCGAACCAAACCAAAAACATCAACTATGCTTATAAAGTTATAAAGTTATAACTGTACTGTTTAAATACGACGACTTTACAGGGTGCAGTCACAGTAAATGTACTGGTAAATTCCGTGTGATGGGGGAAACGGAAAGTACCGCACCGAGTGAACTTCCATCAACAGAAACGATTGTAGAGGTGATCACTACAAACAAACCGGAGATCACTACAAATAAACCGGAGATCACTACAAACAAACCGGAGATCACTACAAACAAACCGGAGATCACTACAAACAAACCGGAGATCACTACAAACAAACCGGAGATCACTACAAATAAACCGGAGATCACTACAAACAAACCGGAGATCACTACAAACAAACCGGAGATCACTACAAACAAACCGGAGATCACTACAGACAGCGAGGTGGTCATTACAAAAATGGCGGCGATCACTACTGCTACTGAATTCAGTGGAGTGCCAACCAAGCCTCCGACAACCAAGCCTCCAGCCACCAAACCTCCAGCCACCAAGCCTCCAACAACCAAGCCTCCAACAACCAAGCCTCAAACAACCAAGCCTCTAACAAACAAAACCTTAGTTTTTGATGTGGAGGCAACCACCACGTCGGCGCAGGAGGTTGACAACTTAGAAATAGAACAAGGAGAATGTAGCGCCGATGTTCAGAATTGTGGCGAGCAAGGTGATTGCTTTAAGATCACGTACAGTGACGAAACAGTGGAAACAGTGGAGTATCGGTGTTCTGATTCTGAAAACGGTCCAGGCAAGTTCTCATTAATTCAGTGGTTACTAGTGGTTCAGGTTACTAGTGGTACACATTTATCAGTTAGCTTGATTTATGGCAGTTTGTGCAATTATAAATCTGTAATCTGTATTATTAGTGATTTTCATTTAGGTTGTTTTTAATTCGGTCGCAAGCGAAACAATCCTCGACACCCAGAAACCACTTTTGAAACCCATAAAATTAAAACTTTGAATTCTTTAATTAAGCACATTGGTCAGAAAACAGCAGTAACAACTGCTGTAGGATGATTAAATAAATTAATTTAATAAAATGAGTAATGTAATATTTTATCATCAGAGTGTTCTATAGATGCAGGTTGTGTTCAAACCTGTTTAGTTATGGTAACCTGTGTGAACGGAGATGATCCCACCACACAGGGGCTTACTACCACCTCCCCTGCCACTACCACTCCGGGCCCAATACCTCCACGAGTAAAGGCTACTGATGATACATTGGAAGAAGTAATCATGGAGATGAGCAAGAATACAACATCAGCATGTTTGCAAACCAGTTTCACCGTGCTCACCACCTTCTTACTACCCTTCTTTACTTCACTTCTTCTTAGCCACTAACTATCGTCAGTATGGATCAAACACCAAAGTTAAATTCGGAAACTGGGGACCTACTTCAACTACTACAACCTACTACAACATTCTACAACATTCTACAACCTACTAGAACTTCAGGCATAACTATTTTTATAGAAACATATTACACAGACCTACTCTTTTAAGCTAATAGTATGAAAAGTAAAGATTAAGAGAAAGTTTAATATTCTTCGGGGCGAGACCATATTTGATATTTTAATTCTTATTGGCTGCTCACCAGAAGATTTTTGGGAGTTCTTTCACAATTCAGCTCCAGTTTGATGTTTTCAAATTATTTATTATTTATCAAAAATGCAGATTAGCTTAGATATTCTAAAGAGGAATGTATCAGTGTGTGATGTACGAAATGTAGCGCTTTATTCAATCTGCTGAACAATCAAACTGACCTGTTTGTATTTGTGGTGACAGTTGTGGTGATTTCTAATTCTATTTTTTCTAACTGATATAAGATTTTGATATTCTGTTTTTTATCATACCCGCTCACACTTTATTTCAATTTCTTACCTCTCTTTAACTAAGAAAATTTGTGAAAGTAACAAACTCACTTTCATTTTCACTTTGAAACTTAAACTTGAAAGTAACAACAACAACTTAATGAAAAGATCTGGCAGGATCAGGGAAAAAAAGCTCCTAAAAGATCTCGATCATAAGAAAGAAAAGTAACTTTTTATTTATAAATAAAAAACTATAAATAGTAAAATATGATTAACGTTATAAACAGTAAACGTTATAAAGTAGTAAACGATGCCGAAGAAAAGCTCGATAATTAATCAAAAAGAAGGCAACCAAATTATCACAATGTCTGGTCGGAGGAGAAGTCTGAATATTAATGTTAAGAAAAGATACGATAAGCAAGAACAGAAATGATGATATTATTATTATATATTATATTATTGTATTATTATACATATTATCAATAATCAATATATATTATATATAGATATGATTATTATTATTTCGAACAATTGAAACAATCAAATTGACGGGCATACGATCCGTTCCATGGTATAGTAATAAAAAACAATACCAATCCTTACTTCCAAATTAGAATAATGAATGTTGGTAAATTGATATAGGGCCTGTCGTGATATCATGGATCGCTTAGGTTCCACCAGGATCTGGTAGTCCTCATAATTCTGCGGCCTCTATGTGTCGTCATCTCGCACAACTCCGAAAAACCGTTGTGAGTTTGGCATGTGAAAATTTGCAGCCCTCCAGACATCGATTGGGTTAACGAGTTGTCGTACGTCACCTCAAGATCGGGTGACAGGGGGCTGAACAGGCCAGAACCCAATTGATTGGGTCTGAGGTCACGTGATTATGAGCCTGAGGTCACGTGACTATGACGTCACCAGAGCTCGTTCTCCGTTTCCCGCTCTTTGGACCAGGTGAGCTTGCATGCTTGTGAAAGTGGGTTAAGTACAGCTGTACTGTAGTTACATCCAATTACCCCTAATAGAATGAAGATTTATTTTCTGACAGAAAGCTAGAAATTTACCAAAATATCGACTTTGTTCAAAATGTATTTTGATGATCACTCTTAACCTAAAATTGCACGAGAAAACGATTAAACTTGGTTTCAGAACTCAACAATGCTTCCTTATGCCTTAAGGGGGGGGGGATAGCAGTTAACCAACAAACTAGGACCGATGTCAACCGAACTTTTGAGGGGTCCCGGACCCCAACCGCCAAACGGTGCCCGCGGGGCAGCCACGCCCATATTTGGTCCAAATCAGGCCCAATTTAGCCAAATACCCTGAACATGCCCAAAACCCTTTTTTTGTAGCTAGTGGTCCCCTGAACTCGTATATGAATTTTCATCAAGATTGGACAAAAAATGACTGAGTTATGAGCCAAAAACCATATGACCATATTTGGGCATACGCACCAAATTTGATCGATTTTGGCCCATAAATTGGTCCAATATCAATATTTTTGAATGAAACCAACTTTATATGGAAGGTAAGCTTATACTACACATTATCTATGATTATCAGCTCAATATCTACCTAACTGTGGATTCTGTGTTCAAATAGTTGCAAAAAATGAACAAAATCGCCCATATATCAGTTCGCGATATTTGCAAAACAATAGAACTCAATAGGGTTTCAATATTTTTTCATGAAATTTTCAGAATCGACGTAGAATCGCCTCATGACCTTAAGTTTTGTATTAGAATTTTGAGTTAGGCCTTTAAAAAAATTTGGCGGCCAAATTCTGAAAAATGCCCGATATTCTTCAACGGTTGAAAAATTCCGAATCTTATGGTTAAGTAAGAATTTTCATTGTGTCTTATCGAAAGTGAATGAGAGAAACACTTGTGACAATTTTATTTACTGGTCCTCTTATTTGTAAAGCTATCCTGAAGCTCTGCGCTCTTTTCCTTCTCTCATCCTGCCAGCTCTTCTACACAGCAGTTATTGGGAGAATTACGACGTGGCTGCGTTTGTTGTCCAGCAAGTAAGTTTAAAGTTATGGTTGTTAAATTTCCTTGAACTTCTATGTCCTATGATCTTGCCAAAGGCGTAGATATAGCGCGCATATGCCTACCGTATGATCAGCTGTTTGTCGAGACCTCAAAAAGAAATAACAGTCAACCAAATCTGACTGAGAAAAACTCGACTACATAGAGCAACTGCAAGGGTGGTGTCTAATTGGTGCGCGTTGGTAGTAATGAAGTTATGACACATGTCCCTAAAGCGATTTCATTTAATGAAGTTTTGATCGAAAGCAAGTCGACCACAAAGAATTACTTAACTCAGGCATGAAGGAATTCGTAACTCAAACTGAGAAATATGCCCGCACGTGCCACGTTTGTATACTGACCAGTCCACCACAAATGAACACATAAAAGGTGATCTGAAATTGAAACTAGTTTGATTTGCAATCTCTCGGTTCAACAGAAATGGCGGTCTCGTGATATAAGTTGTTCCGTGCAAAGCACAATTGAACTACTTCCCGAATCCAACTATAATGAAGTATTTAAACTTGGTCCGTAGTCTTCGTGGAATTTAGATAGATCTTTATAATTCAATTCGTGGTGGTCCCGAGACCTGTCAAAATGGGTTAGACGGGTTCCTGCTAGTAGACTTGAACCTGTCGACAATATTTCAGGAATTATTCCCGCAAGAAATTATATTCCTTATATTCCTTACATTTTATAAAATTCCGATATTCTTCAAAGGTTGAAAAATTCCGAATCTTATGGTTAAGTAAGAATTTTCATTGTGTCTTATCGAAAGTGAATGAGAGAAACATTTGTGACAATTTTAATTACTGGTCCTCTTATTTGTAAAGCTATCCTCAATACATTCAATGACAAAGTGTGATAACCGTTAAAACAGGGGTCGAATTCACAAAAATAACGTAAACCGTTGATTTAAAGCAATCGCCGCTCCTGTCTCTTGATTGCTGATGATGATCAGGAACGCATGACGTATAAATATCATCACGACGATTATTGGTCACTCGAAATCGACCCGTTAAGAATGCAATGTAAGTGCGATGGTTTTTTTTGTGCATTTGTTACCTGTTATACTAATTAATCCACAGGATCAAAATGTTTATTGTATCGATAAAAATGGATTTTAAGGCATAAGGGAGCATTGTTTAGTTCTGAAACCAAGTTTAATCGATTTCTCGTGCAATTTTTGGTCAGGAGTGGTCATCAAAATAAATTTTGAACTAAGTCGATATTTTGGTAAATTTCTATATAGCTTTCTGTCAGAAAATAAATCTTCATTCTATTAGGGGTAATTGGATGTAACTACAGTACAGCTGTACTTACGTCTTACACCCACTTTCACAAGCATGCAAGCTCACCTGGTCCAAAGAGCGGGAAACGGAGAACGAGCTCTGGTGACGTCATAGTCACGTGACCTCAGGCTCATAATCACGTGACCTCAGACCCAATAAATTGGGTTCTGGCCTGTTCAGCCCCCTGTCACCCGATCTCGAGGTGACGTACGACAACTCGTTAACCCAATCGATGTCTGGAGGGCTGCAAATTTTCACATGCCAAACTCACAACGGTTTTTCGGAGTTGTGCAAGATGACGACACATAGAGGCCGCAGAATTATGAGGACTACCAGATCCTGGTGGAACCTAAGCGATCCATGATATCACGACAGGCCCTAAAATTGATATGTTGCTATTTTATCTAAATGTTTTTCGATCGTAATTATTAGACAAGTGACGTGATATATGTATAACATTTAAAAATTTACAAAAACTTCTTAAACTTCAAAAACAGTTTATAGTGTTCATTCTTTATTATTCTGATCCAAATTTTAGAGTACTCCTTGCAGTCAAAAATCTTTAGCTTTAAAATTTACTGTGTTGGCCTTTGTGTAGTGACTGAGGAAGATCCTTTACTGAGTTCTGTGAAGCTCCCAGAGTCTTTCCAATGAGTTAAATCGACAAACAATAGCCATGTTTATATATAAACAAGGCTATATATAGTATATACTACTTATGAATCAAAGTTGCCCTAAAACGCTTATCTTTTGAGTTATTCAAGAAACATTGGTTTTTCCCAACAATTTGTTGAGATTTTTGAGTTTTTGGCTATGAGTAGGAAGCTCCCAGAGACTTTTTGATGAGTTTAATCGATCAGCAATAGCCAAGTTAATATACGACTTACGAATCAAAATTTGCCCTAAAACGCTTATCGTTTGAGCTATCCAGGGTCGTATGTAATCTTGTACCGGACCATCACGATAACCATCAGAAAGTCTCTGGGAGCCTCCTAGTGAAAACCAACAAATACCAGCAAACTTGAAACTCGATTATCCTAGACCACCAAATTGCATGTCTCACCTGTAGAATAGTTTGATTTATTTAACCAACAGTATTCCACCGACCTGGCAGGTGCCTGGTGGATAGTTTCTAAAAAACATGGCTATTTATGGCATCAGGAATTGGTTAACAACCGCGGTTAAAATGGTTTTTAGAAATTTCCGTAGAATAAATCATTCATTAAGAATATTTTCATACCTGAAAACGAACAGGTTCTTGATTAAATTACAAATGAATATCTAGATTAACTAACAGTAACACGTGCCAGATTAACTAACACGTGCCAGATTAACTAACACGTGCCAGATTAACTAACACGTGCTAGATGCATGCACTCTACTGAATGTTTTACTCCGCGGCGGCCATTTTCCTACCCACAAATCCAACCTTCATTTTAGCTCTGTAAATTCATCCACTTGCCTTGATGGGGCCCCAAGACGTGTGATAATTAGTAGGCGAGTATGCAATCTCAGTACCGGCCATGGTAGTTTGTAACCAACCAATCTCTGAGCTAAAGATTCTCCTCCATAACAATTACTAAAAATACAGGTGATAGAAAATAGGAAAATACATTATAGTACGGTTTAAAACATATGAGTGAAACGAAGAGTTTGTTTTAGCAGGGGCTTTCAAAATAAATGTGTAAATCATCTTCAGCTCAGGGCGCGAGGGTTGCTTAAATGTATTATGCAATAAGCCCAATTTGTACGTGACACATGTTATAGTATTACACTTACAGGTACTGATGTGTATAACTATAAGACATGAGTATAGTTCAGTTTTTGCTTCCAATTTCTTAAATTACACTTACAATTTCAGATAGAAGTTAAGTTCTACGCGACGGCAATTGAATTGGATCAGTGGATCGCAAGTTGCAAGTGTTTCCCCGTCCCGTATTTAAAATTAAAGTATAATACAATGAAGTTAAAGCTGAGCTTGTAGTGAACGGAAATCCGCCACAACGATAAAAAACGGGCGCAATTCTTGTTAATTTAAGTCCTTGTCCTTACTTAACCGAAGCGATCTATCTAATTTTAGTACAATACACTCAGTTTGCTTTATAAAGACGCCCTTTAATCTTTATAAAGACAAAGCCTTCAAATGAACAAAATTTAAAGACGGCAAGGCTTCAAAATTAAAAAATGAAAGACACCACAACAGGTCTCAAAATAGATCGGATTTCCTTCTGCAGAAAAATTATCGGCTTTAGCCTTTATCTAGACTAGCAGGAACCCGTGAAATATAACCCTAAACGGTGTCAAGACTCAAGATACTGAAATAATTATTACCTATTTAATTGGCGTTTTTGACACCACTTGGGGGTCCAAATTTCCGGCTCTAAAATCATTATTCCTCGGCCAATTTTTTATTTTTTCATGCTGATTTGGAGGATATTAAAGCATTTGACCCAGCCAAAAATGTTTCAGTTGTATATCTTTTACGGTTTTTGTAGAAAGTTGCGTTAAAGTCGATGCCGTGGTGTCAGTAAAATGGCACAGATATATATATATCGTCTCGCTTTATATATAGTAAGATATATCGTTATCGTTATCTTTTCATCTAGATAAAAGATTTCGTACCAATAATGGATACCCTAGTTGAAAAATTGTTGATACATGCCCTGTAATTACATTATAACAGTGATAAAGCATAAAGGAGATAATTTCGCTCCAACATTTTTAATTAACGGTAAACGGTAAATTGTTGACAGTTTCAGTTATACTTAGGAATAATAAGACATGAAAATAGCTTAACAAAACCTTAAAATTAAATGTAATGCTACGCAGGCTCAAAGTTATCCTTTGAGGCTCTGGTTAGACCTATAAAATTAAATCTTCTTGGCGTATGAGCACATTTTACAATTACACAGTTTAATTTTAAAGTACTGGGCATTTTTAATTTTAAGATCTAATGACCCAGATGGGTACACGTACTCAAGTTCGACACACACTCTAGTTCGACACACACTCTAGTTCGACACACACTCTAGTTCGACAAACCCTATACTAAGGTTCGACTCTGTCGAACTAAAGTGCGCTACCTGGACTCAAGTTTGACACGTACTAAAGTTCGACAAGAGAACTTCGACTGTCGAACTATATAGAGTTTTGATATCTCCGATCTCAAGCAACGATCCGCGATCCTTTACAAGCTTGAAATCTATTCGTTTGTTTGTTTTCTACTTGTTCCATGCTGTTGAGCTATGTGTGAATGTAATTTCTTAATTCTTTAATCCATATCGACTATGAACATTTAAGTTGACCTCTGACTCAATTGTTAGTTAGCAGAATTGTAAACTTAGCGGAGAGATAACTTGTACTCCGTTTTATATATATAGATTGCAGAGTACGCTATATGAATATCTACCATAATACCACACTTTATATTATCACAAACGACTAACTTACCGGTATCTAGAGATTTGGCTGCTGAACCGGAAACAGTCAAATATCAAATATCAATCTATTTTCCTGTTTGCTTGACCAGAACTGAGTGGCACACAGGAGAATTAAAACTATACTGAAAGGTTCTGAAATTTCTAACCGCTGGTTGCTAGATGTCAGAAAATTGCTTTATCTGCCATTGAAACAGCTGTGATCCTATAATTAGGACTCAGCAATAACCGTTGGATCACAAGTGCATGGCAGAAACTATTTGTCGAACTAGAGTACGCTACCTGGACTCTAGTTCGACACGTACCGAAGTTCGACAGGGATGATATCTGGCGAAGTTAAGTTGTCGAACTATAGTGCATGTCGAACTAGAGTACGTAAATCACCCAGATTGGTTAGTACCCACATGGTCAGGATGTCTGATGTTAGCTAGATATTGGTATCCCTAGAATCCCCAGTAACAAGGAGGCTTCCGGTTGCATCTCAATCAATATCACTGGATGCCACTAATTTAATTATGTTCAAGACAATGAGTTGACTTGTTGTATGTCGGAAGACAATTACTGACAAGTCTATTAGTCGTCTAGATATATCCTTCAACCCCACAGATTGGAGACTGTGTCCTGTTTGTGGGTCAGATTTCCTCCCTTGGAGTGTGATATGCCTGGCACCGTGGAAGAACTGTATTTAATTTCAACTCTATCAACTAAGGAGTAATGCTGGTTATTTATGACAAAATGAATTACGAAATAGTACAATATATAAACGATTACTGTCAAACTGGTTGCTAACGTTCAAAAAGTTATACTTTCGTCAGATATTTTTTCTTCGCGCGCACTATTATAAATGCGCGCTAATAATATATCACCTACTATTGCAAAATAAGACGTCGTCTTTACCATTTACATACCATTTACCATGCACCTGTTAGCCGCGGGCACCTGTGCTGACTGAAGTTGTACGATACATCGGGTGGTGGTGTAGAGCTTTTACTAGCCAATTGAAGACTGACAGAGTAATTGCTGCAGAACTTTATCACACGGGATTGTGCGACCACATCGAACAGCTACCAGATACAATAATTTTAGGGATGATAGTTCCACGTGGGAATGAGACAGGGCGTGGCACCTTTTTAGCTGTCATTAAAATGGTGACATTGGTTGATGGTGAACAGAGACCAGAGCCTCGTATTAGATCTTCGTAAAAGCAGCCTTGCCATTCTTTAAATTCCATTCAGGACCAGTAGTTACTTGACATTGCGTCAGTAACTATGCGAATGAAAATAGTGAGCCACTGCTTCATTGTCTCCACATTTGTTGGCCACATAACAAATTCCAGTGTGTGTGTAAGGTTTTCTATGAGTATAATGATACGTATCCTTGAGCTTGAGAAGCCTATAATGTGGTTCCAGCTCAGAGGAAACTTAGTTTACAACACTCTGATCTCTAGTATACATTACTTACCTTGGATACATATGTCGCAGCTTTAAAGTACTTCTTCTTACAAGAATAGAGCGTATATTATGTGAAGTAACTTTTTTATTCATTACTTTATAATTATTACTTTGTATTTATAATATTACTTTAACAATACAAAGATTTCTTTTATACTTAGCAATGGAAGTCTAACTCAAAATCTTGGCAAATGTTCCATCTTTATATCCGTGGAACACACGCCACATGACATGTCCATATAAGGGATAATCGGTCAGATCTCGTTATTGCTGGATGAATGTCACGTGACAGAGTGGAGGTCACGTGACCTCTGGGAGCAAGGTGTCAGTACAAGCTGGTCTGGACATCACCTGGAACTCACAATGTACACTCTCAACCTGTATTACTCCTGTCTCCCGGGCAAGCTGCCAAGTGGTCCAGCAACATTCTCTGGGCACACAGTGGTAATATAACAACAAGTTTAACTTTAATAAAACCAATATTAAGATTAGACAGTTTATAGAATGTTTCACTTACTTTCCTAATTCAAGTTTTTCCAAATTATTTAGTTATTACGGTCAATGAGTTGCGGACGCCGGACAGGAGCAGAATTTTGCTTTAGAAAAATTGTTGTCCGTAGTTAAGTTGGAGTACTACCGAGTTCCAGTAAAATCTCAAACAGATTGAAGGAGTACAGCGTACTTTTACCTCAAGGATTTGGGGTGTTCAACATCTTGACTATTGGCAGCGGCTTAATGCACTAAATTTAATGTCGATGCAAAGGAGGAGAGAGCGTTATGGATGAATCATTATGGAACACTATTCTATCAGATCTTCACTCTACGAAGGTCGAAGACCCAGTAGAGGAATCTACAAATCTCTCCTAAGTATCCTAAGTAGGAGGGTAAAGGGATTAGCTGCGATTTAACAAAAAACGGCACAAGATATTTAATGTTAAGTGAGCGCATTTACAGTTGATTATTTGAATTGATCTAACCGAATTTGTAATTTAATTATTTAAAGCCAAAAGAACTACCTGCATATGGTTTGATAACGGTTAATTATGGTTTAATTAACTCGTTTAGAGAGATGCTATGTGGCAGCCTGCAAGATAATCTCATGAGTTTGATACATTCTGCCGCCTTACACTGTAGTTACTACTAAGCTAGGTTACGGAAACTTTATTCACAAATCCATTAAATTATCTGATCAACTCAAGTTTCACCGGTGACAAACGGGCCCATTTAAATTAAGGAATATAACGGACTGAAGCGGTATGTTTTACGTAAAAAAACAAATGAAAAAGCAAATTGAACGAAAAGTTTTTGAAAACAGAAAAATCTGATCACCCGGCACTTAAACTAAATGGACACAGAATACAATGAAATAAACAGCTAGTGATTGTGATTAGCACGTAAAACAATTACAGCACGAATTTGAGATATTTAAATTAACATTTTGAATTACCAAGGTGTCGCGTGGCAAAAAGGATTCTTACAATCGAATATCTAAATCTTCACAAATTATCTTTAAACCTTCTATACAGTTAGCAGTGTACGTTAAATATTCTACAAAATGCGATTCTTTTGATTAAAAGTCTTGTGATTTATTGCAAAGTTGATGGTGAAATAATAAAATCAGTTTCAATATTAACAACAGGCAAGACCGATAAGAAAGTTTTTACAGCATGTGTAAATAAGTGTTATTACTATTTATTGTCAGCTCGCTTTACTTGAGAATCTTGTTAAATTAATCTGGTAATAATATTTTAAAAGATGAAAAACATTGGTTATTTACACAAACTCTCGAGATTTGCAATTTGATTAGTCCAGGGTTCATTTTACTTCCAGTCCAATAAAATAAGACTTAAAACATATAACTAGATAATATCTACAGCTACATTGATAGTTACAGATAATAAAATGTGACGTCACGTGGTGTTGTGTTGACGTCACGTGGTGTTGTGATGACGTCACGTGGTGTTGTGATAACGTCGCGTGGTTTTGTGATGACGTCACGTGGTGTTGTGATGACGTCACGTGTTTAGACCTCCTTGTAACCGTCACGTGCGATACGTTGGCAGAAGACACAGCCCAGACACACCCCAATTATCTGAATGACGATGAAGCCCATTGTGATCCCAATAATAAGACCTGTGTTGTCTTTCAGCGTGTGGGTTGTCAGATCCAGACAGCCCTGAAATATTTCAGTTTTAATTTTCCGAATCTTAAAACAGATGGTTTTTAATTTTCAGAATATTAAAACAGATGGCTTTTAACAAGTTTTCATTTTTCAAGGGTCGCGAACACTTTCGGTCCTAAATTTTCTACTGAGCGGTAAAATATTGTGCAGATGAGATCCTTAATCTCGCTGCTTCAGAATGTTGAAATACTGCAACATCTGGTTACATACCAACGTAACACAAACTTCATTAACTCTATCATTACCTTCTCAACAGTAACTGCTAACTTCAAGCTAACATAATTACTAAAAGCTTCTCTATAGCTAAAAATATGTACATTCTCATTCCACACAATAGATGTTTCTCTTGTATATTTTTTGCCGACCGAAAGTAAGGCTTGAGTAGCTGTGAGTAGCTGTGAGGTACAATGTACAGCTACTCACTCTTACTGAGATACACACTCTTAGTCAGAATTTATTGAACCTATAGGTGTGGGGAGGCAGTGGTTTGACTATGAGGTTAGATAGTACTACGCAAATTGTCATACATTTCCAGGTCTCGATCGACTGATACTCTCAAATATTTCTAAAAACTAGGGTTTCAGAAGTGTACTGTTTGATGTTAATTTCCCTTTAACTTCATTAAAGTATCCGTACAATAAAAATAAATATTCATCGGGCGTCCTGGAATTTATCGACTATAAATTAACATTTTTATAAATTTAGCAAAATAATTTTATAAGGAATAAGTGTACTTACTGCTTACTTATTGACCGGGAGTGTGTCACAGTGACAAAACTCAACAGTGAGTAAAACAGCAGAAAGTGAAAGTGAAAGTGAAAGCTAACCTCAGTGTAGAGCAGGTCGTTGGAGGTTTTGCAGGTGCGTCTTATAGGATCGCGTTCAGTGACCGAACCACAACAACTAGCGGGTACAGTAACGTTACTGTGATTCTTAAGCCACTCTGTGTTATTGGTGTACGTCTCCGGACCGTGAATACCACAGCACTGTAGTGTATCCTGAAATATTATATTTTACAAACAACGTACAAACAAGAAATTAGGATGTTTAGTGAGTTATAATGGTGAAAGTGAAGTGAAAGTGAAGTGAAAGTGAAAGTGAAAGTGAAAGTGAAAGTGAAAGTGAAAGTGAAAGTGAAATTGAAAGTGAAAGGGAAATTGAAAGTGAAAATGAAAGTGAAAGTAAAAGTATTGATATATAGAGCACCTGTATCTTGTCCATGATCTCGATATCGTCAGCTATCCCAGTTACGTATCCCTCAACTTTCAGCTCAAGTCCGTCTTCGACCGACTCTTCGATCTGCAATAAAATCAATCATGTTATAATAACAATAAATAACATTTACAGATATGTATTAGATATTATTGGACCTGACCCAGTTATTTATTTCACATTGCCCAGCTGCTATACAACGCCACATCGCACTTAATTCTCCTGATTATTCAAGGAGTGAAAAGTGGGATATTGTACAGGTGAATATTTTCCGGGTGGACATTATCCAGGTGGATATTGTCCAGGTGGATATTGTCCAGGTGGATATTGTCCAGGTGGATATTGTCCAGGTGGATATTGTCCAGGTGGACATTGTCCAGGTGGATATTGTCCAGGTGGATATTGTCCAGGTGGATATTGTCCAGGTGGGTATTATCCAGGTGGATATTATACAGGTGGATATTGTCCAGGTGGATATTTTCCAGGTGGACATTGTCCAGCTAGATATTGTCCAGGTGGATATTGTCCAGGTGGATATTGTCCAGGTGGATATTGTCCAGGTGGGTATTATCCAGGTGGACATAGTCCAGGTGGGTATTATCCAGGTGTGTATTGTCCAGGTGGGTGTTGTCCAGGTGGATATTGTCCAGGTGGGTATTATCCAGGTGTGTATTGTCCAGGTGGACATTGTCCAGGTGGACATTGTCCAGGTGGATATTATCCAGGTGGACATTGTCCAGGTGGATATTCTTAAGATGGGATATTCCTTAGATGGGATATTCTTAAGGTTAACGTAATAAAGTTAGCAATTAAGCGGAATATTTAAAGAGTGAACCCTCTCTTACCTATCTTACTTTTGTGCAGATAGGTTTCTATCAATATAATATTACCAGGTATCACTTGTGTCACGTGATTCCTGAAAGTGTAGATCTAGAGTTGAGAGGACGCATTTTGTAGTACAAATACCAGCTTATGCCTTATAATCATTACTTCTTGCAAGGAATGATTAATCCATATTTGGGAACGCGAGCAGCTAGAAATTGAGCAGCATATTATATTGAATACCTTTCTTGATAATGTGAGCTAGCTGTGAGTGGAGCCACTACCAGCCACTTCCAGACTAAAGCTACACGAGCATGGCTATTGTTTGTACAACAGAAAGGCCCAGCCTTCAATTCTGTGAATAGTAAAGGTATTGACGCTGAGGCGAGACAATAGACGTGTGTGTGACACGTGACATAGTGTACTAAGTGTAGAGCTAGCTTCTCCAGTCACGTGCCATGTTCAGTAGTACACTGAGCAGGGCCTTTTGTTCTCAGATGCTGAGTTATTGTGTACTATTTAGCGCAAAAAGAAGCTGCTCACGGAATGAACAGTGTATATTGTACATTAGTACTAACTCCGCAGTAAATCGGGGTATACTATACGAGTGTGGGGTGTCAGTACACTTTAACAGGGTAGAACTAAGTATTTGTTATGTAACGTGAGCAATGTTTAGGTATTTAGTGCACCCTAAACGCGCATAACAATACTACATTGCATCACCCGCCTGTATGTACAATAAATCTTAACATTCCTTGAAAAGTTAAAATATTACATCTTCTCGAATGATCCTCGTACAAGTCCTCCTTACAGAAAAGTCTTGTGATAGAGATTATATGAATGAAGAGTAAAAAGAGATTAAACTGAAAAGCAGAGAGAAAAGCTTAAGGTTTAGGGGTAAAGAGAGAAAGCGAGGAAATATGAGAGGGGCGAGGAGGGCAGAATGGGATATTAACCAATAATAACCGTCCGGAGGACGGGCTTTCTGCTAGTTTACACTATTACCCAGTACCTTAAGAACGACAAATTTAGTCTACCATAAATTTAGTCAAACTTTTGACTAAAATTGTTGTAAACCAAATTTCATGTGACTAAATTTTTTGGCGACTAATTTTGAAGTAGACCAAACTTTAAGTATAGCAGAGCATATATGAATTAAATTTCATTGAGCTTACATTCTTTATCATATGTTTATGATGAACAGTTAAATATCGCTAACTGTACACAGGTCCCTACTGCGTGTAATAAGAAACTGTATGCTATCCTTCCTCCTAACCAAAATACGGGCGTATGGTGTAAGTTACAGGATCACGCTCGGTTGATAATTTGTCCACGTGACCGTTTGGCGCGCGGTGTGCACGTGGGCCCATGGGAAATTTCTGATACATGTGTTCCGTTGATTTCTCTTGGAGAATTTCTCTTTACACTCTTAACTTGCGAACAAATTAAAGCAGCAGACTTTAAGCTAGAAACTTTATTGAATAGAAATAATCATTCCACGTAACTACGTCTTCTTCAGTTCTGTAATAAAATTGTTAAACATGTGTAAAATTAACGACGGAAAGAAATTTAAAATAACATTAAAACAAAAACAGAGAAATAAAATTTACGAAATATGACCCAAAAATGTAATTGAAAAAATTCAAAACAACAAAAAATACGACAAGAAGAAATGTAAGCTAATACAACTAAATACTGTACTACTCATCAGTGGCGTAACGTTGCCTGTTGGCGCCCCCCTGCCGAAAAAAGCGCCCCCCTGTTGGCGCCCCCTCCCCTTTTGGTGCCCCTCCCTAAAATTGAACAAATTAGGTGATTTTAAAGAATACGCCGGTAAAATCTCTAAAAAAGTGTGTATCTAGAGCAAAACGCGCAGTTTTGCTAGTACTTTAGTTAAGTTTTCGAAATTGTCCCACATTCAAACGACGATTTGGCGCCCCCCTAAGACGGCGCCCCCCTGCACAGCGGGGTCAGCAGGGCCTTTCGTTACGCCACTGCTACTCATGATACTATACTAATTAGTAAACGTAAAACTGGTTGAACAGAATTCACAATTCATGTGTCAAAACTATTGATAAACTCAGCAGCACTGCGTAGTGCTGTCCAACCCCATTCTCTGGAGTCTGGATGTGCTCTAGGATTCTGAGTTGAGTTATTTGTACAAATATTTAGTCGATATTTAACTAGTAAGTAATGTATTGATAGGACTATCTTGGATAGTAACCATGACAACCGAGTTATCGTTGCTTAAGTGCTGAGTTTATCAATAGTTTTGACACATGAATTGTGAATTCTGTTCAACCAGTTTTACGTTTACTAATTAGTATAGTATCATGAGTAGTACAGTATTTAGTTGTATTAGCTTACATTTCTTCTTGTCGTATTTTTTGTTGTTTTGAATTTTTTCAATTACATTTTTGGAGAAAATTTCGTAAATTTTATTTCTCTGTTTTTGTTTTAATGTTATTTTAAATTTCTTTCCGTCGTTAATTTTACACATGTTTAACAATTTTATTACAGAACTGAAGAAGACGTAGTTACGTGGAATGATTATTTCTATTCAATAAAGTTTCTAGCTTAAAGTCTGCTGCTTCAATTTGTTCGCAAGTTAAGAGTGTAAAGAGAAATTCTCCAAGAGAAATCAAGTTCGAATGCGACTCATAAATATAGCCCCCTTGAACTATGTGTTCCGTTGTCTGTACTTAGTTCACTATAAAGTATGACTTTATATGCGAAATTTAAAAAAAAACTCCTTATAATGGAAAAATCAAATAAATGGAATGGAAAATGGTCTCGAAAAGTCAAAAATTTCGACTAAAATTGTTGTAGACTAAAAATTTGCGAAATTTGTGCCCAAAATTATGGTAACCAAAATTATAACTTAACCAAATTTATTGTGACCCAAATTTGTTGGCCCTAAGGTATATGGATGTAGAATTCAGCCCAATACTAAAGAATGCTAAATACTCTTACAAGAAGGTAAATGGAGCTAGTAAAGGCCCTCTGAAGATCAGAGTGCTTCTTGTAAGCATGGACGAAGAGATGCACAGCTACCAATCCCTGTAAACGAGGATAATAGACAAGAAAGACATATCACATGACATAATTAAATTAAATGATTAAATGATTGAATATATTTCGTTGATCATAATTTTATGATTGCATAATTTATTGTAAATTTCAGTATTATGTAATGGGATGCTTCAACCAGGTGTAGCCAGTCCACATCCTGGTTCCATAATATGAAGGACTTGTTTTAATTCTGAATGAAAAGCTCGGGGGAAAAAATATATATATTTTGTAAGTTAGGATTGAATGTCAATACGGTGTGTTTTAGTTTACAATAATAATTCACGTCCTGTGCATTGTATTGTACTGTATATAAATATAAATTCTATTAACTTATAGTTTATTACATGAGTTGCAAATATTCGTGATATGCTGCGATAAAACGCTATATTTGATGATAAGCTTCATTCAAACAATGAAGATACACTCATAAACTGCGTGATGTTGCAATCACTCAATAAAAGTATTAATTTGTACACATGGACACTCCATGACCTGCTATATTCAATGGATATTATCCATCCTTTCAATAACCATAACAACACCTTAGTGGGTGCACTGCAATCTGCACTCATATGTAATTATAATACAAAAATAATATAATGAAATAATGCATAATTAAACAAACCTTTCCCTTGTAGATCATAGATATAATGATAGCCACAACCTCTCCCATAAGGACCAGGACCAGGAGGATAGTGTACTGAAACATGGTCACGTGGTGTGAGGTTGAATACAATCACTATTATTATATGGTGATTATAAGTCACTCGATATGGGTCAGTCTCCAGACATGCTAATCATTCGGCCAGCTGCGTGTTACACTTATTGTACTAATTCCCTTTCTTTGGACAGTGTAGATCGTTTGTGAAACAATATGCGGATATATTTTAACAAGAAAGATTAAAAATATCACAGTATTACAACTTACGACAATGAGAACAACTCGGTTTTCTCTGAACGATCCAAAACATCCCAAAAATCCGAGAATGAAGACAAGAACCCCGATTATCATTAGCATGGCAGGTATGCTGGTAAAAGCGCTATCAGTTATCGCTAGAACGTCTCCATATTCGTATTTCGAGTAAGCTCCAATTCCAAGTAAAGCAAGACCGATTATCTAGAGGAATATTTTTCATAAGTAAGTTTCTCCTGCATGTTGGGAAGAAATTATGAACCCTAACCAACTTTTAACTGAACGACCAAAGAAATGTCAATAATATTTTAGATGAAACTTACCACAGCAATAACATTGAAAACCACCAAGAGGAGTTTTATAATATTCTTCTTACACCCCATTACAGGACGATTTAGTTCAAATACCCTTGCTAAAGGTATATAACTTATGAATAACCAGAGTTAAGAATAAACATTTTTGAATTAAAAATAAACAATCGATAGGAATTATATTTGGAAAGCATTCAGTCGTTATGGCCTACCATGTAAATACATTCAAATTATACAGACATTCTTTAATGGAACTGTCAGTGCTGTCAGACACAACGGTGAATTGTCAGAATGGTTTGAAGGAAGTTCTGACAGTGTCCAAGGAGACATTCAGGGTCCCCCGCTTTTTAATATCTGCATATTATATTAATGTGGCTCAGAGGTGGCTCGTGGGAGCTGGCTGGCAGTTGTGTTGGGTGTCCAATCGACGGACTCAGGGGCTTGGGCGCGGCCCCCTCCCCCAACTGCCGATGACTGCATATATAATACCACAGTAGAAAGATAATTAATTAATTAATTAAATTATTATAACGTATAAGGCAAGATTTCCAATATTACATCGAAGCTAGAAATTACCATGCATATATACTAGCACACGCCCACATGTTTTACACATTACAGTTACACACAGGGCCGGTATATAATGTGTAACAGGCGATAGCAAAATTAACAAAAACGGAAACTTTTAAAATTAGTGAAATAGGACACCACACGTGAACGATCTCAGCCGCGCAAAATGATAGCAGATACTTATAGTTCAAATTGCAGGGTGTCCTGGACAACCTGATCATATAAATTAACAGTACGTTGATGCGATGATGTGCTTTGTAGCCGTTACATGTTAAAACTGCGTGGCTGAGTCGTCTAAACGAGGATCATGCGTGCGCTTACATTCGAACGTTTGAGTAGGATAAAAAGCTTTATATCGCGATTATGTATTTCCGAATACTATTATCACTTCGAGATGGCCAAGCCTACTCTCATGCTGTCTATATGTGATGATTAATTCTGAAAAACTAGGGACAACTGGGGAATGATCCCAGAACCTCGAGATTTCGCGTCTCTTGCTCTACCAATTGAGCTACTGACCCTGATTCTCAGAGCGAAATCACCACTCATATACAGCACAATTTCATGCTTTGTGTGGAATATCATTTATCAGTTATTTAGAATATATATTCGCATGTATCCACACTATATTTACATTACACGTTCAACGTGATATCATTATCAGTGCAGTGTGTACAACACCAACAACACCGATGATTGCCAATCTGCGAAACATTTAATTATTATTATCACTTCGAGATGGCCAGGCCTACTCTCATGCTGTCTATATGTGATGATTAATTCTGAAAAACTAGGGACAACTGGGGAATGATCCCAGAACCTCGAGATTTCGCGTCTCTTGCTCTACCAATTGAGCTACTGACCCTGATTCTCAGAGCGAAATCACCACTCATATACAGCACAATTTCATGCTTTGTGTGGAATATCATTTATCAGTTATTTAGAATATATATTCGCATGTATCCACACTATATTTACATTACACGTTCAACGTGATATCATTATCAGTGCAGTGTGTACAACACCAACAACACCGATGATTGCCAATCTGCGAAACATTTAATTATTATTATCACTTCGAGATGGCCAGGCCTACTCTCATGCTGTCTATATGTGATGATTAATTCTGAAAAACTAGGGACAACTGGGGAATGATCCCAGGTGTTGTTGGTGTTGTACACACTGCACTGATAATGATATCACGTTGAACGTGTAATGTAAATATAGTGTGGATACATGCGAATATATATTCTAAATAACTGATAAATGATATTCCACACAAAGCATGAAATTGTGCTGTATATGAGTGGTGATTTCGCTCTGAGAATCAGGGTCAGTAGCTCAATTGGTAGAGCAAGAGACGCGAAATCTCGAGACTCTGGGATCATTCCCCAGTTGTCCCTAGTTTTTCAGAATTAATCATCACATATAGACAGCATGAGAGTAGGCCTGGCCATCTCGAAGTGATAATAATAATTAAATGTTTCGCAGATTGGCAATCATCGGTGTAGTTGGTGTTGTACACACTGCACTGATAATGATATCACGTTGAACGTGTAATGTAAATATAGTGTGGATACATGCGAATATATATTCTAAATAACCGAATACTATTACTAATTACTATTTCTATTTTCAAGCACCAGCCACCAGATAATAATTTTAGGGTGTCCACGGGCGGCTGGACGCCTTCAATAGCCGCCTCTGATGTGGCTGCTGAGCTAACAGAAAGCAGCAAAGTGGTGTCTCAAGGAGCAGTTCTTCAAAGATCCATTAGTCCATTTGTTGATGATATCACTGTGTTAGATACGGATTATGCAGATGACATGGCTGTACTAGATAACAGCGAGGAAGGTCTTCAAAAAACTACTGACCTTTTGAGTATGTATGCTGCCCAGGGAGGTCTCAGAATTAATGGTAAAAAGACTGAGGTTATGGTAATTGGTAAATCAACCTCTGGACGGCCATACTTGAAAGAAGCCACAGTGAACATTGCTGTTGAAGACACGCCAGTGCAGAAAGTTAGTGACTTTACGTACTTAGGTACAATTATTTCCAGCGACGACACTATCGACCGTGAGTTGTTTGCTAGGATTCAGTTTTGACAATATTGTTATAATTATTGAGGTTTGGAACACAACCAAAAAGCAGCTACATCGCTTTGAGGTGTTCCATCAGCATTGCTTGAGGAGAATACAAAGGATAAGAGGATAAGATGGCTCGACCAAGTTAGAAACACTAAAGTGCTCAAGCGTGCAAGGATAAATCTAGTAGAGACATACATAGGAAACTGATTGCGCTGGTTTGGCCTTGTCATCAGAATGCCAGACACCAGGCTTCCTAAGTACCTGCTTAATTGAACTCCTGCGCATATGAGAAGATCTAGGGGTCGTCCAAGAAAGAACTGGACGAAAAGCTTGCGGGAAGATGCTGCAGCGTTTTCAGAAAACACTGATTTAGATCTAGAAGGAGCGAGCGACCTGGTTAGTGACCACAAACATTGGAGAAAGATGATACGATACCAACAGGAGTTCATTGGAGCATACCAATGATTGAGGAAACCTAATCAAGTACAAGTAAGTAAGTATTTATGAACCAGATAGAATCACAATATGAATTACTTAAACATACATTTAATTGCAATGACTCTTAACGGGTGATACTCGTAAAATATTTGTCCTGGTAGGTTATAAACCTACAACAATGACTCACGTCATGAGTTTGGAGCAGGGGGCAATTGGTCTGGGAGCAGAGCCCCCAAGCGCAGCCCGGTGGCGTGTTAGGTGAAGCCCCCGGAAGGTTTTTGTGAGTTTAATGTTTAAGTGTAATTTTCAAAACTTTTAATGAAAGCAAACAAGGAAACAGTTTTTGGACTCATAGAGGCCAATGAAATTGTTTTTTATTATGTCCTCCAAAAATTTTTCATCAACAGTAAAACAAATTTTATTTTATACCCACAATCAATTCATATTTAGTTCAAATATTTAAAGTCAAAATAACCATTTACATAAGTGGTTATATTATAATAAAATAATTTGTGATAAATTAATAAATTAATTTACACTCAAAAATGAACAAAATATACACAATTTTTACCTAGTGCAACACTGGTTCAGCGCGCGGCTGATCGAAAAAGTTTGATTTGATTTACTAACTACAGTGTACAGCGTACATGAAAAATTACTTACTGAATCTTTTAATACTAGACACATTTTAATTCAGATGTTGTTCAATGAGTTAGCCACAAAAATGTTCAAATTATGTAGGAGGGTAAAGGACACAATTGCTAGTAGTGCTTCTTTGTGCCCGTTGACTACAATGAACAATGTGTCAATCACATGTATATTTTACATTGTATAGCTTTGGTTGTGAATACTATATAATAAATCGGAATTGACCATTTTTAATGGCCAGTCTGGTCCGGCGCGTGCTACTTTGTACTTCGTAGCACTTGCCATTGATTCACGATGTCAATCTTTCGCATCTCGCCGATTTGTGGTTGCGAGAAGCATTATTGGATGCGCGGCGCTGCCCAGTAGTGCATCGCGCTACAACACTTGCCATCATTTACTTACCTGTGGACCACAGGTTAACGGGTGACACTCGTAAAATATTAATTGTTCCATATATTGGACCGTCGACGAGTCCAACTCGGCGCGCGTCCTGGTAGGTTGTAAACCTACAAACCTAAGGCTATCATGTTTATAAACATAAAGATTAGGCGGAATGACAGGCTGAGCGCGCTTCGAAAAGTGGCATGCAACGTATGTCAATGCGCGGCCCAGTAATCATTTACTAGCTGTTGCCGTTTGGTGTGAGCAATATAATAATAACGAACAGCACGCGTCCTCCTTTGCCCCGTCAACCTATATCTAACATTAAATCTATTTAAAGAGGAGACGCGCAAAAGTTGAAATTGGTCGTATGGTTTGGGCGAGCGATTTACAATTTAGTAAAAGCCCCATGAAACTGCTATTCGCTCATTGGGGCGCCAGATGGCGTGTCACGTGGTACGCCACGTCGCCACAGACGCGCGTTGCACCGCCACGCGGCCACGTTGCAGTTTTAAGTAGATATACGACTGGAATGTTCAGTTCAATATTCTTTATTATTTGTTAATTCCTGTTCGTTTGCGTCTTTGAGCGCTAGTCTCGAGGGTACCGATTAACATTTGTCGAGCGTTTGGTTTGACCACTGATCTTATTTTTTTCGTTGAATTTATTAAGTTAACTTGAAAAAGATTTTGGCTCGAAACAAAGTCGGGATCACGATAAGCATCTCAAGTCATTTTGTACATATTCATCAAAAGGTTGTGTGGTAGTTGACATAATTATCTTTAACTTTAGGGTTTAGATTTGTTTGGAGAGGCGAATCATACACAGTTTTTGGATGACTTCGCCGCATCGACGCGCCGCGCGAACTAGTATTCTTGCTAGTTCGTCGATCGTTGCTCTGCGACGCAGAGCAACGATCTCGATGGGTTGACATCGTCAACCAAACACAGTTTAGGCTCTAACTTTCAGCTATCAGAGTATAACAAGTTGACACTGTCTCTCACTTTTAGCTATCAGAGTATAACAAGTAGACATTGTCATGTCTCTAACTTTCAGCTATCAGAGTATAACAAGTTGACATTGTCTCTAACTTTCAGCTATCGTTTAATTTATTATGTTAACTTGAAAAAGATTTTGGCTCGAAACAAAGTCGGGATCACGATAAGCATCTCAAAGTCAAGTCATTCTGTACATATTCAGCAAAAGGTTGTGTGGTAGTAGACATTATCTCTAACTTTAGATTTGTTTGGAGAGGCGAATCATACACAGTTTAGGCTCTAACTTTCAGCTATCAGAGTATAACAAGTTGACATTGTCTCTCACTTTCAGCTATCAGAGTATAACAAGTTGACATTGTCTCTCACTTTCAGCTATCAGAGTATAACAAGTTGACATTGTCTCTCACTTTCAGCTATCAGAGTATAACAAGTTGACATTGTCTCTCACTTTCAGCTATCAGAGTATAACAAGTTGACAATGTCTCTCACTTTCAGCTATCAGAGTATAACAAGGAGCTGGCTCACTTGTTGTGTAAAGAATTTATTAACGAAGCTAGCAGACTCTCAGACCCTGCTCTCGATTACTATTCTAAACGAACTGCTCAGATTGAGGTTATTTTTCAGGTCCAACAATGGATCAGAATTTATTTAAAATATCTCTGTCCTCTGATCCAAAATGATGGGTCAGAAGAGGATATCGTATGAACCTAAGGGTAACTGAACCCCACACAAATTTTTCTACATCACTTTCACTTTCAGGTTGTACGATACGACAGATCACTGGAAAGGATCGTGTTCCAGGTTCCGCCCATCTGTAATTACCTGACTAAAACCAGTAAACTGAAGGTCCTCTTTACAGCTGAGCGAGATGAACAGGGCAGCAAGGTCACTGACTTCTTCTCCCGTACTGATGACCTCTTTAACGAGATGATCTAGCAGAAGAAACTCCGAGGTTTGTGTTTTGGACACTGGTTCTAGTTTGCTAATGAAATATTTCTAATTATCCGATAATTATGACATATAAGAGCATTTCATCTAGAAGTGAATCAAATTCTTCATATTATTATTTTAAATATTTTACATTATTCACATATAACATTTCAGATAACCCGCTGTTGTATGCTATCAGTAGGAACATGCCCCTGTGGGCAAAAATCGTCTTCTTACTAGCTGTTATCTGTAACTCACTGGTCGCTCTCTTCTACCCATTCCCCATGGTGGAAGGTAAAAACTTGGAGGGTCAAATTATATCAACATTTTCAAATAATATCAACATTTTCATGCATCATGTGCCATAAGATTCAGTGTCACCATTTGTGATGTCCACGTCCAGTACCACGTGACGTCATGATATGATGCGTCTCACGTGTCAGAGCACAGGGCGTGACGTCAAGGATACCTCACAGCTTCCGATGCCACGTTTTGTAGCGTTTTAACTAGATTTTAATTAAGGAATTATTCAAGTTGTACATCAAACGGGTAGAGCAAGGTTTGCGGGTATCACAGAATTTAAGCAGCTCAAAAATGTCCGGAAGCTATTAAGGAGATATGTTTACAATCACGGTTTAGGTTTTCAATTTGTTTTGGAACTAGAGTTAACGCGATGTTGTTATGAGTAGATTTAGAGAAAATATGGATGATGATGATTATTATGTTATTACTTACTATTATCATTATTATTACGAAGTTTTTATGGTATTACTTTTCGATGTATATTTGACTCCGGAACGGTAAATGGTTATTAAAGTAGATTATATTTGATTTTAATTTAAACACAATAGTATGTAATTGGAAATGTAAAGACGTTTAAGCGTGTGCAATTTTTTTTGAAATGGTTAGTTTTGAAAATTAACGAAATTTACAGTTTAAGAATGCGATATCCATAACTTTGAGCGATTTTCGATTGTATTTACTTTAGATTTTGAATTTGTGAGATATATTTAATAGTTTTGAGTTTTAATACTTTCAACACTACAATATAACAAATAATTTGAGCTAGCAGAATGGTTTTTAGAGTAGAGGGCATTAATGAAATGTACTATGAGCTGGTCCCAAGTCCAGACGCCATTTTATTCTTTGTATTTTCAATAACCCTATCTAGTCATTGACTACTGATATTATTAAGTTTAGTCGCGTAAAATTTATTTTTTTACTGTTGAACATGATGCAGCCAACATTTCAAAAAAATTGATTTAATTTACTAATTTTTATTTTATTTTCGGCAGATTCATTTTAATGGACCTAACACATTTAAGTACTCTATCTTAACCATTTACATACCTTCCTGTATAAGTTATCACTCAGTTATACCTTCTGAGTTTATTGTTTGGGGCGGATTTCTCGTGGAACATTAGAGAGTATTTTAGATTTTATAACGTGTTTTTGTTATTTTTACGGGCCTTTACTCTCAGATAGTCTTTTACCTTTATCTTATCTAGATACCTGCGACTTTTGTTTAATAGCGTTTATTGCACTGTTATTTTATGAGTCATGTGACTTTGAGGATATATATTTAAACGTCGTGAAATTACACAGCTTGTTTGATTTGTCATAACCTTATGTACAACAAGAGGGACATGCTTGTATAAAATTGAATTACTGGAATAACATCAAATCTAATCAAGGTATAATTAACAATTCACAAATGCTGTGTCTGCCTGCAGACCACCACTATCGATAACTGTTCCATATCATAACCAATTCACATGGTCCCAGAGAAACTGCGAAAGGTCTAAAACATGATAGTCTAAATCTTCTCATACGTAATCAATCTTAATTCAGCGAATACTTAGCAACTTCACAGATATCAGTCAATGTCTAATTCAATGTCCCAATGTAAAAAGTTTTCAGTTCGTCCATTTGTAGGGGTGCATCTAGTCGAAGAATCGTCGGTTCGGATTGTTGCCATACAGCATTGTTCGGACCTCAGGGATTTTCTGAAAGTTATTTGTTATACTGATATTGAATATTTAGATCATCGATCCCACAGAAACATTAAACAACAAACAATATCCAGCTCTATCTGTGAACTGCATATTTATTTAGGTAACATAATATTCTGTCTACGTTGACTGTATTCGACTGAAAGTCCTTACTTCCCATTATTTCTCATATAAAACAGTAATAAAAATTAAATTACTCACCTGTTTGACTATTTGGTCGAGTCTAGCCTCCAAAGTATTCGTTACCAGCAGTTTTCCGTCTCGTGCAGACAATTGAACTCCACCGGCTCTGTAATCGGCGCGTTAAGTAAAATGTTCGATCCAGCTAGTGCAAGTAGTATAGTGCACTGTACGTACGTGTTTTTGTTGTGCGCTGACTTTAAAGCCGCGCAAATTTGTATGCAAACGCGAACTATTTCCGGCTAGTACAAGAGTTAATTCTTTGGACGTGTCCCACACACGAAAACATTGGACACACATAAGTAGTGTACGAGCCTTTCTGTGTCATTCTAACATATTAACGGGGTGTACTATGTATAAACATTCCGTTCAGTTATGTGACAAAAGATAAATGAACCCTTGTCACCCACATGTCGGAGGCAAGGAAAGTCTTTTCGTCCACTTTAATAACAACATCTAGTTTGCTGAGTTCTGTGTATCGTTTCAATGCTTTATCCAATACTTCCTGTTACAATTTGGAATGAAAAGAATCACAATTAAATGCGTATTATACATATTAGCAACATGATTTTAAGTGGAGGCAGGCAATAAAATGTGACCTAAATCAAACCATTTGCGAACATAATTTGAAATCAGCTTAAAATGTAAAATGAAGATAAGATAAGAAACCTTAACCAGCTGCAGATCTTTCTGTCTGCACTGGATGAGAACGTTGGGTTCGAGAAGCTGGCACAATCCTTGAGTAATGAGCCCTTGCAACATGTTCTGGTATTTGCCAATGTCGCTGGTCATGGACCGCAGCTTTTCTGTTGTGTTTACCACAACTTCCTGCAAGAGAAAACTGTGTTTTACTACTGAACTTTAACAATGAACATGTGACAGCTATGAAATAAACATAATTTGAGATGGGGCAACACAAAGAATTAAGAACCAGGAGGTTACAGAGAATCAAGGTAATATCAGCTACACGAAGATCGAATTTCTCTCGATAAATTTTCAGATTCTAGATTTGTTCAGTTGAAATCTACTAGGTTTGACAATGGATTCATTATCTTATAATATATAAGAGAAGTAAAGAAGATTGTGGATAGATAGATTAAGATGTATCACGAGGTATATTGTATCTGATCACGAGGACACGAGGTGTGGTGTTCTAGAATGTTCTAGAATGTTCTACTCACGTCGAGATGATCTTCTCTCTGTTTGAGCAGCTTCAGACGGGCCTGGTTCTGCAGATTGCTAAGCTGTCTGAAAGAAAGTTTCAAGATGAATCATTTTCAACAGTGTAACTTAGGGTTCGTTACATATTACGTAATATCATTCGTCAGATGGCATCTTGGGTTCTTGGAGTATTCAAAGACAGGACAAGGTCTAGAGTGGAGTACTGCTGCCCGCTTTGGAATCCAAACAAGATCTATGATATCCAGTCTATCGAGAGCATACAACGCCAGTTCACTAGACGAATTCTAGGGCTCAGAGACACCGAATATTGGAATAGACTGAAGGAACCGAAACTTACATCACTGCAAAGACGCCGAGAACGCTACACCATCATACATCTGTGGAAAGTTCTCCAGGGTATATGTCCAAATGACCTAGATGTACAGTTCAGAGAAAATGCCAGACTGGGAGTTAAAGTTATACTCCCTTCTCTCACAAAAAAAGCATCAGCTGCTGCACGCTCCACCTACGACCACTCATTCGCAGTGAGAGCTGGAAGACTCTGGAATGTTCTCCCCAAAATTGTCAATACTCAAAGGACTTTGACAAGCTTCAAGACATCTCTTGGAAACTTCCTAGACACCCTTCCAGACAAACCCCCTACTCCTGGATACAGTGCAGAAAACTCTAACTCGATAATAGACTGGTGCAGTCAAGGAGGTGTTCCGCAGATTGCGTGATGGCCGTGAAGATGCCTACTTCTTAACCAATCAATATTATGCTAGTAGTGTTTATACAAGTAACAAATATTTTAAGGATATCATGGTTGTAAAGGTATCTATGACTGACAATTGAGATCAGTTGCATGTTCCATTGAATTCTACCAAAACTTAACTTAATATATGTGAACCAGTGGTTGACGTACAAACTTTTAAAATGAAGTATATCATCAAATCTTAGCATCAAGGAATTGATGTTACAAAATACAAATTAAACATTTTAACCTACATTTTCTTCTGGAGTTCAGCATTCTTTTCTTTCTTCTCGTAAAAAGATCGTATCTTTTGCTTTTCCTGTTCGACTAATCTGCCCTTCTCAATGTTGAACTCCTCATCAGCCTTCAAAAATTGTGCATTATTTTTTATTTACATCATCAAATTATTATCAGAATCAATCAAAATTGAACAACTTTGGAGTAGTTTATAAAATCCAGTTAAGCAATTTTCTGCACTTTGCTAGTAGTTAATGTACATGGGATAATTAAATATTTAAACGAACCTTGGCAAGAATTTCGACCTCCTTCTCATCTGCCTCGTGGTCAATAAATTGAATCATCTGCTGGATTTGCCTCTCAACTTCTGTATCAGGTATAGCCATGACGGACAACTTTCCTAAGCGAGTTAATTGATCACCAAGGTGCTAATGGACCTAATGAACATAATGTTCCATTTATAACCCGAGCTTATTTACAATGTTAATAAATTTGTATGAAAAACACTAGAAAACAGTGGCTTTTTTGACACTAGTTAAACATAAAAATAAACCTTTCCATCTCTCTCTCTCTCTCTGTTCTGGTCAACGGTTTCTGGCCTCCTACTTTAAGAGGGAGGTCTTATCACCGTGCCCACAGAATGCAACTCCCAAAGTATATACGAAATCATAAAATAATAAATATCAAAGCAACAGACCCCTGTTTAATGCAATAAAACGACCAAATGACAGTTATAACAATCTGAAATAGAAAACGTATTAGAAATACATAATCCAATATTCATTGCTCAATAGTCAAGAATACATCATAAAACGGGATTTATAAAACGGCTAATAGTACTCTAAAACATAGTACTCGAAAGCATACAAACTCACCACTAGGTGGAAACGAAACTTGACATCCTGTCCTAAATAAGAGCATTGTTATAAATAATGATATAACAATCTCCCGCCAAACAAACTAATAATTTAAGAAGGATGTAAAAGTTTAACCCAGAGGAAATTAGTGATTGTTAAAATTAAAAATCTTTAAAAATATATAAAAACCAGCCCATAACATCTGGCAAATATCTTAAGTTATAAAAACAAGTGAAATATAACTGACATGCACACTCAAGTATAAAAGTATAAAATGATAAGGAGAAACGGTAAATTAATATAGCTCACACAGACGTGAAATCGGAAGGGGTTAAAACATATGCCCAAACACCAGAATATTCAGAGCAATAAACAACTATATCTCATAGGAAAACTGATGTCATACCAGGTACACCTCATCCTCAGATAGCCTTAATCACTCTTCCCACCTCAATACAACAAGTCCTCGAGTAATGACACCAATAAGAAGTCGAAATAAAGGTATTTTCATTGCCCATGTCTTGAAGCTGTCGCTACCTGGCTCAGAGCAAACCTACTTCCGTTGTAGTATGTATAATATACATATATTTATATTAATATTTAGCATTTATTAAAAACTTGTATAAATTTCTAGTTATTATTATTATTATAATTAACTTCCCGCAGTAGTCCCATTGCCTTAGTATTGCTGTACAACCACTACAGAAATTTACCCGATAATTGACTTCATTTTAAAAATTGACAATGTCCATAACTCGAGTATTTTCGTTCACCCTATCTGCATTTTCCATGACGGAAACAAACAAATCCTGGACTTCCTGGGCATCTTTGCAATTATTGTCTCCGTCACAGCAGCAAGTTGTGTAGTTTAAGGCCCCGTTAACACTGTGATACAGCACCACTTGGTTTGAAAAAGGACACCAGTAAGATCCCACCGTATGGGTTGAAGTCATCTCACCCCAGCTGTATTTGGTGGGGTACTTGAACCCTACCTGGTTACTCGGCAGGAACTCGCAGTAGGTTCCTTCTGGGTGAGAGTTGAAGTACTCGGAGTGTGTCCCTGTCTCCACTCCTTCTTTGTACTTCGCAAACAAAGGAAACCTCTTCTCCTCGATACAAGATTTGAGCTGGTGGCTGATCTTTTTAGCTGTCTCCAAGAGCGTGGTTTCTTTGGTTATCTTCTCACTTGTTTCAACCTCAGCAATGCAGAGCATAAAGCTCTCATCCCCGGGATCTGGATCTACCCGGCTCCTGAGGTTAGCAACAACATCGGTGTACAATTTTGGAACCCCCTCTTCGGGAAACTCTCCTCCTTTTCTCTTAATGTGAACTGCAGCTACCACGTAGAACAAAGCTGCAGCAACCAACAGTCACCCCTGATCTCTTGCACAGGGCTTTCAACTTGGTCAGACCCTCTACAGTTCCTATTGCATGCAGAGTTTTATTAATCCAAGGGTTGCCTGCCTGAGATGCCGCCAGTTCTTCACGGTTGAGCGGCATGAGCATCTCCTGAACCTTGGCTCGTTCCATTCTAGCATCAATCATCTTCTCAACTAGCTCGTCGTTCTTCACAAACTTGGACATGTCCTCGCCTGATATCAGCACTGCAGCTGGTGACAGATCCACTGCCTTCCCAGAGACCAACAGATCATATTGCCTCAGTATCTCGTTGATTATGCGGAACCCTGTGGTCCCGTCACCAATGCCGTGGTGGTATCGGTTAAGCAGCATATAGCAGTCAGGTCTCTTTACAAGGTAGGTTTTGTGGAGTTGAGCCCCCGATCCACAGGAGAAGGGTGTGTTGACTAACTTCTCTGAGAGCTCCCAGCAGCCGGTGTAACCTGTAATCCCTCCCGTATCTCCACTTTGGTCAATGAACTCAAACACATCAGAGAAATCAGTGGCAGGAGTAAAGCATATGACTCCATCTTCTCCCTTCCTCACATCTGCTCTAAAGTTAGGCTGATTGTAAATGAGAGCCCTGACTGCTTCCTCAAGCTTAGCAGGGTCAATGTGATCCGACTAGATGCACATGTTCATTACAATATTACAGTTCGAGGTGTGATCCAGGTTTCCAAACAGCTGATTCTCCCAGTAACCTAACCTACGAGTGATCCAGAGAGTAGGGTCATCAGGTCCGTGTAGAGCCATGTTGTCTCACTGGAATTGTATCGTTACATTTTAAATAAAAATAATATAATAATGTCTACTTTATTATTGCTGTCAATGATATTTTATTACTTAATGGTTATTGTTACTATCTTGTAGTACAGAGGCGGCTATTGAGGGCGTCCGTGGACACCCATCTGGTGGCTGGTGCTTAAAAATAGAAATAGTGATTAGAAATAGTGTTCGGAAATATATCTTATCGCAATATAATACTCTTTATTCACTCAAACGTTCGAATGAAAGCGCACGCATGATCTTTGTGAAATTTTGTGTTGTTGGTTGTCCAATCCTATGTTGGACGACTAAGCCGCGCAGTTTTAACACATAGTGAATTGTAAACGGTACAAAGCACATCAAGCGCATCCCACTACAGGTAATCAGGACATGATTTGCTCGTCCAATTTGAACTCTCGACGGTTATGATACTGCGCGGCTGAGATCGTACACGTGTGGTGTCTTGTTTCACCCATATTGTAAGTTTTTGTTTTTTTGCTGTCGCCTGTGAAGTGTGACACATTACATACATGAGGCCCTGTGTGTAATGAAATCGGTAGTTTGGAGGGAGCTTGGGCCGGCCCCAAATCCCCCCACCCACTCCCCTCCCCAGTCCGTCGATTGGACACCCAACAAAACTGCCAGCCACCTCCCACGAGCCGCCTCTGTTGTAGTACACTACTAGCTATTTTCATATTTCATTACTAAAGTATCTGCCAAAACCAACAGGAGGGGGCCTTGAGGTTTTTTCCCACTTGGCCCTGCATCCCAAACTGACTGTCGGCCTCCACTCCTTATAAACTTACCTTTAGTAAAGGCTGATGGTCAACAAATAGCGATATTGGAGCTTAATGTGAACAGATCCTGACCTCCTTTTACACCATAGAAGACAACTCTTGCAAATGCGAGAAGAAAGATCCCGGAGAAGGCACAATTGGTTTTGGTAGGTTGCATATTTAAAAATATAAATATTAAAATTAAACAAAATAAATTGTATACAAAATATAACAGTACAGTGAAATATCTACAAAATTTACATACATTACGTTGTTGTAGGCTCGACATAGCAGCTAGAGGTTTGAGGTCACCAATGGAGATGGCATTTTTTGATATTAGGGTTTTACACCCCGGAGCCAAATCCAACGCTAATTACAACACCCCAGCAAAGATGTACAGCAAGCATGAGAGAGAGAAAGAAAGAAAATATGGAGACCGCTGTGTACAGATTGAAAAAGGAACCTGTAATGGCCTTGTATTCTCGACCACCGGAGGTATGGGCCCACAGGCTACCATGTTCCTTAAACGAGTAGCAACACTTCTGGCAGCCAAGACCAGCCAGGACAAAAGCCTCATTATGGCAAATCTAAGACGTCGTTTGCAGTTTGAGCTACTTAAGACAGTTTTGATTGCAGTAAGAGGACACAGAGGACGGTATTATGAGAAAGTAATACCTGTTGACGAACTGGACCTAAATCTTGCACACACCACCAACAATGAAGACAGGGGTGATGATGTTGATGATGAAGATGATGAAGTTGATGATGAGGCTGAGAATGTAGAGGAAGAGGTTTCAGAAGAGTGAGCTGAAAAGAAGACAAGTTTCTATTATAATTTATTGATTATTATATTTATTGCAATAAACATATAATATCCATTACTCCAGGAGTGATGACAGGATATATAAACAAAATTTACATAAACAAATCTAGGAGACCTCAAAGCAATTATCAAGAAAGATACAAATAGAATTTAAGGCTTTATCAGAAAATTTATCATAGCACTAAAAATCCAAGGGTCGCTCATGATATTTTATAATTACTAGTGTAACACGTTCCTACGGCTAACGTAAATTGGTGCAAAAGTATGAACTCTCTCAGTCCAAACAGACCGCAATTTCTATCATGAGGTCTGATCGTCATCTTCTACTTACTAAAAAGAGTTAATATCTCCTAGGCAGCAAAGTTTTAAAAATGTACGTCTTGATAATGATTATTTTTGATTGACGACGTCAATCCGTCGAGATCGTTGCTCTGCTAGTTTGCGCGGCGCGTCGAAGCGGCGAAGTCCTCCAATGATTATTTTACCTTAGTTTTCCGCCCTCTCCTAACTCAGTTAAACAAAAATTCAGTTAAACAAAAATTCAGTTAAACAAAATTCAATTTTATGCCATTTATTACAGAGTAAACAAGTTTACAAAAAATCAATTTGATATTTAAAGGAATCCTAATTCAATGTGTAGTATGGTTGTCACTCTTTAAATAGATTAGATATAGGTTGACGGGGCAAAGGAGTGTGCGTGCTGTTCGCTATTGCTCACACCAAACGGCAACCTAGTAAATGTTTTGTATGGACACCGGTCTCCATCACGATACAAAATTAGGA